TTGAAATTTAGAATCAAACAATCAAACAAATGGAGGCATCAACAAGTGATCACTTACCAATAAGCTCCTTCTCTATATGCCTGATATCTTCTACCATTTTCCATTTTAAAAGCCATAGCACTCGAATCTATCGAATAAGTATCTCCTGCTCTGGCATTGCACGTCGTTAACTGTTATTCGCTTATGATCCTTCATAGTATTGACTTTGACAAGTTCTCAGGAACGCTGTAACTCACAAATCATCTTCGGAAGAAGAATAACTACGGGCGGTAAGGCTGACGTCCTGTAAATGAATCCGGTTTATTAGTATGTCATACATATACGTGAATACCGACATCCCGGACGGTACTTGTGCCGAAGTGATTGTACCTCTTCTAGAGTCTCCGAATTTTCTAATGCCATTGTCTTCGTTGAGGGCTACGGTATTCGCAAATAAAAAGTAGGTATGATAGTTTGTGACAATGGATATGTCGTACAGTAGTACTATGAAGAATTTGCAACACAAATTTGAGAAAGATCAATTTGACATAAGACGAATTGATAAATTCGACGAGAATGGGGAAAACGTCAAAATCCCAAGAGACGAATTCCCGGGTCGTGGGCCATGTCTTAAAATCTCACTGACCAGGGGATTGCTAATTTGGGCTCGGGTAGGGAATTTCTGTGGGAAGACTAAATTGTATGCAGCGAACCTGAAAATGAACTCTGATTGATGCGTTGGCATAGTTCAAGGCTCCTAGTATATACCGGTATATATGAAATTGCAAGGTATCATTCGATGGTCTCATGGTAAAATGGGGGAGAAGCTAATCGATCGGCCAACATAAAGTTATTAAGGATTAGTTCTTTGGGATGAAGGGGTAGATACCGGAAGAAGGGAATTTACTTTGAAGTTTGGGGTCGTTCACAGTTTTATCCCAGTTATTTCATGCATTGACCCATTAAAAGAGAATGAGCCGACCTTCCCGGTTTGCTGGGTCAGCCGTCTCCAAAGACTTGGGTTCATGGTCATTAATAATAAAGAAAGTATACATACATAGGTACCTAGGTAAATATCTGCATCGTGTTTTGTTTTGGTGTAGACGCTTACGCTTACATCTTTTTTCAATATCCGAGGTGTATGGATCTCCCACAGCGAGAGGAGATACTACTCTGTCCAGACTACAGAGTAGAAGTACACATTACCTAGTACATACATCAAAAACTCTAACACATTCTGCATCTTTGTTGCGAACAATACATGGCTCTCAAGGGCAAGACTCCACCGAAAGTTGCAGAAGAAGTAAAGATTTCCGATGAGAAATATAAGTTAATTTGTTTGATTGCGCACTTTGCAGTTATTCAACCAAATGATTTGATAGCTCCAAATGCGCATCTGCCGCTGGTAAATCATGCACCAAGCCCGGGAGAGGGGTAAGATAGGTACCTACCTAGATAGATATACATATCTCTTGCAACACCAGAGTGAGTTGTTCTTGGGAAAAACCCCTTCGTCCCAACAAAAATATGTTATACCATGCATGCAACATAATTCGATTACAACCTTAGTACCCGTCAACCGACCTACGGGAAATCTAAACTTTAACCATATTGTCGGAAATTGATGGGACTTGGATTTGCCGGGACTCTTCATCGTCTGAGACATTATTGGAGATACCGGGAACCCTTTAGTTTGACATCAAAATCTTCAATCTCAGGAAAAGTATCGACATTCACGCATACCTAGGTGGGTAATTTTTACGAATAACCTCAATTATAGTCTCGGCTTTGCTCCGAATGAAAAATCTGCTAAGTTGGCGGGCAACTAGGTGGAGGTATGCCCGCTTCCGCCCCTGCTTTATTTTTACGGCCGCGCGAGCCATTCATGCATACTATATGCATCGGGTTCTTAGGGTATACTCCGCACCGAACTTTGGTAAACTTGTGCTAAGTTCAGACAAGTGCTGACAATTTCCAAATTCTTTCAGTTCCAGAAGGATTCTAAAGCTCGCCTTTCAATGTACCTCTCCAATGGGATCTCAATCCAAATGGTCCGCTGTAGCATTTGGGAAACTGTGAATCTTCGATGACCGATGATACACGTTGATCAGAGAACACGACCAGCATAAACCTTTGCCTCCGAATTCCAGTTGAGGTAGCGGGGCTATATTGATTAGGAGTGGGGGCCATTGGTCAAACTTGCATACCAACCTTACCTGTGCATTCAAAATATTCATTACGGCAGTCGAAATACTAAGCAAAAGGTGACGAGGGCTGGCCCTTCTCATGTTGAAGTGGTCTGATCTTTCAGATATCCAAGACTAGTTCATCAATGGTATCTGTATTATCGCCATGTCAATATAAGCAATAATGATATTTAAAAGTCAGTGGATATGTCAAACAGCCACAGAGTAACGTTACACATCAGTTGCTACTAACTATTTCAAATAATCTCACCCTAGATATTTGCAGCTGTCTACTGTGGCGAGTCGGGTTTGTGCTAAGAATTGTATAGGTCAAACGATGCCATGGGTTTGGATGAAGCCCCGTCATATCACATATATTTATGTGGAGTGTATCCATACTCAATCTTCAAGCTTTCCAAGAGCGCACCGTCCCGGTATGATCGTTCCAAATGCCTGGGTCTACATGTTTGCACTATTAGTGCAGTCGCTGTTCTAAACGTCGATAGGTTTGGTGCCCAAGAACGAGGTCGGCCATCTTTTGGTGACAGAACCTGAGTTATTGCTGACATTACGTACTGCGCATACAAACGCATACAATACTCATATACACTCATTGCTAATACATCATTCTCAAGCCTTCAACCAATCTACAACGTTGAAACAGAAAACATCGCGGAAAAAATACTTCCGAGACTGAATATACTCGGGATTCATAGCAGCCAGTGAGTCTCGCTGGGACATGAATCCTCCCCGAAAGTGGGCAAAGAACAAGGGTCATCATGATGAATTGTCTTATATATACAAATCAACATTGTGACTCCACTTGTCATGCACTCATTGCCATAAAGATTCAGAGGTCCGAAATTCATCCAATGTTCGAGACATGATACCTATGTCTTCCCTCCGACCCTGACTGAATGGACCTTACCGAACGAACTGCCTTGCCTCTTCGAAACAGTTGACCTGGAATCCGAGATAGATGATCTTCAGAATCTCGTATACTATCAAATAATATGGAAGCAATCTCACAATCCTTAATAACAAGGCGAAGGATTGTCCTGTAAAATAAGCATTTCTAGAAGTTGCAGCCTAGATGGGACGATTTCGCACAAGTTCGCATATCACTTTTAGGAGATATTCCGAATCAAATCGCCGAACACCACTACTAGATATGCCTTGTTCATTCTATCTTTGTATTGCCAAGAGTACATTGTTTCAGAGCCACCTTCTGCGGCTAAGAACGCCAAGTAGCCTTTTTATTTTGACACAACCGAAGCCACTGCTGCGCAGGAACCAAGCTAACTAGAAAATAAGGTTCGATTCCAAGACGGTTGGTCGACGGAATATAAGAAGATTCATTTAGATTTTGTATTTAGGACTGCGAGCGGTGAAATACGCCGCAGATTCTTGAGTGACAAATTCTGAGACATGAACTCAGCTCAGACGAAAGGAAGTTCAACAATTAGAGCAATTAACGATGAAACGAACCAGAGAGATTCACAAGCCTGTTCTATCAGAGCAAACTAACTTTCGGATGGGTTCCCGTCAATACCTGGGAATGCAATGACAGGAGCGGTCTTGAAAGTAGAGCTCTGAGCTTGTGATGGTCATGACGCATTGGACCCATCAGTTGAAAGCCCACTTAGACCAAGCAGGGAGAAAAAAAATACTCCTTCGTTATGCTCAATTAAAATAACAAGAACAGATTGAATACGACACATTCCCACTACACATCTGTTTATTACATGGATTTTGAAACCAGGACACTCTTACTACAAGTGAAGGTCATCTTCGATTTGCGAAACTGTGGAAGGATAGGAAGTTAGGAAGTACAATATCATCTCGGTATACCCCTTTACTTGAGATATAGTATTTTCAAAGGCATTAAGTCACTAAATGCAGCGGAGCTAGACAGGAAAAGCGAAAGAAAGATCGCCGACGTTCCCTCCAAGAATCTGAACATACACTGCGACGCATCATATTTCATCTCGAAGATCCATAAACGATATATATATATATGAAACTTGCGATCCCAGGCCTTTAAAAATCAAGCAGCCAGTCGTCTTCATCATTGAAAAATTCGATGCCGGGAAAAGAGACCTAGCTTGGTGCAGTAGCATAACTTGTTTTGAAGTTTATGCTACACCGAAGGCGGATACAGAGTTTATAAAGGCATTGGCATTTGACTCTACCATACTCAACTAGAAAAAATAATCGGATAGCGGAAGACCCGAGTACCTTTTCATTACAATCTTGGGAGGTGGATACGTTCGCATCAATCACATGTATCTTTGTTGAGCTGCAGCTAGTTCATGAAGACGTGGTCGCATGATTCTCACAAATGCAGAAGTTCCCATGGAGGATTAGTTGGTAGTCTAAACTTCAGCTCGTACGGGGAAGAAACATTGCTAACGTCATATATTCTATGGTAGTTCCTGAATAGACAAGAAAAGTAATATCACAGCCTACCCACGATCATCGTCAGCTACAGGAATACAGACAAAACTATCTTCTGAAAAGGTGAGAATTTGATCACAAAGGTAGGGCCATTATACAATCGCAGATCGGAATCATAATGAAGAAGTATGGGGTGCGACTCGTGTAATGCTGTTTGGATATGATTGCACATACTAATACTAAAGTGAGGAAGGTAATTGGTATTCACAAGTCATGAGAAATCAAGTGATTCTCAATGGGCGATAAGCGTATTAATCTCTTCATTTGATGATGTAGTATTGAAAAAAAGAGTCATTTCTACTTCTATTTGAATTCAATCTGCGGGTCCTTTTGATAGGAATAATCCCACGTCTATTAATATATTCCTCCAGCTATAATTCAAGCATTGGGATGAAAGTGCCACTTTCCAGGATTTCTGCCATCCCGATGGTCATCCAATATCTTATTGAATGCATCTACATCCAAACCACCTTCCAAAACTTTGAAGCCGAGCGGCTTGATCTCTCCAGATTTTACCCAGCCTGGCAATAGCTTGAAGAATTCCTGAGAGAATTCTGTATGCAAATGAGGTATCCCAAGCGTCTGAGCAATATCATAGTTTCCGGAAGATGGCTTCACGCGTAACAACGTTATGACCTTACCTCTCTTCTTCTCAGATAGCAAAGAAATGGCAAATGAGTGCTCAAGGTTGACGGGATCATAAACGTAAACGATTTCATCGCCGACAGCCTCTTGGACACGTGCCTTAACCTCTGAGTCTGTACCATGACGATCGATAACATGGGTTGCCCCATAGGATTTCAGTTCATCGGTGTTTGATTTTGACGCGACCACAACGATCTTTCCAAACCCAGTGATTTTTGCGAGTTGGACGGCGAATTTTCCGCAGCTGGTTCCTCCTCCAAGAATCACGACGGCTTGAGATGAAGCATCAAAGGTCTTGTTTTCTGACCATGGAGCTGGAAATCCAAAGGATTTATCAGACCAGAATGATATAGCAGAAGCAAATAGATTTACTGGAAGTGTTGCTGCTTGATCATCGGTGATGTTCGATGGTACTTTGGCAAAACATCCAACTTCTAGAAGAGCATATTGCTGGGATCCTTCGGCATCAATCGCGAACCTAGGATATCCGAACACATGATCACCGAGTTCGAAGCCAGAGACGTTGTCGCCTTTGGCAGTGATTACACCGGCAACATCGTTACATAAGGTCGTAGGAATGGGAAGTTGGAAGATATTCTTGTCTTGAACTTTTGAATCGTGGGGATTTACTAGATTTTTTATTAGCACAATTTTGCAGTTTGACTTCGGAGGGAAGCTTACTTCCAACAGATGTCGACTTAATAAGAACCTCGTTTTCCTTGGGGGTAGGAATAGGTCTTGTGACTTTCACTACTGGCTTGCCAGTCTCTTGTACGATGAGTGCTTGTTGTGTTGATGCCATTGTTTCGGTTTAGATGCTTGTTATCTTCTTTGATTCTGTATTTTCCATGAAGGCTTACTACAGGATATATATATGCGAAGCCTGAATGTCGTGCTCTCTGATCACAAATCAAGAACGATCAATTGATTAGTGATCATCTTTTCGGTGTTTAACTACCCAACAAATTGAACATATTTTGTCAGCAATCATGGGCCGAGGGATATCAAGTTGATAGTACTATGGAAACTCATAGATTTTTTATAGTAAAATCTCTTTATAAGGATATATTTTTTAATCCCAAAAAATCTTGAGTCTAAAAAGAATCTATATTCTGAGAACCCTCTTCTTGAAGTATTCAAATGGATTTCTTATATTTTTCGATCTTAGGATTATATATAACGTAGTTTAACACCGAATGGCCTATATCACTGAGTGGCCCACTTTCACCTCAATTTACACTTTCAAACTCATATTATTCAACAATAATTAAATCAATTGATTGAAATTATTAAGAATCTAATAATCTAGGATCTATTATATTATTTTGATAGATTTTTATATTATATTCTGTTTTTCCATATTTACTATAATATTGATTAGAAGATGTTTTTTCATTAGAATTCTTTTCTTTTTGATGTTTGTTATATTAAATCTGAATATCAATCTTTTATTAAAATAATATATTAAAAGTCTTTTATTTAATAAGCATTCCTTTTTGATATAATTGAGTTTTTTTTGCATATCGATATTTATTTAATACTTCATTTGTTGTTCAAAATATACGATTCTCTATACTTAAAAGTATATTCTTATAAGCTAATCTCTCTATACCCTTAGCTAAAGTTAATATAGTTTCGAATATAAGTATAAAAGAGTTTGATTAATAACAAATTATTTGAGATTTAATTAATATTGATTAAGAAAAAGCTTCAATTGGGTTATAAGGGGTTTGAGAGATTTATTAATCTAAATTGAAAAAAGGAGAAATAGGTATACAAATTCAAATATCTAATTTTGAAAGTATAGTTTTAGAATTAAATAGAATTAAATCTATTCCTCGAAATCCTACTTTTATATTCTGAAAGATAATTGATTCTTAATATACAGCTTTGAAAACTATAAAGAATTTAATCTTTGAAATATAATTAATATATATCTTAATAAATTCATTGATTTGAGTATTATATAAATGTTTCAGATTATCAAAACAGCTAATATCAAATAGCTGAATTAAATGACTTGAATGCAATAGTAAATTTAGATATATAATATTATTCTCTTTATAATATATTTAAAAAGCTACTGATTCATAGCTTTTATATCTATCTAATATCAATATTCGATATTTGCTCTCTTTTCGATTCTTAATATACTTATCGAAATATTTCAATCATTCTAAACCTGTTTTATTATTTATCCATCCATTAAATATAGATTTAATAATTTATTCTATAGAAAGATTAGTTTTAGTATACTAATTAAAGAGATAAACCTATCCTTAAACTATTAAAAATAAGGGAATAGTTTTACCCTTCGTATTTCCATATATTATTACTATAGCTCATTTTTGATTGCCTGGTTATACTGATTTACTTCTGTCGTATTTCTCAGTATTAATAACAATTATTACTATATATATAATCTCTATTATAAAGCCTATTTCATTGAAATTATAGAAATCGTTATTTAAAATACTATATTTCACTTATATATTTATAATCAATCGAAATCACTCTTTAATAAACTTAGAATCTTCATAAAAAGCTTTTTGAAAATTATAAATACAATTAAAACATATCTTTAATTCAATTCGATACTTTACAAATCAATACATTCAAAACTTCCCAATATATTTCACACCCCTCGATTCAAGAATATAATTCACTATATCTTTCATATTCTTTAATTTAAATAAGAATTCTCTTAAATCTATATTGAGTATATATTGAATAATTATTTTTTCTTCTAATTCTGTAATCTTATAATTATTAGCTTAAATTTCTATATAAAAAGATAAACCTTTTATTCTATATCGAAAAGTTATATAAGAGATATTATAAAGTATAATAGCTTTTCAAATACTTAGTTTTTTATCTTTATAAATAGCTTTGATAATAAGAAGTATACAAGCTTTTTGATTATTCGAATTCATTATAGATTGTTGATAAAACATATATTGAAAGAGAAAGATGTAAATTGAGGTGAAAGTGGGCTACTTGGTGATATGGGCCACTCGGTGTTAAACTACGTTATTCTTATTATATTAATAATCTCAGTATAATTTAATATTGTATGATAGATTCTTTAGAAAGTTAAAAGATTATCACAGAATATCACCCAGTCAAGACTAACCGAAAGTAGATTACTACTGGGCTGAGAGTTGTTGAATACCTCTATATAAAATGCCTCTCTATATTCTTAAAAACAACTACAAAAACGATAGGTATCCTAATAAAGAGATTTCATCATACAATCGTGAAACTCTGTCAACAAACGATGATTTATCAGCAAATCTGATAAATGCGGGGATGCGTTTGACCGCTGACAGCCCGCCAAGATGGGGAGACGGGAAAGTGGGGCCTCACAACCTCATGTCAAGGTTGGTAATCACATTTCAATTCTTCGATGCCCTCATGCATCCTCTATATTCTATATCCCATCTCCTGCTTGCTTAACTCCTTCGGTCATTTCTTTAATTTCTTTCCACGCTTCATTGGACGTAAATAAAGCTGTCATCTAAGCATAAAACTACACTACCTCTTAAGACCCCTATCCTCAAGATACTAATTACCTCTTCATAGTCCCAATATCCGGTCCAATGGAGGTAGAATTGGGTAGGTACTACCTATAGAAGCTAAGGTCCAATTCATCTCGAACGCTTAAATGCATTTTTGAATGAGGGTTGGGGCTAAATTCCAGGTTGTCTAAGATTGATAGCTGGAATATGTCAAAGCAATTGGATATATATGAATGGCTGATCAGACTGAAGGGCTGACAGCACCCGAACTTCTAGCATGGCATAACTATAATCTTCTAGACATAGTGAATAGAACACTGGTATAGAAATGACCTTCTATCGAACCCTCACAAATATGAAAGACGTAATGGTTCACGATTACTTAGGTGTGCGTATATGAACTGCTAGACTAGTATCAAGAATCCATAGAATGATCAATATGTAACAGTGCAGTTTATGCGCAAGTATCCCTCATGCTCAGCTCAAATTCTCAATCTCGTTGCTCTTCAAACATTTCCTTCACCCCTTCGTACCTGTTTAGCAAGCTTCCATCAGGATGACAAAATACACGGAAAAATGAGAATCTCATTTCCGGCCTATTATAAGCAACTTCTATTGGTCTCTGAGCCCAGAAATATGAGTCCGGCATCGAAGTTTGCAAGTTTTTCGGAGGTGCAACTATAACCTTTTCCACCTGTTCACCAATATCGAAAATGCTTATAACCCAAGTGACATAAGCCAGGTTGACGTCGACTTTTTTCCAAAAGTTTGGATTGCGCTCCACTTCCCGATAGTATAATGATTTCGTTCTTTGGACATCACGGATTTCTTTTCGGAGCTCCAGAGCCAAATCCATCACCATAGTTCGATGATTGAGCTTCAAAGTAGCAAGAGCATATCGCCCTGATGTACGGGCGTACTCATCTTGACGGAGAAGTTGACAACCATATGCGACTCCATCAAAAAATTCCGCATTGATTGGTAAAATATGTGCAACTGGTTGTTTGTTTGGACCCCAGTAAAAATTCTCCATTGATTCCTGATAGACGATTAAACTAAGACGCTTTAGACATGGGCATCTAGTTTCGAGTAGTTCCCATATATTGCTTTTTCCTCCGTAATATCGTTCCGCCCTTAAACTGGAGAAGGTGTGCTGCACAGCAATGCTCTGAATCAAAGACAGATCCAAAGTAGTATGATTCCAACTCCAAAGCATACCAGTCACCTCGTGAAAGTATTCTATCATCAATGTATCCTGACGAAAGTTTATGTATCCTTTGCGGTCAACCCGAATCTCACAATCCGCCGTCTTCTTGCTACGAGGTCTTACAATCCGTAACTTGAGATCGTATCTCTGGACTGGAACGCTCATGTTCATATTGGAATAGTTTCTCAAAAAAAGCAAGTGTGATTCTTGACAGGCATAGAGTAAAGCTATCGGAAGTTTTGAAGCAATGGGACCATGCTGTCGTATATGACAGGATAATCTTACCAGATGGTTTGGGTCACTTCTGGTAGGCCTGCGATATCTTCGGTCGACATAAAGTTTGACATCTCGGGGATCGCAGCGTAAAGCACAGTCCCAAATCATGTATCGAAGTTCAATAGGAAGTTTAGGGAATAGGGTGAACGAATATAAAACTGGAACGATGGCGCAAGAATCCGTGGGCCAGGCTATTTGAATAGCATTTTTTGGAAGATCGTGATAAAACTTAATCTCAGAGATTTGCCATGTTTCTGAATCTATTAGTAAACCATGATTTATCTTTGTGTGTAACTCACTTGGGCAGTATATAAGTCGATTTCCAGGCAAAATCTGCTTCTCCTGCACGTCGTCCTTTGGCTTGGACTCGACACCAGACTGATCATTTTTTATTTCGTCTCGCCATCCTATTCGTAATGGTGCAGGTTTTTGCTTTACAAAAACATATCTTGATCGATCTGGAATTCTGGAAATACCTCTTGTAGGATACTGAGCATATTCCTCTACAGTCGAAGTCGGTGTTATGAACAGACTACTCAAATCATGCCAATCGAAGTATTCATCGTCAAATAAAGATTGATCCATGGTGTTGATCACTTTCAATCTCTGCTTCAAGGTCTTCGATAATTTTTCGCGATTCAAAATTTGTGGTTCGAAGTTGTTGACCTTTAAATATTGAGGAAGAATATGAGAAAGGAATTCGTCAGAATACACAAAAACTTCCTGTGGCAGTACCAGACATATAAGTGAATATTTTTACCTCACCGGCCCCGACCAAGCAGCTCAAATGTACGGTTGGTAGCTGAAGAGGTCTTTCGTCCATAGTTCAAAGTTTCAGATGCCCTATATGCTTACGGTTCAACTTGCTCTCTTGAATTTACCGGTGGCAGTATGTATACAGTCTGGCAATTACTGCATCAGATGATGAAAAGTTGGTGTTGATATATTTCAAAATTCACTAGGTAGTCAGCTTAGTAACCTTAAGCCAGAACGTCATTAAGAGTTCTTTCTTCAATAATTCAAGGCGGTGATGACCATAAAGTATGCATATTGTACTACCCATTTACGTTCAATAATTTATAGCTATAAAAGACCTGGGCCTTGAATCTTGGAACAATTCAGTCAAGGTCAACTTACTGACTCTAATACCCCGGAGACTTGGAGGCTTCTAGCTAATACTTGCGACGACATGCCATGCTTATTATTCTCCTGAATTCCTTTTTCCAAATCTATGTAAATTCTTGCAGTATTTATATGACAGAGGTGCGTATTATTGAACAGAGAACCCTTCGGTGTTTCTACCACATTAGGGATAAAGTTGAAAGTATTCCCAAAACTGCCAAATGTACTGAATAGGAGCTCTGTAAAAACAGCGCCGTTGAGAGAATTTGTGGTTGATATCTTAACAAGACATCACATCTGGGTTGCTCGCAAAAAAATATATCATAGGTATCTTTGAGGAATTTTGATTACTTCATCCTCAAATAAGGTGCAGGATCTAACAAGCCCATTCACTCCCCTCAGATTCACGGTATATGTACGCAAGTAAGCTTCCACCCGAAAACAAACAGCATAGTGCAGTGATCAGGCCATTGGCTTCTAATCTCGATAAAATCTCAAAAACATTCATTGCAACTAACATGTTATGTAGAGTTTTCGAGATCGCAAGTGTTCGCCGGCCTATAGTTCTTGGAGTACCACGAAACCTAAGGTAGACCATGTGACCCTCACTAATGATATGGCCCGGCATAGTGTACAAAATGGTTACTGGGGCATCTTGAATGAGATTAGATGATGTGGAAATCGAAAGTGGGCCCGCTGGAGATGGTAAGTTGTTGTTTCATTTGTGTTGATGGTTTGAGCACTCGCTATATTTTTTGTGCTTTTTTGGAGCGCTCAAAAATTGTTAGGATGGTGTTTTTCCGAATCGCATTTGTCGTTGCAGTTCCCTCTGATCATATATACTTTCCACCTTTTTTCAATTCGTCAACATTTCCCTCAAACCCGAATGCAACGTGCCGAGGAGATTCATCAGATCCTATCTTATCGGGAGCCTGTTGTGATAATAACGGTCCAAACCTTAATTTTGTGTTTTTGATACTTTTAGACAATGGATCAGATCCTAACGACTTCCCTCTTGCCAAAATATCCAAGTCTGGATTCCTTGTTGTAAGCATGATGGCGGAGAAGGAGTTTGAATGCGAAACACCATTAACATGCATAGAGTAAAGACCAATCGCACCACAAAGGCTTGCCAGAAAGAATCCGATACTATAGGAAAGGACGAGATAGAGCGGATGATAGACGTAGATATTCCTAGTGTCCAAGGTGGTGATATTTGCATATTCTGTGCTGCTACTAGTGAGATTGGGAGAACCAAGATAACCTATGGTGATATTGATGGAAAGATCCTCGATTGCTCTCATGAAGGTTCGATTGCGACACTGCCATGGCTCGATTTTAAAAATATCCTCAATGGGCCGTGGAGAAGAGGAACTTGGAGAATATAGGGACCCAAATGGTGAAGCCTGTACGTCGTCGCATGCGGTAAATAGACGTAGGAGAGGATTGTCGATCAAAACAGGGACCATATCGTAGCCATAGGTGCCTGCTTTTGCCACTCCTTCACGTAACGTGATGTTTCCTTGCAAAACTTCCTCGAAATTGGAAAATTGATAAAAATCCACCAAACAGCTGGGTGATCCATCACACAAAGGTATCTCGTTTAGGTACTGGGTGCTGTGTTGCGTGATTTCTTGGTTGCCGTAGACAGAAGCGATTGTAACAGAAATAGAGGCATTCATGGCTGTACATACAATGCTTGACGTCGAACTTTGTACGAAAATATGATAAGCAGTTGATTTGTTCACATACAGCTCATACAGAGAACTTGAATCATAGAGGGCGACTGTCCGAAGTGAAAAATAGAGGAGAAGGTAACGTAATTTTGGGTCTGACTCAGACATTGTGTTGTTCCAAATCGAGTCATTGATTTGAGGGACAACAAACACTGATAATTCTTCCCTATCATGCACCAGTTGATCGAAAATAGCTTGCTCAGTACTTTTAGCTTCTCTGCACTTGAGCGTGAGACCAAAGAACTGCATATTATAGGACCAGATTTGAGGCGCGATCGAAAAATTTAGAGGGACCACATCAGCTAGAGATGCTGACTTTTGCGCAATTTTTTCTGAGATTCTGGTATCCACTACAGCTTCGGGCGATTGCGTATCAAGCAAAAATTTGGTTCCATTCAATACCGGAATTGGCATTGAAATAGTAATATTGACTGGAACGACAGAGAGCGTAGCTGCGGGAGCAAAACTAACGAAATCCATGGTCCTAAAATGCACATTAGTGACTTGAACTGTAGACTTTTTCGATAATTTATTCACACATTGAGTTGAAAGTCAGAGCCAAACTTTTATCGTCAATTCACCCTCAAGTATTCCAACATGGTCAAGGGCCTCCAGCCAACTCTTGTGTAGAAAGGGCTCACGTACCAGAAAATTGTGCCTAGTAATGCTGCCAGGGAAGCATTCTTGATAACAGAAACACTGAACAGGCTAATCGGATTACTTGTGAGCGCGAACAATCTGTCAAGATCACCTGCAGTTTTCTCAGTATTTTGACTAGAAAGTGCAATTTTGTATCGGCAATGTGGAATAACACGTACTAATTTTGAGACCTTTCGACCTTACGACGCTCCAAAGATATTGCCCCAGTGCGGAGACAGTAATGGCTTTGAAACATGCGACGACGAGAAATGCGAAGGCTGTCCCGAATCGAATTGACCAAGCTTGTCTCGTGGCATCCCCTGCCGGAGTCCCACTTAATGAATTGTAGTAAGCATGATGTCCAATTGCCAAAATCAGACCACACAATAGCGCCGAGCACATAAAAGTTGGTTGTTGCCAATTGATCTTCCAAATTACAGTATGGTGGGTATTCTGTAAAGGTTGGGCGGGGAGGTTCAAATTTGTACTTTGTGCTGTTGAGGAACTCGAAATGCTGCTTACTTGCTGCCAAGATTCTGGTCGATTTGGAGTAGATAATAGAGAGTCCGTAACTGAGTATTGAGAATTCCTTCGATCGCGGCTTGAGACTCTTGAGGGATCATACAGTCGCAGGTCCACTCCGTGGTCCTGAAATGAAAAATCTGGCGGCTCAAACTCTCGATCATTGCTGACTCGAAGTGGTTCCATCGCTTTTTCCCTGTGTCTTGAATCGAAGAGATATACTTCAGACGTTTCCAGAATTTAGAGTACGCGTTGCATAATGTTGAGAAGGGAAACAATATTTCGTCGCTAAGTACATGTCAATCATTTGGATCATTGAAATGTTAACACTAAGCCTGATCGCCATGATATTCGTAAGCACCCTGCATAACACATGTAGAGGCTGAAGTTGTAATTCAAACAGAGCGAATCTTGGAAGTGCAGCACTGCGGCGAGTGCTGCCATTCAGGGGGGTTTATTCGTCTATTCTGTAACACAACATACCTTTATTGAATTTTGCCTGAATTTGAACGGATGTCCAGGCTGATTCTGACCGAACTTTGCTCCCAGCCACGATTTCATGTGGAACCCCAATACAACAATCTCTAATTCTTAAAAACAATTTAACAAATCATCCTTCAGTCCTTCGCCACCTCCTGGATAATTTAAATTATTCCCCTCGAATTGCTTCCCACATGCCACCTCTTGTTCTTCAATTTTATCCTTTCACGCCTTTGACCAGTCGGTCGAAGATAACCCGGAACCCGAGATATATATTGCGAACATCCACTTTGAAATCAATATAAATGATTACTGAATCATGATCACCCTGAGCTTTTGATATCATCTTTATATGGACAGAAATTTGAAACGAAGAGTAGAATGCCAAATTTAATCAGCGCAGAATGAGATTGGATCGGCCCCCACGTACAAGAGTTTGACTAAGTTGACAGCCTTGCGCGAACTCCTAGGTTGGTCAGCATACTACTACTTATCTCCCTTTCTCTCTTGTTTTTTCCTAGCTGATTCGACGTCTTTAACTTTCTTTTGGCTTCTCCATCGTATTCCATATCTCATGATTATTATCAACACCGGGCTGTAGATCAAAAATAGAAGGGCCAGGATTGTATATGACCACTATAAAAATGTCAGTACATATTTAATTCAATATTCATACGGGAAGAACGTGCTGTTGTTCTGTTAAGCCCGAAGGAAAAACAAACCTACCCCGGTACCGATGGCATTGACCATAGGGACAATAACCGCAGTCGCAATCGCTCCCAGCTCACACCGTACCACGTTATTTGCAGCTGTAGCAGTAGCTGGTTTACCAGGATAGATATCCACCATCAAGATATTGAGAACTTGAAAGCTTGCAACCAGAGCATACCCTATTACAAACAATAGTATCACTGGACCAGCAATACTAACATGGTGACCCATAACCCAACCATAAGCAATTATGGCTAAAGCACCGAGATAGAACAATGGGAGTGCAATCTCCAATCGCGCTTTCTCGATTGGAAAATTAGTGAGATCCATTTGACGATTTCTGATGAGTGGAAAGTTATGAATTTTGGCATGTCGGCGATAGTTGAAGTCTACTATTTTTCCAGTAGTAAAAGCAGAGATGAGAGACCCTGCACCAACAGGAATGAACATCAATGATACTTTTAGCTGTGAAAATCCGTACAAAGAGCCAAATTGTGATGAAGCGCCCGTAGAAATTGCATAATAGCAAGCTAAACTTATACCCGCTGCGCCTAATAATAGTCCTGCTTCTTTATCTGCAAGAACTTTAAGTGTAGACAGTGGGTTTGGGACCTGTAACTTGTAGTTCTTGCGCAGGGCAGTAAATTTCTCTGTATCCAAGGGAACTCCTTTCTTACGACGATTCAAATGTCGTATATGGTCTGTAATGTTCATGCAGAGAAATGGTGGAGGTATGGAACCATCGTCAACTAAATTTCGACAAGTTTCCGGAAGAAAGAGAATAAGAGGTATAAATACGATGCATGAATATATTAAGAGAAACCAAAAAATCCAATGCCAACCTGCATATTGCCCTAATATTCCTCCAATGATAGGAGCAACCATAGGACCAAGAATACTACCAAGAGAAGCCCATGCAACGTAAGTACCCCGCTCAGAAGAAGTGATAATATCACCAACTAACCCATTTGCAAGCGCTACTGTACCACTACTTCCTGCACTTTGCAAGCAACGTAGGGCCATCAACGCTGGGTATGAATTTTGAAGTCCAAGACCGAGAGTTGTGAAGAAGTAAATAATGAAGCAAATGATATATGCTGGACGTCTTCCAGCTTTGTCTGATAATCCCGCAATCATCATAGGTGCTAAGCCTTGAATAACCTAGAGACTGATTAGAACATTACAAATACAAAGGAAAGAGCGAATGACACATACTAAGAACAAAGTAACTGTAAGACTGATTTTTGCATCTGATACATGAAGATCTTTCGCAATTTGACTGAGAGATGGATAATATATGCTCGTTGACATTGGAGAAAAGAGGCTTGCCATGGATCCGGTAAGGACAATCATCTTCTTTTGAGAGGCAGAAAAGACACTATATGGAACATCTGATACTGGATTGAGTTGCGTATTCTCAACCGCTTCGGAAGGTGGTTCGAGTATTTCATTATCATTGTTTTCGATCAACTTTCCAACGCCGATATTGCAATGAGGCTGCACGTTCGTAACATCGGGAGAGATGGGGTTCTCTTGAGGGTTGGAGGGTTTCTGAGCACCAGTCTCGGGAACAACGTCAAGTTGACTAGTAGATGGAATTTTAGATTCTTTCTCCATCGCAGAACTTAACCATAATTTTAATGACCGCCGAATCTTACAATCATAACGTGTTGAGGCTTATATATCTTCTCATGACACCCATCACGGCGAATGTTGACCGTCTATTGCCGGATTTAATGGTTATCTCCAAAGATTGCAGGGGCAACGGAGCCGACAGATTGCAACACGTTGATCCAACAGAAATTCGCATACATCATGACTAGTGACTGGTGAGTGGCTAAGTGAAAACCTCGAAAGTCAAGTATGATAATCGTAGTCGAATATAGTGTCGTTTCTCTTCAAGAAGTAGCAACATCAAGAAGAACCCCCATTTTGAGCTTGAGCCTTGTCGATAACATGCAGGCACGTTGATGCAGCAATCTCTCGGGGAAAACTTCTCCGCATTTTCTAAAACCGTTGCCCATACTATGTAGGCTCAATGCTCATCGGGAGGTTTATCAGACGCAATACCCCATACATGGTATAGATGCTCATCTTTGACAAGTTTCTTTTTGAAAACGGCCTGCATGTAATACTGTGATACCACACCATAGAGACCCATCATCGTGGCCGCATAAGCCATCATGTTGTCCGGGCACTAAAACATCATGTTGTGATTGGTGTTTGCCGAATTGTATGGTGGATATTGCTGTCAAGCTAGCTGCAGCTACCCAGCCACCAGCTAAAAACTGTCTGCTTCTCGTCTCCCCCGCGAACCAGAAAACTGTCATGCTTGGTCCTAGGTTTCTTTGATCATACAATCCTGTATTATGATCTTATATTCTCAGAGACACCAATGAATTGTCAAAAGCTTCATTTTTGAGAAAATCTTTGTTTCTAACAGTTCTGCCCCAGCTGATTGGCTTCACCGCGTTGGTTACCTAGCGAACCCATCACAATTATTTACAACTTTGTGGGATAAGCACATTTTCGCAGTCGAGATCCTTCCCAGCCGCCCATATTATAATCTTCCAGAACAACATTATTCTGCATTCTCCTCTAATTTCGTTAATTATCTCGAACGCGACAAGATTATAATTATTTCGGATTTCTCTACGGATTTTGAAATTATCTGCCATTAGGCGGCAGATCCGCCCGTCGCAATGGCGACTGATGATCTCTCTCCACCGGGGAGCAGTACATATTCATCAAATACAATGTACGTTGGAGACGGGACATGGGATGCTACGAAAAATGATTTCTTACTGCCCAATTTGATGGGCTTAAATTTTGAGACGATGAGATATAATGGTGAGTGAATCTTTGCCAACATCTAGCTTGTTGGGATTGCGATGAATGACGGAGCTTACTGTGAATAGGAATGGGAAATAGATTCGCGACAATGCCTGGATATAAAGGATTAATTACAGCTCATGGTGTACTTGCTGCAATGACCTTTCTGTTCATCGTACCTGCAGCGATATTCATTGCGAGATTTTATGGTCGGGATATACGAAATGCGATTCGATATCACATATATTTACAAATTATGACGCTTCTTCTATCAACAGTCATTTTCATACTTGGATGGATGGCAGTAGGCAATGCGCGAAGCTTAACGAATCCTCATCATGGTATCGGATTGGCAATTTATGTTCTCATCTGGGTGCAATTCTTATCGGGCTGGTTGACACATAATTCGGAAAAGAAACGAGTCTTGAGAAGGATTCCATTGAAGGCTGTCTTGCATCAATGGATAGGTCGTGCAACAGCACTTCTTGCAATCGCGCAAGTACCTCTTGGACTGACTTTATATGGATCGCCAAAATACCTCTTTATACTATTCGCGGTCTGGATGGGTCTCTTGGTATTACTATACTTCATTCTTTCCTACAGGGCACTACAGGCGCTCCCTGAAGTATTACGAGAAGGAAGTCGACATGGCGAGGTAATTCAAGAGAGAAGAAAAAGTTCATTTGGCATAGGAATACTTGGTCCATTACTCGCAGGTGCCGGAGCTGCTGCTTTACTCGGAAATCGAGATCGAGATAGGAGTAGAAGTAGGAGTCGCAGTCGCAGCCGCAGTCGCAGTCGCAATCACAGTAGAATTCGAGAAGAAGTTATTCCTTCGCGCAGGGGCTCAAGATCTCGACGCGGATCAGTAAGCTACGTCGAAGAAGAGAAATATGAGTCTAGGAAAAAGGAAGGTGGCGGCGTTATGAACTCATTATTCAAGGGTGCGGCAGTTCTTGGAGCTGGTGCGCTCGCGAAGAGTTTCTTCGATCGGCGACAACGAACAAAGCATGAGGACGAATATTCTTCTGTTGCTCCGGATACTCCAGGTAGAAGGCAACATAGACGCAATGACAGCGAATATAGTGATTCAACTCTTACAACCGAACAAACAAATCATTATGAAAATCGCCGAGGAAGTCGTTCCATCTTACCTGGGCCCGGAGCACCAGCAGCTGCTGCGGCTGCTATTAGTGCTGCAAAAGCACGTCCAACAACTCCAAGACCTGTAACGCCCGTAACACCGAGACCAGTACGAAGTCAAGCTGGCCGAACTCATAGTTTTGATTCTATGAGTTATTCCTACGATTACGGATCTGGTACTACAGCTAGCCCATCTCGAAGACCACAAGAAAATAATGGACTACGAAATGGATTACTTGCTAGTTTGGGAATAGGCTGGTTTGCCAAGAAAATGAAAGATCGTAGAGAAAAGAAGGAAATGGACCACATTGAACGCGAGGAAGACGAAAGATATGAACGAGAGAGAGCTTCTCGACACATTAATCAAGGTTCACATTTAACAAGCGACGCATTTCCACCAAGACCTCATATCAGACAAAGTTCTTTAGAATCATCTGAACTTTCGTCACTTGTCGATCCTCATCCTGCACCTAGAGCAACAGTATTAGTACCAGCTCCAGTTCCGGTAAATATGGGTCAATCTCGTTCTCATCATGATGTCGTTACAGAAACAGTATCAATGCCTCCTATGCCTTCCGATCCACATGGCGTTCTTCATCAACCTTCTGATAGTGATGTCACTCCAACCCCTGGTCGAAGTCGTCGCCGGTCATCTATTCGACGAGAGGAAGGAGAAGCTGCTGCCGCTGCCGCTGCCGCTGGAGCTGCTGGTCTTGCCGCAGAAGAGGAACGTCGTCGTCAAAGATCTCACTCTAGATCGGCAGTTGCAAGTCCCCCTGTCAGTGTTAAAGTGAAAATGCATGGCGATAAAGACCGCAATGTTACTTTGAGACGTCTAACAGAACAAGAAGCTGCGGCAGAACGTGCCTCGAGAAGGGCTCGAAGTGGCCAAAGACGTTCGCGAAGGGACTCAGCAAGTGACTTCAGTGATGGCGAAGTGTCATCTAGATATAGACGAGAAGCAGAGAAGAGAGCCGAAAGAAGAGCCGAATCAATGGTCAGAGATAAACACGAAGAAGCTGGCATTCCACCACCACCAATAGGTCCTCTTACACCACCTAACCCTGCATTTGCAGGTGGAAAGAAACCTAAGGATTCAGCTTACTACTCTGGACGACCACAGAGTTCTGGTAGACCACAAAGTTCTGGTAAACTAGATCCGAGTGTTGCTGGAGGAAGTATATTCGATGCAGGAAGGAGTAATATGTCGGAAGATACTCATGGTACATGGAGTGCCATGAGTCCAGATTCTGGTACTGATCACGCGAGAGAAAGGCGACAAAGGAGGAGAATGGAGAGGCAAAGACAAAGTATAGGAACCGGAACGGCTGGCACAGTTGATTTTACTTGAGTTCTGATCCTCGAGTTGTATTATTGTTTGGTGTTTGGAGTTGGCAAAATCGGGCTGGACTATTTGCTTTTTTATTGATGAAAATATAAAGTGGATGGGGTGGTAAAACGGAACGACATGTATGAAGATGTTAGCTTATGTTCAAGGCTTTAGTATATGGCTGATGAGATTATGAATGAAGGCGGGATAGGATATGATACGATATGAAGTTTTTCCCAAGGAAAGTTCTCAACGATGTGGTTAGGATAAGCGAGCAATCTGGCATAGATACCTACGTACCTACGTACTTTTCCTGCATGTTATTTTAGCTTTTTGTTTTTCTACTTAATTGATATTATTAATTTTGCAAACGATCATGTTCATCCATGAAAGTGATTGCCGCTGTGTGGAATTGTGAAGGATTAGGCTAGTGCTTAGACTTGGAATTATAATTGGCTTGGATCAAAGTTTACGAATGGGATTTCCTGAGTCGGGGGGTTTATGAGGGGCTGTAGGGGCTCAAGTTCTCTGCTTGCTGTTTGCTGTATCATTTTTGATGTAGGAATGGAGTTTCGGATAAGTGTCTAAGTATATGAGGAAGCTCAAGGGGATTAGTTTAACTTGGTTTGGGTCGAGCGCTTGGTCAAGTGGATAATTCTGAGAGAATTAAGAGGGGGGGAAGGGGGAGGGGGAGGGGGATCGCGCTCTTCATTTTAGGCTGTAAGTTTTCTTGAGCGAATTGTGGACTTAAGGGGTTTAGTTTTGTTTGGTTAAGGTAACATCTTGCTCGGATATACATATTTAATTGGTCAGCCGGGCTGACTATTCAGATGCCTATTCAGTGTTTAGTTGGTGATGAATCTTGATGAACATCTCGGTAGTTTTCAATTCTGCGCAAATTTGTTTACTCCAAACCGTTTTGTTAGTATTGACTTGGTCGATAAGTGTAAAGTAGTTTGTTCTATCAAGATTGTAATTGTGCTTGATCATTATTAGTTATGCCTGAAACTAATATGTCAGTACAAAGTACTGTAAATAATAGTGGAAAGATTTAGGGTATAGCTCACTATCATCAGCAATTTGACTAAGTTTGTATCATTTAAAACTACCCAAGCTTGGGCATTCTGATAAAAAGTAATTTGGACACTTTTGATTGGCTATAGCTACCTACATACAATCGAGAACTATACACAAATTACGTCCTTTCGCTTCTAAGTGTGCTTAGTTGCTTCCGCTATCTTATTTCAGGCTCTGTATGCAATGCACACGCAATATTAACTACCGATAGGAAGCTGGTACTCATATAAGGAAGCGCTAGTGCCTCGCTGGCTAACAGCTTAGCTTGTTATGATCACATGATCGAATGTCCAACACGTATTCTATCCAATTAATGAACAGAAACTCCCCGTCGAAAGAAACCCGTGGTACATATCTAGAATATACCGAGCAACGGTCTTCCGTTGCGGAGAACAGCAATTATGACTCTGATGCCGTTTATTATAGCATTCATGCGCCGAGCAAATTGTGGCTCCCACGCAGTGTAATAACTCTGCGATTCTTCTGTATACAAGTCTTTCATCTCAGACACATAGTTCAACGACTTTCTTTCCCGAATGTAATTTGTAATGGTGTCCCTATACATTGAGGAGTCGGAGATTTCTATGAAAAGGTAATCTAGAAGAAGTGAGCGAGACTGAACTCTCACAGTCTCATGGAGAGAGAAGGTCATTACCAATGTGTATGAGTACCTTGATGAATGCTCTACTTATGACTTGCTTCAACTCCTTCGACTCTTCTGATCCTTGTTCCTCAATTCTGCATCTTTCGCATATTTTATGCAAATCTGTTAACCTTTCAGACAGGATTATGTGAAGATCCTCGAGCTGTCCTCTGATGTTAAGTTCTTTCAAATTCCATGCAGATTTGTATGAATCTTCTACTGAGCCTATGGAGTGAATGAGAGTGTTCAAACCATGCAATAAGATAAGATACAGAGTGCCGAGATCCTTCGCATCACGAGCCCTCATTGCTTCCTCATAGAACTCTAGTTGAGACTTGCTACCGTGTTGAGGAGTTTGGTTGAGCTTTTGCCGATAAGTGTCACTCTCAAACCACAAGTCTATGCCCTCAATCATCCGTTTTCTCTTCGTAAGAACCACGAAGGTCATCCGCGCGTCATTTTTAATCCGAGTTATTTCCGCGAGAGTTGCTGGGACGTAGATAGTAATGGGATTGTAGATATCCTTCGCTTTGAGCTCAAAGTCCTCTTTGCCACCTTCGTAATACCATTTCAAGGCCTTGGTGAAGTCCGCGGGCTTGCAAGTGTTACTGAATCTGTAGAGGTCTAAATGTTCTTCTAGGTCTTCGATAATCTCCCAATATCTATTTACGTCGTTGGGGAGATAGGTGATGAGCGGAGGTCTTGATTGATAGAATAGTTTGCCTCCCATAAGTTGTGACTTGATAGCATTAATTCCTCGAACAGCATCTCTGTAGGTCTCAAACATCTCGTTGACCGTTCGTTGGGCCATTTTGTAGGCTAATTGGGTGTAGTGAGATAATTAAAAAAAATAGTGAATGATTGAAGAAGGATTTGTTTGAAGAAACAGCTTTCTAGGCTCTGTATTCTTTGAGTTCTGTAGTCAATCGATATTTCCCAAGAATAACGATAAATAACTGGAAGTGGAAGGAGATCAAAAAGTCTATCATGACCGCAACTCCCTTTTTCAAATATATACCAAACTTAATCATTTTCGGAATCTACCACTCAAATGTTTTTAATAAAATTTGAACCTGAATTTACAAATCTCCCAAAATTTCTGAAAACATTGAACTCCTTAAATAAAAAGTTTTGGAATTTGTCTATTACGATACAAGTCTCATCAGCAGTCCAAATAGCAGCCCCTCTGTGTACTTGCTTGCGATACTACTGCTGTCATTTTCTCATTCATATCCACCTCTTTGCTCGCTTTCCCTTATGCCGCCAATACTAATCACTTCTTGTGACATATACTTCGACATCGATAGTAAATGACCAGGCGTTTGCTCAAACAGTCTCCCTGGTATAATTTGTTATTGAATCCTCTTGGTTGGTATTCGATGTTGAATCATGAGAAAGCCCAAGAAGTTGACGTATCCATTGAAATGCGTTTCCAAAAGAAGCGAAAACTTTCCCGAAAAACCGGCCTATCCACTGGAACAAATTTCTAAACTGAACAGGGATCCATTTGGAAATGATTGTCATAGAATAGCTAGATGAGTAAGATATTATTAGCATGGCTTCTTGTGTTGGGTAACCTGATATGTATGGTATGGCGAAACGTACATTGGAATCCACCATTCCGAAGGTTCTCCGTCACATCTCTTGGGGCCAAAAGTTGATTCAAACCTCTGGGCCCACTTTTCCCACTCAGACTCGGAGTCGTTCACCGTATTTACTCGACCCGTACGTCGAAATGACGAAGAGGGACGTTCATCCGCCCGCCGAGACTCTTTGTCATCCGGGCTCTTTTTACATATCTCCTTTATTACCCCTGACCTATACGGCTCATAAACTCTCCTCGACTGCTTTACAATGTTGCCGAGATTGAAGACAATCATGTATGTTACGAACCCAACAAGAATAGTTGTGAGTATGAAAGGGCTTCTTGTACTACTGCTGGTGATGTTGGGGATCGCCTAAAGTGCCTGCAGAGCTATCAGTATCCATCTGTAGCTTTATCTCGATAGATTTGGGCCGAACATTGAAGATCCAAATAGCGACGATGAATCAAAGAGAAATTGCCTTTATGAGGTACTCACAGCACAGAATGCCAGTGGCAAATAGAAGATACTGACATAAGTCAGTAGCTTGACGTTTTCTCCCAGCCGCGTCGATGCCCTGCTTTCCATGAGAGCACTAGCATTGAACAGCTAAACGAAACAAAATTTGTCAACTGTGGAATTCTTGTAATAGATGAGGTGCACACTAAAGCATAATCGTCAGGGCATCACTTACTCCATCGCGGTAAGCTTGTGCTGTTTCTTGTTGGTGTTTAAATTGAGACTGCCAATTTATCAAAGACTCCACCTCAACATCTATCCTATTAGCCAAATCATTGATCTTCTTCTGGCTTTCCTCTCTCAAGTTCTCAGAGGAGGTTGAGGATCCACTTTCTTTAGGGACCTCGGCACTTCGAGGAGGCAGCTCAACGTCAATTTCCTCAGCTGGACTTAGAACCTTGTTCTGCTTACCCATTTTCATTTTACTAGACGTTGAAGATGAATCGTTGTTTCGAGATACATCGACCTGATTTCTTCCAAGATACGATTCGACGCGCGCCTCGCGGAACAACGTCCATTGTTTGATGTTGTCTTCGATGCTAATTTGAAATTCATTGACACACCCAGTCACCCAAAAGTACAACCTAGATTGGCTAAAATTCTCATCATCAAATAGAAGTTCGACGTAAGTCGCGGGATCCATAAAGTCTTCATGTAGCAGGCCTTCTATATGCTGATACAACTCTTCCCACCGTTTAACAACCAATCTCATAGCGTAAAGAATACTGGTGAGCTCCGCTGTTAGCATGCACTTTTGGACTACAATATCCCTCTGTCAGGGCCGGATGAACGCGGAGAATCAATGTCGATCGCGTCATGAGACGGAAAGAAGTTAGAAGGAGTCAGTGACAGGAGGGTCCAGCAAAGCTCGGATTCTTCTTCCGGGGGTCGTTACGTGATTCCGATTTTTTAAACATCTGCTTAGTTGGAGTTAATCGCTTAGTGTATCAATGGCAAGGGCTTACTGTGAATGCGCTTCGTCGGAAGGGTTCAACTTCACCTCCAGCTGTCTTCAGGTAAAGGTTTCCAGTTTTCCAGCTTTCGCTACTAGGCATCATCCAATACTCAATCTTCTCGTAAAAAACAATGTGAAAACCATTGTCTAGATCGTAATATGGATTTGCAGATTTGCTACCTAATCTTTTCGAGCACCGAAGGTGAAGTTGAATAGTCACTTCCAACCTCTCATCTCGTCGATGTTGAGCAACCCGGTAATGCCGAGTTCCTTTTCAACATCACTCAAGCCGCAGATGTAGATGTGCGATCCTCTCTCTTCAATGGGGTTGCGAACGCCATAGAGAAATCCGGAATTTAGATAAGGAAAGGGACATAAAAATAAATCGCCATAATTGATTTCCGGGTCCAGTACCAATGAAAGGCCTTGGCAACATCTGTTGAAAGTCAGAGCAGTAAAATGTTTCACCTGCAGTACTACATACATAACTCTTCTCCATTGATTAATGAGCCATTTGGGAGCAGAATCCTGTCTTTTTCTCATCCAACGGTCTCTGTATTGGACTTGCGTTTCATACAACCAAGTCCATTGTTATGTGAAAAAAATCGGGGTAACTAACTGGGTGCTTGTGGCTTCAAAAAGTATGACATTCATCTCTTCAGGCTTATAACAGGCAAGAATTGGCTTCGCTGGGTCCACAAGATTGCTGTCCACAAGATTGCTGTCCAGAATCTCGAATCGAAAGTGTTCATTCTTGATCATAGAAAATCGTTTCAGTTCTTCTGTCAAAACCAGAAATCTTATTGTCGCGCCTGTTGGAGGCCATTTTGCGAACCGTGTTAAATTTAAATGGAATGAAAGTTCAATTCTTCCATCTCGGGGTACTAATCGACAAGCTCCAAATTCTCTGGTTGTCTCTTCTTTTTCGGCTTCCAAGTCTATTAATCCTAGTCTTTCCAATTTAGAAGGATCTGGGGGAGATGGTGATACATATGCCGAAAATCTCTGCTGAAATATATTCTATGAGTGATGAATAAACACTAAGGCAATAAATAAAGTGCTTACTTCCTGCCATAAATGAGTGACTACTTTTGTTAAAGAAAGGGTTTTCTCACCTGAACAGGCTCAACTGTATCAGAATTTGCTGCAATGTCCGATTCCATAGTTACTATACTAACTTACTGAGAGTAATGCAATATCCTCCACGAGTGTATTGTTAATTTGGTGATTTAAGGAAATTCTATTAAAATTTCGTAAGTATCTTCAAAATCAAAGCAAAGAATACTTCTTCCAAATGTATCTCGAAACGATAAGAAACAAAAGTTGAAAATATGTGCCAGTATCTTGATCTCGTAATCTTCACGCCATTATATGGTTAATGATATTGTTCAAACCCTCGACACCAATGACGATCGCACAATGATTTCATGTTATTGACGGACTGGCCCGCTCCATTGAGATATCTAGTACTTTATAAATATTTTAGGTAACCCAATCAAGATAGCACACGCAACATTTGAGGCGTTCCGTGTGTCAGACGAATACAACGTCAAGTTCAGCCGCATTCCTTCCAACGGTTCTTTACAATGAAGAGACTGCAAACCCCCACGCCACCACAAAATAAATTTCAGTAAGCAGCGTAGAATTCGCTGGAAATAGGTAAATTTTGCGAAGGGAGAGTGACAAGGTCCATACTTTCGACAAATCATACATGAAGCTTGCGCAATAGGCGCAATACGAACCATGAGTATGAACTCAGCTAGCTTACCCCCCGTAGATTCATACCGCTGATGCCCAAAACTGCACCAAAACTGGAATCCTCCACTCTACCACCAAGCATAATGAGAGAAAATTTGATCCTTGACAGGATATTGAATTTTGGAAGTAAATATCTCGAAAGTTCATATCGTCGCAAAATAAAGCTACAATAAGCGAGCAGTAAATCAAATGATCTTTTCTATCAGAAGTGCATTGCCCATGCAAAATGTAGAGGTGATAAAACCCTATTGCTCCATATTCTCGGCCTCAATCCAACCCCACGAGCGTCGTCGATGCGTCTTGGACGTAGTGCGTATTTTCTGAACGCCTCAAAATTCAATACTTGATCCCTAAGCAATATATCCTGATAATCTATGAGCTGAATCACCCCGGTACCTATCTAAAGTTATGCTTCCAGACCGGTCGGAGTTTTACAGCTATATCGGAGCTTAGATCTCAACATTATATGATAACAGAATCACTTACTCACAGGGGAGGCGGGATAGCTTCTATCAGCTTGCTAAATATTTGATACTCTTGGCATGCACTATTATGCACGTCATACACTACAGTACTAGGCCACTTATATCCGCCCCCCCGCTTATTTTATGGTGTCACATATTACATTATCCTTTTTCAATATTAAATATTAAATCAATCAAGAATTATAAAATTATCAAATTTGAACAAATGAATAATATATTTTTATATTATTGATATATATAAAAATTATTTTATTATTAACTTTTAATCTATCAATATTTAATATGCCAATTATTTGCTGTAATACAAATTTTAATTTTAGAAGATATATTAACTCCCAAATTATTAAATAATTCTTTATTTAATATATCTCAAACTATATATAAACAATTCTCTAATTTTTAACAAATATATTCTGATTTGCTTTTATTAATAGCAATATTAGAAAATATCTTATATACTCTTATCTTTAGAATCTATTATATATACTCTATAGGATTGAGATTAGGGGAATAAGGAAACTAATTCTTTAATAAAAGAATTTCCTTTTTTTAAAACTAATCTTATATTTTATAAATATAATAAATAAAAGTATTATTCTATATAAATTTATATCTTAGATTAAGCTTTTCGAAAATAAAGCCTACTTTAGCTTCAAGAATCTTGAGATAAAACTTAGTATTATATCTATATTTCATATTTTCAAAATCCCTATTTATTATATATAGATTACTTTTTTCAATATTCCAAAAGCTTTTTCAGTATATAATCTTCATATTCTTATTTGTATTATATATTTCAATTATTTCTAAGTTTTATTTTTGAAAGTTAATACAGAAATATCATTCTAATCTTTTTTCTTTTTCTTGTTTTATAGAGTATTCATTTGATCATATAATTAGGCCCTATTTTTTAATTATTAACCCCCTATGAGCTAGATATTATTTAAGCTGTTTAGTAGTATGTACTGATATAAACTCTAATCTTTTCTTATATCTTCAATTGATTATATTATATTTAATCAAAATCCTTTTAATGATTTTAATATTATAATCAAGTTTAACCTTTTGAATAATCTATTTATATATAGTTTTCGAAAACAATTATATATATTATAATAGTATTTGTTTGTTTTATTTAATATATAATTTAGATTAATTAGTATATGATAAGTATATACTATTATTGTATATTAGATCTTATAAAAGTATATATTGTATAATTCTATGAAAGAGTTCAAAGCTTTTCACAATTCAATAAAAATTAAAATCTTTCTTTATCTTATTAACTATTTTGCTATATATATATAGAATAAAATACTTATAAGAATCATTTTGCATATCTCCATTACATTATGTATTATGAATTGAAAGTATAATTAAAATAATAAAATGTGATTATAAGAGTGTAATACATGAAAAAACGCGTTTTATGGAGTTTCGGCTAATAGAAGTGCACGGTGACTGTAGCAAGCAAGAAGTGGATCATGTATTTCTGACTTCTTGGACTTAAGCGTGGAGCTACTGCGGAACTAGGGAGCACAATATGGACTTCTCCGCACTTCATAGATTTCATTGTTCCTAGACATATCAAGCAATATATTATAAGGATCAGCCGATTATTCGACTTCAAGATTTCAACAAGATAAATGTCTACCCCACCATTAACAACTACAGCGCATTTAGTTACTCCAGTAACGATTGCTATTGAGGATCTCACCGACATCATGAAAGACTCCAATATCAGCGACTCCCGTTGGATCACTTCTGAGTCTTCTGACGGTGATGACTATGTTCTGAGTACCGAGACTACGATTGTTGCCTCTTCCGCCGACATGACTACATCATACCCTCATATTTCTCCATAGCCGCAGGGACTACGGGGAGTATCTTACTAAGGTTTCCTTTCAACTTCAGTTCTCAGCGAATCTTAATCTAGCTGAGCTATCTCCCACCGTTCGATAGGTATTTCCGACTACCAGAAGCCAATCCTACGTAGCAGCAAGAGCGGAAAATGGTGATTTCACCATGTTGGAAACTGACAAAGAAATTTCCTTCAATATTTCACAATGATTCGATTGTCGCAGGATGAGCGAATCGGGAAATGAGCAGGAACTCATGTTAACTAGCCTCCAGGAAAGTAAACAACATATTACTGGTATAATCGAGGAAGAAGCGAGACTTGTGTCCATGAATACAATTATTCTCATCGGTATCAGTCAAGGTCGCCCCACAACCAATCTATTAATTGAGTTCTGGTTTCACTGTCAGTACTTCATGGTCTTATCCACTTGGTTGTCGTTGAGGCAAGATATCGATCATCCGATTTTACAAGCATCACAAACCATGTCTAGCGAAATGATATGAACAAAGTTTTGAAACTTAGATCAATCCCACGCAGTGTAGGCAATAGTATTTCCCGTATTCCGTATACGGGTTAGTTTAGTGGTATGTATCGAATTTTTTCGAAATACGTACGTATGTGGTACAGAATTCAATATCATTGAAAGTATTCAATATCATTTAGTTATTCAATACTATTAGTAATATACTGAAATACTAGAATCCAATATAAAATATACATTCCTATTCAAATTAGGCTAGAAATAAGGGATTCCCATTCAGTTTGAAATAAGAAATGGAAACTTGTCAACTAATACGAATAGGAATGTATATTTTATATTGGATTCCAGTATTTCAGTATATTGCTAGAATTCTTTAGTATATAAATATGTATGAGAGTAGTATAACCTCCTTTCTATACGTACTAGCTGCAATATCAATATGCTAATACACGCCACAGTTTCACTGTAGTATACTATTGCCTATACTGATCCCACGCACAACTCCATTTTTATTCACTCATTTCAAAGATGACAAAACCGTTCCTCTGTACATGAATTACTTTACACCGTGCAATTAATAAGCTATCGCAAAAACGTAGACCGGAAGGAACATGGGGACAGGAACCACCAGGTTCATCAAAATGTAGAGTAGATAATACATTCGATTTCATTCACAAGTGTTTAATCAAAACCACATACCCAATAATTTTCTTTTGCAACAAAGTCCGTAATAAGGGAACACCCAATATCGCAGTGGACTAATCTGAAACTCTTCTCATAGTCTCAAATAGTAATTCTAATGCCTTACGTCTACACATATCTTCAATTCCCAATTCCCAATACACATATTACCCACCTCCTCAACCAATAGTTTCCAGCTGCAGCATAGCATAATCATCACAAGTACCGATAAGATCTTAACCATAGCTTTTCAACCAAATACCACACTTCCATATATCTGAATTCCAGTTTTGCGATCATTCTTTAAAATGTTATCAAGGAGAGACCCGCTAGACAGATTAACCGAACGTCGAAAAAGCTAGCCGAGGTAGCCGATCACGAGATGTTATGAGTTATGAAAGAATAATGTAGTGTTAATATCTCTGAGGGTTATTGATATCTGTAACTAGATCTCGATATCTTGCTTGACATCTCAGTTAACATAAGTCGCGCTAGGTAACTAGCTAGAGCACCGCTATTCATTTCGATGAATTATAATATAATCATATCAGCGAATCAAGTTCAATAATTTTCTATCGCTATCAAATAGATCTATCTAATTAGACAATCGAAATCTCACTTCCTAGGTCGAATTTGAAGAATGAATTATTATGTTATTTTGATTTTCAGATCAAAAGAATATAATGAGCTGATTTTTTTGAATCAAATATATATATCAAATCTCGTTTTTCGAATTCATCGAAATGCTCTGCTTTCATTTCAATATAAGCTCCGACCTAAATATCTGTCACTCATTCGAATATCTCTCAATTCTTCAAACCAAATAAAATCTATACAACAACAGCATATTATCCATATTGTCACTATCAATACTATCATTTAAATAACAAATCTAACCCCCAAAGTTCTAACTTAAAAACAACTACTCCTCTTTCTTCTCTTTCTATCTCTTCCATCTAACTCATCCCCTAACTCATCCCCTAATCCATCTCTGTAACTCAATCCCCCAAAATCCCACCTCCTCCAAGTTCCTATACCCCAAAATTCCCACCACAAAAAAATCCCTTCCCTCCAGAAAAATCCATTGAAGTATTAATCCATCAACCCATCCGTGCACACAAGTTACAACCCTCTCTCTCTCTCCCTGTCCCTATATCACTTCATTTTCCTAAACATATCTCATTACAATACTACACTACATCCTAAATTCTCTCAAATCTCAATAAATATTCTATCTGTGAGATGATCTTTCTATTAACTCATTTAGATATCTATTTATTTATCTACTTCTTTAACGCTAACAACTTATCCACCCTACCCATTCAATCAATCTACCTATCTACCCATTCAATCCTCTCACCTACCCACCCATTCAACCCCAAACCTCAACATCACCATCTATCATATAAACTATATATTCTGCTTCTCCCAAAATACATCCATCAAAATAAAAACTCTCCCAAAAAAGCTTCAGCAAGATACCTTTCCCAAAATGCCTCCACTGAAATGCTTCTCCCAAAAACTCTCAGCAAGATACCTCCACTGAAATGCTTCTCTCAAAAAACCTCAATAACTCCTCCAGCCACCCTCTAACCCACCCCCTAATTCACACTCTAACCTACCCCTAAACCTCACCCCACCCCACCCCACCTCATCCCACCTCTCTCTAAATCTCTCAAAACCCTCCTCACCTCTCTCCTCCTTCCCATAAATCTCTCAAACCTCTCAAATCGCCTTTCTCCTCCTTCCCCACTAACCAATACCAATTAATACCAATACCCTTCCTCTCCCACTCCCACTCCCACTTCTACTCTCAACTCTATATTCCATCTCCATCTACTCCCCACAACCATCTACTCCCCACAACCATTTACTCTCCTATCATCCTATGCCGCAATCCACAAGTCGCAAGATAAAAACAAGCTCTTCCAGATTCGATCTATTCCTTATTCCCTATCCCATTTCCTATTTCCTATTTCCTCTTTCCTCTTTCCTCTTTCCTCTTTCCTCTTTCCTCTTTCCTCTTTTCCACGCAGAAGCCAGGAGCTAGTCAAATAGCCAGTCATCTATCTCTCCACTCCTCTCTTTCCATCCTTGCAAACCTTGCATACCCCAAAACATCGAAAACCTCAAAACAAATAAGTGATACATCGCGAAATTCACCACATCACATCAACATCACACAAAATACCCAAGCATAAACATTAAATAATATTTCATTTTTTCTCTCTTTTCTCCCCCACCCCCACCCTCCCCCTCCCCTTCCCCACCCCACCTCCTCAAACCCAATAATTTTCCCACTAGATAATTATATTCATCCTCCTTCCCAGATGTCATAATATGCACTCAACTTTGTTATTCCCAATCTCCCCAACCGAATATCATATCTTCACCAGCCGAAAAACGCCGTGCCTCAAGATATAAAGAAAAATACCTATAGTTCTTCTTCCATCAATTTTCTGTCCAAATAAAAATTTCCCCAAACCGATTATGAGCTAGATTTAACCAGTCTTAGCTTTCTTGGCCGGTCTCTCCCCATCACTAGCCCCTTCATCTTCACTATCACTTCCAGAACTCTCATGAGCAGAATCATATTCTTCTGCCACATCACTCTCACTATCTGTTTTGAAATCTTCATCCACACTCTCATCATCCTCATCAGCACTTCCTCTATCAGCTCTAGCTGCCACGACTTCTTCATCCGAAGATTGCATGTCTGGATTGTTAAGAAGAGCAATGTGTGCTGTATTATCTTCATCCATCTCATTCTTAACACGAATTCCCTTGATCTTGAAGAAATCCTCGAGATTCTTCTGTTCTTCGCGATTGATGTTACTGAATTGAGTTTCACCAGCTCCACCCTTCATTCCAACTGCGATATCGAAAGTACGGGAAGCCGAAGTAGCTCCACCAACACGAGAGAAAGTTATGACAGTAATTTGCTCGTAGGTGATATATGTAGCAGGTTTTGGAACGAACATGAAAGCTTTTTCCAAGCAGTAAAGAAAACCTTCACTAGCTTTGATAGAACATTTGATACCATATTGTGAGTGATGACTAATATTGTTAGTAAAGCATAGAGACCAATATTGGAAAAATAACTTACCTCAAGAAATCCTTGGCTGGTTGATTGATCTTCTTTCCGGCAAGACCACGGAATACTTGTGTGACAACTTCATGTAATGGTTGTTCATAATGTATACTCAACTTTCCTGCGTATTTGTCTTTCATTACATCCTCAGTCATATTCAAATCAATGGTAACTTCTTCATCCTTCTTGAATTGCATAACCAAGAAAGGATATCTGGTTTGACCTTGACGTAATGGTGGATCCAATCCGATACAAATCATAAAATGTAATTCGTCAGGCTTTGGTAGAACCATGAATTTCTTGATGTTGTCGTATTGAATCTTGTAATCGTATGTTTTACCACGTAATCGGAAGGAGTTTTCGTACATATCGATATCGAAACGTCCTCTGCGAACAGTTAGTTTAGTACAAAGAAACTGAAAATGCGACATACCTTGGTGTAAGATGTAAGACATCCAAAAAAGTAGCGACAGTATCTCCAGCAACATCACCAATTTCAGCCTTCTCCATTAAAGTGTCATAAAATATGGTAGAAGCATTGGTTTCCTCTCCATCAGCTTCATCTCCAGAATCCTCCTCTCCTTCACGGGCTCCTTTCTTTGACGCAACACCAGGAATATAGAATCTCATCTCAACAAGTTGATCTTTTCCGGCACCAGATTTCTTTCCCTTGGCACGCGCACCACCTAAAGCTCCATTTGTGCCCGTATCATCAGCATTTGCAGGAGTGAACTCGACCGCAACTTCATTCTTGCCTGCCAAATTTGTGTTTGAGATCTCGGTGTACGGAATTTCGAATGCGGGTCTGTTTTGAACGTTGAAGACCAATTCCGACTTTCCAAATTCACCTTTGCCCCAATTCCACCCTCTCAAAGCGTGCTCCTTGTGCTCCAAATTCGTGCTGTACCAGTTCTTGAAAACTTTACTTAATCGCTCAAAGTCCTATACTGTATCAGAAAGAATGCGCCAAGTGAAGGATGTGTAGTATACTAACATCTTGTAGGAAACCATCAAGTTGACAGATATCACCATTGCGCAACAAAAGCTTCACCTCAAAACCCTTCGCTGCCTTGCTCCATTGCGCGCCTGCAATATTACTGCTCTCGAGTGTAAATGTATCTCCGCCGCTCGATGGTTTCCATCCAAATCCAGTTTCAGCGAATCTGCATCGACCTGACTCTTTCGAGAGATCAAGGAAGATATTTTCGAAACTCTCCCTGGTGAGTTCAATAATGTTAGCAACCACATCTGAATGCATCGTTTTTGGCTTCAACAACTTTCAATCTTTTTTTTCTTTTCTTTATAGTAGAATCGCAATTGATTCCAATTCATATTTGCAGGGAGATGGACATACATAGCCATATTTTGAGTTTTGGTGGTGGGTAGCTGTTGCTTTTCGTGAGGATCGATTTTTCTCAAGGACAGGACAATTTGACAATTATGGTCGCGGTCGCGTTGAGAGAGACGCATAAATTGATTAAGCTCTAGGTCACGTGATGATATAGTTTTTGGCGATACGATGCTATCATAAAAGTCGAGACGAGAAAGGAAAGGGGATTACTCAAATTCGAGAGGTTAAATTCACGTAAAAAGAACATCACAAGCTAATTGCGAGCTATTCTATATTCTCTTGAACCCGATTCAATACATTACTATTACTAGGTATTCGAAGATAGTTCACATATATAGCTGTTTGCCTAGGCTGTAAGGCTACAAGTCAAGTCAAGATGTAGTATCTCTGATATCGTGATTATTCCATTCTTCTAATAAATGAAAATGAACGTTCAATAATTCAATAATTCAAAATCATGAAATCGTGCCCAAATCTATTGTTCGCCTTCTCAATCCTTCGTTTATCTCAATCTGACACGAACTGAAGTATCACTTTTCTCAGGTCTATCTGTTCACATAAAACATATGTAGGAAGCATTCAAGTTATAATTTCATCCTTAGACTCCTTATGTCTACTTGTTCTAATAATGAGCAAGTTGCATACCAATCTAAAAACATCATCTCTCGCTAATGCGTGCGCTGGTGTGGTATAAGAGCTTTGAAAACAGTTGTCGACCCCCATCAAATGAAATGGTATAACAGCTAGGCTTAAGGTGACGTAAAAGACAAAACATGAACGGAACGCCAATCGATGCCCATAATTGTCCCGAGTGAAAATCCGTAACACAATAGTCGTCCTCCTAACGTAGTAGCCATATCGTTCCCCGATTCAACATCCAACATCCAACATCCACCATCCATTATGCGGCATTCTCCTTTTCACTCTCGGAGAGACCGGTCTTCTCGTTCATTGACAATGTAGGCGATTCGGCAGATGATTGTGAAGGTGACTTCTTTCGCATAACGGCATCCTGACTACCCATTCTTCGACCCAATGCCCTCTCCAACTTGGCTCCCAACGCCAGCTTGCCCATATTGTCTCTCTTCTCAGTCGTCAGGTCACAACGCTGACTCTCCAACTTCTTATTGTGCAACTTGTCAAACCCTTCTTCAATAGCGGTGATTTCTTCTCGAGCAGAATCGGTGGTTTCGACAGAGATGGCTTGGCTGTACGTACTGAAGCGATTGGCTTTGGAGGAGACCTTTGTGGAAGGCATAATTGTCAGCGATGATCGATGATTATTTGTGGAGGTAATTTATGCTGGAATATAAATGATGAATGGACGGGAAGTTTGTGTAGAATGAAGAAGGGAGAGTGAAGGAAATAAACATACACTTGGTGCCATGATAGGACGGGCAGAATCTAAGGAAGCAACCATCTTTGCGATATTCGTTTCAGATTGACACGGGATGAGATTTTATGACAGATTAAATCAAGGTTTCCTCTTGTAGTATGAAGTGGTCCCTAATAAGCACCGTTATATGATCGAATCGCAGAGTGGCTCGAGGGAGTGAAAAGGTAAGGGCTATCTCAGGCTATTCTGGTCTGGAAGTGATGGCGTTGATCCACGTCTTCGGCTTTTGTAGTAACAGCAGGTGTTTAAGTGGGTCACGGCCTGGGTGCCACGAGGAAAAGGGAATTGGAAGGGTAGTTAACTTCAAACAGGAATGAAAGAGCGTTAGGAAAGTCTTTGAGAAAATTCCAGGGACCCCTTCTCGAAGGTGGATCAAGCTCAGTCAAAAAGCTTCTAAAAACGGTAACGCACTGACAAAAGATTGCAGCAATCACTTGCAGAATTGCAGACTTGCAGGTGAAATTAGAAAAGAAACGGAGACGCGAATTTCCTTTTCAGTCGGTGGAGCGTTTGTCAGACTCAATGGAGAGGGACAAGAGATAAAAGGTTTAACTTGCTTGGGTGATTGGCTAGTTGATTGATAATGTCATCAATCTCTGATTTGTGGTTCGACGGAATGAATTTCTGGAGGATCGATCTGATGCAGTCAGCTTTTAAAGTTCCACGAATATCAATGAACAATTTGATCGGGATATAATAAATGTGATAGGAAAGATTTACCTGGTCTTGTGGAAGGTCAGAAAGAAACGTGGAGGGTAGGGATCCTGCAATCTATTTTATTATGATGGGGCTGATATGAGTCTTCGTCTTAATTCGGCTTATATCTATCTATCTGTAAAGTGGAGAAAAGGATGGAATTTTGTAATGTTAAACGTTGAGTGTTAGGGATTCAGAGGGATTGCTTTTGGCTGATATAGAATAGATAGAAGAAGAAGGTAGTTATCTCTTAGTTACTAGGTAGGTAGGTAGATTGGGAAGAGAAGAGAAGAGAAGAGAAGAGTCAAAACAGAAGAGGAGAGTCAAGAGAGACCAATGTTCTAATTTTATCCATCTGTCACCGATATATCGTACGATAGATGCACTGCCTTGTATTCACTCCTCTAATACTCACTCCAGGTTCGATCCTCCTTCCACTTTCAACTCGTATCCAACCAACAGTACTTATGAGATAGGCACGAAGCAATAGATGAGATTGAGTATAGCAGCAAAATTGAGATTCAGTTATTGATACTTGCGAATGATCGATTCAAACTGGTCTTGTCTGCCCACCTAAGTAATGTCTACCTAGTAATGTCTACCTAGTAATGTCTACCTAGTAATGTCTACAAGGCTGGCAATGATTCATCCAATGAAACAGAGAAATCTGGAGTGTTGGGGTTCACAATTTATCTATATGACGGAAAGGAAAGAAACCTTGGAAAAGGACCACCAGATCCCGACCTGAGCATAATCGGTAGAGTAAGAATAACGTTGATTGCGAGGTGAATAAAGTTTTTTTTTTTCTTCCCTTCGCACGTGGCAACCACGATATATTCTAGATTAAAAAGAACGCCGTCGTATTGGGTGGCAGTGAACTAGGGGAATTTAGTAATGCTTGTGTCATATGAAACAGAAGAGACGTTTGGCACGTTAGCACGTTAGCACGTTAGCACGTTGATTACCTAGTAGTTGAACGTGTAAGATCTTACACAGTAGCCTAGTTAGTAATTGCCACCCATAATTAGCCCATGGGAAATTCTCACGGCCATTCGAACATTACATGTGTGGTGGTATTTTGCTTTTTCGGTATTGGGTTTGGTGCGAAAGTCGTATGGGAGTGCGAGTGCATATGCAGGATGTCATCGAGGGGAAGAGGAGAGGAGAGTGAAAGAAGCCAAAGGTTGGAAAGGTCGTGAGTGAATGAGGGAATGAGTGACACGGTATCCAGGAAGTAATATGTTTTTTGGTAGATAATGAAGCGGGCAGAGCAGATCACTAGATTCACTTCAAGGTAGTACTTGCTTGATCTACCTATGTAATGCAGCATTTGAAAGTAATCGATGAATTAATTGCTAATCGCCTTTTCCTTATGAGTATCATCCCATCACTTCCTTGATTGACCTCACACCTCATAAGAGAAGACAGAAGAAAAAAAAAAGCAATAAATTACCTTACCCCACCACAAAATATCCACCTTGATTTTCGCATACTCACAACGTCCGTAGTACATCACAGAACTACCAGTATTCAAACAATTCTAGACACTACCTACCTGGGTAACCACATTGAAAGTTCAAATTCTATTCCCGCATTCAAACCTACCGACCGACCTTCCACAATGCCCAAGAAACAATTTTTAAAAGATACCAAGAAAAAGTCCAAGCATACACCACAGGTAAGTCTTCATAAATGAATCAAATCAATGAATGTCTGGAATGCAATGTAACATCTGCAGATCCCAGCAACTGCTGATGAATATCTCGCCGGTAAGTCATGGTTTAATTCGTAAGCCTGAAGATGGCCACGGAAGCTGAGACATGTCATAGCTGGAGTGGATTTCGAAGAAGCAGGTGAGAAGTGGAGAGGTGGTGATGCTGTCAAGGTAAGGCTTCAATCAACCACTTCTACTCATGTCTTCAACGGGATCTAAAAAATTGAATCACAATAGTCAACAAGATTCTTTGTCAGAGCAATCGACAATTATGAAGAAGCATTAAAAAAGTTTCCAAATTCCTTCGATCTTGCTTACAACAGGTGAGTTCTTTATGTCCTTGGATTCTCGTCACGAAGATGGGCTCACATTTTATAGAGCCCGAGTCTTGTATGAGCTCACACAGTATCCAAAGCTTAGAGCACAACTACCAGGAACTCTTTTGAACCTTCTATCAGCTGCTCTAGAAGCCAGTCGATTTGCATTGAGTTTAAAGCAGGACAATGCAGACATCCTATTGTATGTAGTACACAAATCCCTTGGTGCTTTCCACGGCTAACGACATCAGCAACACCGCCCAGGTTCTTACCAGTATTGCGGAAGTAACATCTGAAACGAGGAGTGTGGGTAATGATAACAACTTAGCTTTACTCGAGGAAGCTATTGAGCTCTTTCAAAGGTGTTTGGCGTTACAGGAGTACCAATACACTGAATCACAAACCCAAGCTGGATCTGCACCCACATCAGATGATGATCCAGACATGGAAGAAGGTGGAGTTCCATTATCTGATCCTAATTCTCAGCCCCCACAAGATGATCGATGGGCGAGTATTGTTGAGCCAGTAACTCTTGAAACTTTACTAGACACAGTAGTAGCTCAGCTTCAAACCCTCGCAATACTGTGTGGACTGGTAAATGTTGATGCTGGTCGAGGTCTAGCGTGGATTGAAGAGTATTCAACGACATTGATTGGTCAAAAATTACAAACCTACCTCGAAGGCACTGTAGACCGACAGCAGGAAGCTGATCTTGCAAGGTCTAACTTTATTGCCGCTCTCGCCGATGCCAATTTCAGATTCCAACGAATTGATATCGCTACATACGAACGAGCCTTAAACGATGCTTACGCATCTTTGAGCCTCGACGATCATCCCGAGGGACTTTGTGATGAAGCGGAAGCTTTCATCTCATATAATTCTTCTCTTCGTCTGAATCACGAAGCAGCTCAATTGCCCGAAGCATCAGCATCACGATGGAAGGTCTTAACGGCAGCACTCGACAATCTGACGAAAGCTTCAAAACTTCCTTCGGCCGAAAATTTACCAAAGATTCATATTTTACGGGGTGATGTCGACCTTCTAAGATTTCAGTTAGGACAGCCACCTAGTAACTACGAGGTTTCTTTCAAGAATGGGGCAGTTTTAACCAAGAATGCTGAGAAATTCTATCGTGGCGCTGGAAATTTTGCGAAAGTTGAGGGTTTGAAGAAAGAGTTAGAGGAAGCTGAAGTCAAGGAAGCTCTGGCTATGAGTTTGTATGGAGAGCAAGATAAGTTATTGAGACGTGTCAAGTTGCAACCTGAGGTAGTAAGGAATGTTCTGGAGGATGCTATTGATGATGGCTTGATTTCATATGAGGCTTTATCCGCCATGGGTATTGCATAGTGGTCCAAAGGCTTCTAGGTATTTCAAGGTCATGGTTGTTCAAGAAGCTGTGAGAATGATTGCATCATCTCAACAGACCCACTGTTTCAAAGAAGTCCATGGTAACCACAAGATGATTAATCATCTTTGGACTGTGTATGGGACTGTCAAATATTCACACTCATGTCACGGTTGTTCAGAGCATAGATATGTACGATTACATAGTCTCTAGGCAAAAAGTCATCACGGTACATTACTACTATATTCCTTCACTCTTGTTGGCTTTAACCTCACAGTTTGATTTCATGAATCTAAATAAAACCAAGTTGTTTAAGCTCTTAACAACTTGGAGGCTCCAATGAAGTTAAGTCTTTGTTCGCATTATGTGTCTAACAAGAGTATGTATATCTAGTATATATACCTGCTAACTACACACACACCTAGGTACCTAGCATCTTCAACACTCATCTATCATTTCTCTCCTCACTAACAGAACCCTGGTATTGAGTTCTGGTCTGTGCGTGAAACTCCTTGATGCCTCAGGCGATAGCTCGGAATTCCTCTTTTCGCTTATGAATTTGTAAAATAATGGAGACTCAGAACAGCTTCATCCTTTCCCACCATCGACTACCCCAAGAAAATTCTTTTCGATATCTTTCTACACCTCAAAACACATTTACCTACAATCAAGAAGCTTCTTTCTGTACTTCTGATCAATCTCTCCACATAACGCTCGTAATATCAATCCTCGAATCTTTGAAGCGATCATCTTCCCCAGATCTCACAAATATTCACAATACCTTCAACAAACATTCCCAAAATTTGGAAACCCCCGCGATTTCTGTGATAGGATTCTATTCTGCCATTTTTCACCCAATTTTGAACTCTGTTCGAACCCATCTGCGACGGTTCATTTCATCTGTCTGAAACTTCTTAGAAAAACATCTCTCCGAGACCCCTCTTATCTTCTAATTCTTGCGAGGTTGACAAAAGTCTTCCTTCCCCACCTTTTCTAAAATCATGGCCGCCAATGGTACTTTCAATCAACAAGACCAATACAAGACAACCGAACAATATCCAGCTACTTCGGGTGCCGCTGGTTCCTCAACCGGAGGTGCTTCCGGTGGAGAGCTCTCCAAAGATGAGGTTGGATGGTACTTTGTTGAGCAATATTATACTACTTTAAGCAAATCTCCAGAAAAGCTCCACGTAAGTTTTACAGTTGCTGCTATTAAGATTACAATTTGCGCTAACATTCTACAGCTCTTCTATGGAAAGCCATCTCAATTCGTTTCCGGTGTCGAGGGAGCTCAAGCTCCAGTATCTGTTGGCCGAGCTGTAAGTTTTGCGCGCCTTCATAACTGCAACTGTGGCTAATTTTTTTTTTTCGCAGGGTATCCAAGAACGCATTCGCGAACTCGATTTCCAAGACTGCAAAGTTCGTGTCACCAATGTTGATTCCCAATCCTCCCTCGATAACATCGTCATCCAAGTTATTGGTGAAACTTCCAACAAGTCTGCCGAGCCCAAGAAATTCGTTCAAACCTTCGTTTTAGCTCAACAAGCTACCGGTTATTTCGTTCTCAACGATGTCTTCAGATATATCAATGATGAGGGTGAAGAAGAGCAAGTCGAGGCCACTGAGGCCAAGGAAGAGTCTGCGCCAGCTCCAATTGCTGATGACGTCGAAATGCCAGCTGCACCAGCTGCTGCCGAGGAGACTGCATCTCCAGAAGCTACCTTAAATGCCGAGGTCGTCGACAAGAAGTTGGAAGAGACTATCGAGGCTGAGCCCGCCACTGCCGAGCCAACTACAAATGGAGAGTCAACTGAGGCTGCTCCCGAAGTTGAGGAGAAGCCAGAAGAGCCAAAAGCTGAGGAGCCAGCCCCTACACCAGAGGAAATTGAGAAGGCTGTTGATGAGGAAGTCAAGGAACCCGAAAAGCCAAAGGACCCCGTTCCAACTCCAGAGCTCTCCAGACAACCTTCTGCCGCCAAGCCAGCTCCTGTTCAACCAGCTACCCCAGCTAAGCCATTGAGTTGGGCTGCCCGTGCAGCAGCTTCAGCTGGCGCAGCACCAAAACCCGCTGTTCCAATTGTGCAACCAAAGGCCGCCGCTCCAGCTGCACAAAAGCCCGCTGCTGCCGCTCAACCAGCTGCTAAGCAACCAACGACCCCAGCAACAACCGCTGCTACTCCAGCTGCCGAGAAGAAGGATAACTCCCCAACAGGTTCTGCCGGATGGCAAACCGCTGGAGGTGATGCTAAGAGACAAAACAGACCTCAATCTATCTCTCAGCAAGCAACAGAAGACAAGGGAACTTTGGGATACGTTCGTAATGTCAACGCTTCGGTCAAGGACGATGAATTGCGCTCCATCTTGAGCTCTTTCGGCGAGTTGGTCTACTTCGATATCAACCGCGCTAAGGTATGCCATTCATTCCATTCCAATGAATGTGTTTCATGTTTATAACTAATTCGCATTTAGAACTGTGCTTTTGTCGAATACGCCAATGCCTCCGGTTACCAAGCAGCAGCTCAGGCTAACCCCCACAAGATCGGCGAAGAAACCATCTACGTTGAACCTCGCCGACCAAAGGCTTCTGCATACGGTGGAAACGGTTACTCTGGTGGTGGACGTGGTGGATTGAACCAACGTGGCCGTGGTGGATTTGAACAAGGTCGTCCTGGAAACCAATCTCGAGGCAACTTTGGTGGAGCAAACCGTGGACGTGGAAATGCTAATGGGCCAAGAGGAGGTCGTGGTGGTGCCACTCAAGCAGCTTAGATGCATATATCAACAAAACCACTTTGAAAGTTAAAACGTCGCATTCATCACCAATTACCAGAGCATGGAACCTTCGACGATGTACTATATTCAGTCACCTTGGCTTACGAGACCAAGACCCTTCTACCTTGTACTCTACTTGATCACGAAAACTTCTCGGAGCCTCTCTTTCATATTCATGCTTTTTAGGACAGCAAAAGCTCAGCAACTTGATTATTGGCTCATAGTTTATGCGGTATCATGCTATATGAATAGCTTTATGCTTTTCTTTTTCACGTTAAAAATTTGAGGATGGATTGGGTGCAACTTTTTTTTATGGACCACAGAATTTACGCAATTTATGATGTACTCTTTTGTCTGTCTCGATTATCTGGCATTGCAAGAATTTGATTTCCCATACGTACTTTCAATTTGCTATCTTTTGCCATACCACCTATTCTTCAATTTCACATCTTTTCTTTGAGTTATAATGCATAGCATGTTCTGATGATTAGGGATGGATGGATGGGGGTCGGTAATGGAAAAAAAAAATACGTGTTGACGGGCTATACCCACGTACGTTGGGAAGGGCTCATTGTGACGATTGGGTGGATGAATGGATTGGCACGAAATGGATTGAGAACGGATGGCTGGATACTCCGATGTGTAGACAGAGAATCTATACGTGTCTGGTGAATACTGAGTAGCCTTTGGCTGGTGGAAACGCGCTTGCTAATGGGTTTGTGGAGGCAGTAGAGGGAATGGAAGTGGATGCATGGTAGATAGGATTGCTAACCTGAGGTGTGTAACGGGAAGAAAGAAGTAAAATTTATGAAATATGAGACGAGATGAAATTATGTTTGAGTGAATAAATAAATGAATGAGTGGGTGCATCAATGATTAAAGATGTGAATATTGATACTCCAAGATGAATTGAGAAGCCAAAGAAAAATAAGCGAGATCATAAATGATCAAGGGGTGATTACTCGAGTCGTACAATTATTATCATTATTATATACACTACGCTACGCTACGCTGTATATACCACGATAACACTACCTACACAAATACTAATACCACGCTGCGCTACGCTGTGCTTCTCTGAAGCAAGTACAGAAAGTTGATTCTTGATTTTTCCAATTCTTGAGTTCCTACTTTGTTCTGTCTGTATTCAAGAGGTGAGTGAGGAGGTGAGAAGTTTTTCGCTGTTTTTCGCTGTTTTTGTGTATCCTGAAGTTTTGAGTTTTTAGTAAGGGAAGGGGGTGGGTTTCGCTTGGTTTGGTTTGGTTTGATTTCGCTTGGAGGGAGGAATCGCTTGGAGGGTTTGAAGATTGAGATGTTCGAGATTTTTGAGATGTTTGAGGTGAGATGAGGTGAGGTGAGATGTTTGACGTGAAGTGAAGGGAAGTGAGGACTAGATGTGGCTTTATAGATGGTTTGTGCGAGTCGGGTAGTGGTTGGTCTGAGAATAGAGTGTAATTCTACTTCGGGGATGACGTAGCTTCCATGTATGAGCTCATAACCAAAGTGCTTCGCTTTATTGCGTACCTCCTATCCACGATACTCCCGTGCATCAAACTACTTTCGATTCCACATCGTCCTGCTCTTACTATAGTAAAACCAGAAATCACGTATCGAGTATCGATATCAAAAACCCAACGGACCTCGAAAAAAATCAGCCCGAGGATTCCCACACTGCCAACAATTAAAAATATTCAGCGTATTATAAACGCCACAGCCCATGATCATACAATTCCAGCCCGGCGGAGCAAGATACCCACTCGCCGGTATGTTTTTAACCACTTGACCCGGAGCCACGAGCGTAGTATCCGTCCCGCCACATTTCCAACAGCTGATATCGCGAGACGAATTATGCGCTGCGCAGCCCCATGCACCACAATACCAATCACCGGCATGGAACGCATTGACTGTTGCTCGCGACGGCGGGTTATGAAAGAGAATCCGCGGACTCCCGCATTTGCGACAACGGACCACGCCGTTATCGTTTGTTTCGCCGCAGTCGAAGGAGCTGCATTTCCAGAAAAGAGGGATTGCTGTTGGAGCTTTGGATCGATTGCCGCAGCCTTTGCAGATCACATGTTTGACGTAGTTGTGTCGCGCACAATCTCGAAATGGACAGATCCAATCCCCGGGTTGGAACATCTCGATTCGTCCATCTACTCCTCTTGTTCCGCGCGGACGGGAACATCTCTTGCAGATGATAGATGAGGGGGTGTTGGATTCTCGACATTCTCCTGAGAGACAGAGCCACTCGCCAGGAGCAGGGTAGACGCTTCCAGTACCATTCGTAATTCTGGATGCGTGGGGGTTTCTTGGAGATCTCCTTGTCAGCATGTTTCTCACTCTCTCCTCCAAATTATAATCATGACCCGTTTGATCGGCAGTCACTTCAGTTGAAACCGGGGGTCTCGTTCTGTTTTCCTTCTTAGTTTCCCTCAAAGGGCTACAGCCAGCGCTCTTTTGTCGGGAAACTATCACGGGTATTTCTTCGTCTTCTGATTCTTCCTCTCCCGACCCTTCATCATCTGAATAATTCCCAATACTGAAATTAAAGCCCGTATTTCTCATGGTTTTCTGGTATTCCCAAAAGCGAGTCTCAATTCGCTTGCTCACTTCTTGAGCCCAATCCGCAGGGAAATCACTTGAAACTTTCTCCGATATTTCGATCCAATTTTCAGGTAACCATTTGCATAAATAATCACCTTTTTTTAACTGATTCGGGTAGAAATAATCAGTGGGGGGATCGAGATCAGACTTAGGTTTAGCCTGTACCTGGTCCACTGCATTTGCAATATGCGGTAGGTTCGGACCAGGAGAATTACCAGGAAGTGATGTATCAACCGGATAACTGTTCCCAGACCAAGTTTGGGTAAGATCATTGGCGCCGGGGTTGACATCTGAATTATTAGCTTCACCCTGCATACATTTTCCTAAGCCGGCACGGTACCATGAGCTCGAATAGGGAAAATTGCCAAGAACCAATAGGTCAAGTCTCCAGCTCATGGGGCAATCAATTATGTAGTGTCCTACTTTGTCGCACGTAAAACATACATTTTTTGACATGTCATCTGACACCGCTCTGTCTACTTCTTGGGTTTCTGAGTTGCCCCTGGTCATTGTACGGCTTGCATCATTGCTCTGCCTGTGGGGACGAGAGTGTGAAATTATTGGGACTGATGGCTTTAGCAATTCTTTAGAGTTTCCGTCTTCTTCATCCAATAAGAAGACATCTGGATCGGGTAGCGGCACTGGTGACCTTGGTGATTCCTTAGTATCATAATCTTCATCCAATAAGAAGATATCTGGATCTTGAAGTAAGATTGGTGACCTTAACGATTCTTTAGAGTTATCATCTTCTCCATCTAGTAAGAAAATATCTGGATCTTGTAGTGGGATTAGTGACCCAAGCGATTCCTCAAAGTTATCATCTTCTTCATCCAATAGGAAAATATTTGGATCTTGGAGTGAGATTGTTGACCTTATTAGTTCCTTAGTATTGCAAAGTTCATCATCCAATAGGAAGAAATCTGGAACTGGCAGTGGGATTGGTAAATCGATTCTGTCATTGAGCCATTCACAATCAAAGAAATCAGCAAAAAAATCGGGATCTAGAAGTTCCGGAAATGAATTATTAGGGTTAGAAACAGTCTCCTTCAAACATGATGTCAAAAAATGGGTTTCTGGTTCTGGTAGATGTGTATCAGGTGATAATGCACGTTGCTTGACACTCCGCTTCATAGTTCTGGGTGATTTCTGCTGTAGATTAGAAGATCTAGGGCTTTTTGGGACCCGAGGCATAGAGATGGAATCGTCGTCATCTGCTTCTAAATAAGATTGATCTGGTGGAGTCGAGGAAGACCGTTTTTCTGATCTTTTCGCGTATGCTGATTGTGGGTCCAATAGTTGTTGATTTTGCGAAATTGGACAATTCGTTGGCGGTAGTTGTTTCGGCTCTAAAATATGTGTTGGAGATTGCGTCATTGGAGGTGGTGATTCGTCCTTTGAAGTGGGTTGCATGATTCTCATCTGTGGTGGTACATAAACAGATGCGGGTGATTTGCCGTGATTTGCAGTAGCTTCTTCCAGCAACGATGATTGATGTTCACTGTCCTGTGGTGATTGCTTTTCTCTTTGATATGGTGGATTATAAATCGGTGAGGGTGCTTCACTATTTGCTTGTGGCAATGTCGAAAGCGATTTCTCTTTTGAAGCTAACATCAGCTTTGCTTTGAAAGGAGGTATGTATGGTCGAGAGCTCTGCTGGGGGTAATTTTCCTTCATCTTGATAGTATCTTGATGGATATCGTCAACTTTGAAAATCTTCTGAGCGTCCCTTGAAGCTAGCTCCATACTTTTGTTTGTAACATGATCAGCTTGTTTTTCATTTGATGCTGAAGACAGATCTTGGCTATTGGCAATGGACTTTGGTGAGTTCCTTGACTCTATGGGCCCGGAGATAAGCCCTGTTTGATTCTTGACCTCATCAGAGAGTTGCAAGTGATTTAATACCTTAGACTCATGGATTGTTATTTTTTTGCTGATGTTTTCGGAACTGGATGCAGCTACTTGTGTGGGACTCGTGGGTGGCTTCGAATGCACATCTTCGAGACTCTCAGTTTGTGTTTCATTCAAAGCCTGGAGTGTATCTTGACTCGGTCTCAGCGACTGTGGCCTGGGAATAATCGTCATTTTATTAGCAGCGGGGGCAATTGTTCGTGCATCACTCGATGATTGGTACAATCTCCTTTTCGAAACACTCTCAGCTTTCTGTCTTCTGTTCAATGCCGGATATGGGTCTTGCTCTACAACGAGAGAAGACGGTAACTTCTCAGGGCTCGTGGAATCGTTGTTACCGTTTGAATCTTGGACTCCTACACTTGGTGCGGTTTGAACGTAGCTCAGAGGTGACTTTCTAATGCTTGCGAAAGGAAAGCTTTGGGAGTGTCCTGGTATTGATGAGGTAGATATCGCTGGACTCCGACCAGTTTTTTTGGACTTAAGATGCTTGACCTGGAAGCCTTCCGGTGGCAATTCTTTGCTTGCTGAAAATTTATCACTCCTGTCACTACTGCCTCCGCTACTGCTATTGTGACGATCTTCTGGGTATTCCAGACTAGGTGCTTGTTTTACTGGTGCTCCGAAAGATTGATGCTTTTTACTCGTATTGATATTCGAGCCAGCAGTTGGTTCGGGGTACATTACGTATCGAGTACGGATTTCTAACAGCACTCCCAACTCCCTCTCCTTGAGTTCTTTCATCTTGAGTTGATTGCACTGCTTGGTCGTCAACATCTCCACCCTCTTCTCGAAGCTATTAATCTCTTTAAGGTCTCTCCTCAGGTTGGAAATTCTCCTCTCCAACTGTTTCTGTTCCTTAGATTGTTCGTACTTGAATTCTGCAAATTTTGACAGTTGATCTTCTCCTTGTTCACTGTGACCATATGACTGAGTATCTGTATCGACAGGAACAAAATCTGGAACTTTTTCTAAAGATGTTAAATCTCGTCGTTTGTAATTTTCGACAGCAGGAGTGAGATTGCTTCCGAATACTTTTCTAGCAACCAAGTTCTCAGACCGAAGTGTGTTTTTGCTTGAGGTATTTGACGAAGTACCTCCATTGAAGGGGTTATCAGGTGCATAACTCTGTCCATAGTTTTGGTACATGCTCTGCTCTTCTTCTGCATACCTGCGGGACAATGAGGGACTGTGAACATCTATCGCTTTGCCTTTTTCCTTTTCTTCGGTCGAATGAACGGTCCTTTCATTTTCTGGAGATAAGTCATGGTTTCTTGGGCGATAACCTTCTGGTGCGTGGTAGGCATTCAGCTTTGCTTCAAATTCCAGCTCCTTAGCCTGTTTTGTCGTGATATCACTGCTCATCTGGATGACCAACGACTCTCCTCTAGCTTCTTTCGACTCAAACTCTAAAATGTCTTCAAGAGCTTCTACCAAGCGAACAATTTCACAAATAATCATTTCGTTATCACTCGCTGTTTCGCTCATCGACTTTAGGAATACTTCAAACTTGTGGCCTAGGTCGGCCGACTTTCGGTTCAATCTCGAGTGAAAATGCCATAGCCTTGGTAATATTATATCCATCGTGCGGGGGTATGCTTGAGAGAGAACTTTATCTGGTGTTTTCCATGCTGGGTCCGGGTATAATCCCTTCGGTTTCCCAAAGTCATCGTATGATATCGTAAATTTGCCTGCTTGCTTCAACGAAAATTCGTATGTCCATGGGTGCTGCGTCCTCAACCTGAATTGTGGTATGTTACGAATATCCTTAGACCAACGAATCGGAGGACAATTTGTTCTTCTCTAGTCGCATAAAATCAGCCATGAATGCCGAAGACCTTCAGATATCAGGGATTTGTACCAAAACCAGATAAACCCAAACCATAGTAAATGTTGATTTAGGACAATCATCAAATAAATGCCCCCTCGTGTTGCATACCGGACAACCTGAGATGAACCCAAACTCGTCCACAGGAGCCACACAGTAGCTCAAGATGTGACCTCTCATATTGCAGTTTGCGCAAATCTCGTTGAGATACCTATTGTGATCCCGCTTTCTATTGCCATGGGATCCTTGCCGTGACTCGATTGGTGATCGACTTGGATCTGGTATGATGGGTTGTATTGACGGCCCTGCAGTTGGTGAAAGTGTAGTGAGAGTTTCCTGCGACGCATGCAGTTCTGACGAAGAGGAAGTTTGGTTTTTGACAGGCTTTTCGATTCGATTTTGATCTTTGGACTCAAATAATTGTCTTGAGTTGCCTTTCAATGATACGCCCGCGAAGAAAGGTTCATCAGGCCCTGTAGCAAGATCAGTGTGCGACACAAATTTCTCCAGAAATAGCCCACCAACAGAAATGCTTCCATGTCTCGACTTTAGCCGTCAGTGATCGAAACTCTTCAGACATATTGGAGCCATCACTCCGGAGACGATCCATGGTTTGGCCATACCAACTATAGATCGCACTATATTCTATGCCATCTGAGTGTGCTTTGTGGCTCATTGCCTCCAGTCCCTCCATGTAACTGTGGCCGCTCATATTAATAATTGATCATGCAATGTAAATAAATAAAAATTGAATAATGATTCTGATAAGTAATAGAAATTTGGCATCCAGATTATTTTCCTGAAATGTTATTAATTGAGAATAGATTATGTGTGCAGATTTATTTTGTTATATGCAATGAAATTCGACTGTTCGCTGTTGCCAAGCACCACAAGGATTTCTCCAAGAACAACCATTTATTGACACAGAGAAGGAACGAGCAGAACCAAAATACAGTTGAGGGAGGCCCATTGTGGCAGATTTCTTTTGATTAAAATCCTCAACGCCCCTTATAACCAAGACTCTTTGCATCTATTCGAAGCAGATAAAATACAGTATTGATATGAACCAGAATCTGCATTCCGATATTCTACCATACGATCTTCAAGAGAATCACTCATAGCTGATTCATCCTGCATATTACGGCTTGTATCGATCGAAAAAAATGGAAATTATCAAGCGGAGAAACGCGGGTGTCGAGAAGATAGCATCTGGATGACCTCCCCATGGTACAAGCACCCCAGAATCGGATACCAGAGTATCGCCCTCCACTGAACCTCTGACATCACACGAGTATGTCCGATCGCCTCGATGTAAGAGCTCGCTCAATGCTATTTGTGATGATTTGCTTCATGCACCATCATTATATAAACAAGGAAATGAATCGTGTACCAGCGGCAATTCTGGCACTTCACTTCAATCACCTGCACTCGATCTGAGCCACGACAACTTGTCAGATGATACAGACGACGATTATTGCATAGGTTCTCCAGTCGAGATCGACTTCGATCGGTTTCGACAAGGTCATGTACGATCACGAAGCCCTGATCTGCCAGCTATACAAGAGGAAGACGAAGAGGAGATTTATGACTTAGATGATGAACTCGAAGGCATTATAGCTGAGTACGAGTCCGATACGGATAAAGGAGAAGACAATATGCTTCGACCCGATTACAACTTGGGGGGTAGACTTGAGTTGATTTATCAGAGCTGGACCCCTCTAGCACCTTCCATTACTCGATGGTCAGATGAAGACCTGTCTGGGCATCAAGAGGAACTTTCGGCCTCTGATTTAGTCAGACGCTTAGTTAAAGTAAACATGCAACGAGAGATAAAAATGAGGAGATCGAAAGGACTTTTGAAAAGACTTCATCACAGAGAAGGAAAACGGAGCCTCAAAGATTATATTTCGAAAGCCTTGGGAAAAGTTCCCAGCAGCACAAAGATGAAGATGAGCAGTTTGGGCGCAGAAAATCAAACAGAGAACTAAACAGGTTATGTGTGGGTCGGTTTGCGAGGCGAGGAATTGAGGATAGTATATATCAGCCCATTCAGCGATGACGGTAATAATAACAGCGTTGTATAATGTATTTTGATTGAGCATCCTAACTTGTGAAGTTGATGAAATGTCAAAAAGAAGTCGGACCGGATCAATGTTTTTACGAAAAAGCCTGGGCATTGAAAAGTTGTTGAATCTCTGTCAATTACTACCCCTTCCACCTTATCTCTCCCATCATACGGCACTCTCATGAAAAATATTTCCCACAAGTTCGAAAATTTCGCCGCCTGGAGTCAAGTATCTTTCTCCATAAAACTGATATCCTTGACCGCATCCAACTCTCCCAAAAACCCCTCATATTTCTGTCTAATCAACTTCCACGCCGTAGGACCCAAAGGAAGTCGAAGTGGTACTTTCTCTCCACGACTAGCTATCTCATAGATAGTTTCTGCTATACCATTGGGGTTGAGCATACCCACACCGCTCTTGATACCCATGTTTACCCATTTCTCGAGTATACGAGCAGGCATATCAGGAGCAGAATAGGCGGGATGAGGTGCAGTGTGAGCTTTGCTGTGGCCTTCAAAATTGGGTTTCACACCAGATGGCTCGATGATACAAAAATTAACTGGTGAATTGAACGTTTGTTAGTTGTATGAGAAGATACAATGAAGTGAAATATGAAAGTAATTATCAACATACTATTCCAATCAGGATGCATTTCCCGCGCAACAGATTCAGTCCAACCTTCAACTGCATATTTACCAGCGTGGTAATAAGCATTACCAGGAAATGAACACAGTCCCGCTAGGGAGGAAATCTGGTAAATGACTCCCCCACGATGTTCTTTATGCTGGCGCATAACTTCAACAGCCTTTATTGTGACTCTTGCTGTACCAAAGAATAATGTTTCGACTTCTAAATGCGCTTCTTCCTCAGTCGCCGATTCGGTATCTCCAGAAAGGGAATAGCCGGCATTATTGATAACAATGTCAAGATGGAAAGAGTCGCCGAGATGCTTAGAAGCAGCAGCAAATGCTTCATTCACTGACGCAGCAGATGTTACGTCGAGAGCAAGTTTGAGAATATTAGGATTAGAGTCGGGAAGGTAAGCGAGGTCGGATGGATTGCGAGCTGTGGCAATTAGACGCTGATTGGGTTTGCTGGCAACTAATTCCGAGATAGCGCGACCAATTCCAGTTGAGCAGCCGGTAACTTTTCACGATAAACATTAGTCATTTGGTTTCTTAAATTCGCAACGATAGTTGGGGAGTAGCGTACTCAACCAGGTTGCATCAGCTGGGAGCTCATAAGGCCTGGCATTGACTGGATTCATCTTGGTAGTGTTAGATGGGATTTCACTATCGACAGGTGTATTCTATTGTATCCTCGTTATGGTTTTGTGTTTGTCTTTTCACCGTGGTCGACTTCGGGCTTCTTATATCTGAACCTCTCATCAATCCCCACGCCAAATATAGATCACTGTCACTAACGGGCTTACGTACTGTTCACGATTTGGTCAAAGCTGCATAACCCCTATTTTGATATTCGCTTCACGGCCAGCTCAATTTGTTTCCCCGAGCAAAGAGTGGGTTGGCTCGAGGTTGGAAAAACGAGTCAGGAATTCTGGGAGAGGAATGAGTCATTCGGCCAGGGCTTGAAGGATTCTATTGATGCAGATGGTGCTGATCCCCCGGTCATCGATCTCGTGATCTTCATGAGAAGTCCACCAATCACTTTGCTCATATCTATCACGTATTCGGAAGAACGAATCAACATCGTTCCTAAAAGCCACTTTTTCATCAACTAAAAATATTGAACTTCTGAGAGTAAGGTTCCGAATGATTAGCTGTTAACACTTCCAACTCAAATTCAAAAGCTTCCATGAAACGTTGGAATTATATCCGAGCCTGATCTCTCAGTGTAAGAACAGTTCCATTCGGAGTGAAAGATTTACCATTCCTATACATGCATTCTGTTCACTGTCTTCGGAGCTGAAATCTTTTACAAAAGAACCGAATTTATGAGGACTAATACTTCAAGAGCACGCCAGATCTGCTCTCGTTCTCAGTGATGAAGGTTGATGAGAAGGCATCTCATTGTATTGTTTTCAATATAATACTATCATGAACAGGGCGAAAACTACGAGGATCATAAAAGAAGTGAATTGATGATATCTTAGCGATATTATATGTCCAATGGGCATTTCGTTTCCCAACCAACATTCATTATCCGAGTGTACAGTACACTCTCACCTCAAAAGTCACAAATTTGGATATTCAATATCATAAAATCCCCGTATACAAAATTTTATGCCTATCTATCCCACTAAACTTTTTCCTCAAATAAAAGAATCCAACTCAGCCATCTCAGACGCTGAAATATATTCCCTCCACGCCCTCACCAAAAAGTGTTTTTGCAAAAGTACAGAAAAAGAATCCAAGAAACATCTCCAAATCACCAATTTCAAACGAACATTGCTTGTATCCATCTCTCCAATCAAAACAACCTAATCCTTAAATCTCTAAAGGAGATTAAACTGCCCAGTCTCCTCAGGCAGAACCCCAGTAACGACAAACGTCTTACTTCCAAAGGTCATCGTCTCGGTTTTGAACTCAAAAGTCTTACTATCAATCTCAATCTTACCCGTGATTTCAGGTTTTTGCACATGAACACCAGTGGGTCTAGCATGGCCACTCTCGAAAGCCCGAGCTGATTCCTTCCGATTGGAAGTTTTGGCATGACTGGATTCGTGAGCTTGAAAGTGTTTTTTGGTGCCGGTAGGTTTGACGTGTTTAGATTGATGCTCTTTGCCTCCCTTACCGGTTGGTTTGGGGTGGCCAGATTTATGCTCCTTGTTTCCCTTGCCAGTCGGTTTTGCTAGTCCACTCCCGTGGTCTTTGCCGCCTTTGCCAGTTGGCTTGGTTTGTCCACTCTCGTGAGTACCAGTTGGTTTGACGAGTCCGCTCTCAACAGCACGAGCTGGCTCTTTATGCCCAGTAGGTCTAGCATAGCTCGATTCGTGAACCCGGGTGTGTTCTTTGGCACCAGAAGGATTGGGTTTACCGGACTCATGAGTAGAAGCCTCTTTTGTACCAGTAGGCTTAACATGAGTGTACTCATGTTCCTTGTCGTTCTTTCCAGATGCCTTAGCATGTCCGCTTTCATGAGGCTTATGCTCCTTAGCTCCAGTGGGTTTTGCTTCTCCACTCTTATGTTCCTTTCTACCCTTTCCAGATACTTTTACATGTCCACTTTCATGTGGTTTCTCGTTCTTGAAGACAGAGGTTGCAGAGGGGTGGACATGTTCTTTCTTTCCACTACCAGTCGGCTTTGCATGGCTGCTTTCATGTTCGTGAACTGCACTTCCTGTGGGCTTTGCCTTACGGGATTTGCTCACAGTAGTACCCTCAACAATATCGGTTTCAAGAGCCCTTTTAGAGAAATGGCCAGTCGGCTTAGCTTGGCTGCTTTCATGGGCCTTGGATGCAAGGCCAGTTGGCTTGGAACCATCATGAGACTCGAAACCAGATGGTCGGAAGTGGTGGACTTCGGTCTTACCACCAGATGGGTGAATGGTGAATTTAGATTCCTCCTCTTCTGTACCGGTGGGAAAGGGGTCCTTAGCAGTGAAGGAACCGGTAGGGCGGATCTTGAAGGAGTGTTCAACGGAGCCGGTAGGGTTAACGTGGGATTCACTCTGCTGAGCGACATCGGAGGTAAGAGCGATGGGGGAAGCGGAGATCATGGAGATGAGGAGAGCGGCAGTTGCGCCGGAGATCTTGGAGAATTGCATGATGATAGATGTCAATTTGCGTAAGTTTGGGTTTAGAAAGTTAATTTGTTTGCTTGCAATGATACAGAAATGCTTTTGGAGAATTCAAAGTAAGGACCGGCCGATATTGGAATCAAAGAATTGAATTGTAAAGAGTGTGATAATGAAAAACGCAAAAAGTAGAACGCGCTTTTGAATATAGTGCTTGAACTGGTGAAGAAGAAGAAGTAGTATAACAGCATTATCTTGGCATACATATATACTTGGCATATTAAAAGGGAGTCTAGACTTGCTCTTCAGTTGCAGCAAGCCATTCATCCTCATCTCATCACTGCGCAACCTCATAATCCTTCTTCCTTTGCGCCACCAGTATCATGACATATCATTTTCTGGGGAATTCTCTCGCCGCTTCCTGCTAGCTGGTCAGATACAACCATTTGATAGAGGAAATCAAGAAAATGTAGAAAGGTAGGATTGGAGGAATGACTAGAGTATATAAAAAGAATCCATTTCTTCAAAGAACAGGCACTCGATTTCATGTCGAACGATTCCCCGGAAATATGAAACTAGACCCTTCAAAAGGCTAATTGTATGAACAAGCGTAAAATACCGTTCCTAGAAGGTCACAATATCAAACGGAACTATCCATCCAGAAGTTCAAAAATACTGCGTAAGCTCAGGGTCAATAAGCTCGATAAGACAGTGTAATTAAAGACAGAAAATCCTTCCACCCGAAACTCGAGACAACCCCCAACCGCGTGCATGAGAATCTGACAGCCCTGAATCTTCAGAAAAACCACCTTTTCTCTTGTCCGGGAAAACAGTACGAAAGATATAATCTAATTGTGACGAAATACTTGGCATAGCCTACTGAAGGAAGAAACGGACGCCAGTGGAAACCTTGGAATAATACTAAGCTTTGCGGGAGGAGCGGAAAATTTCTTAATTGACAGTAGGTGAAACTGGTGCTTGCGCGTCTTTTTAACCTCTTCAGAAGTCGGTTGTAGAATAATAAGCTCGGGGAGATTCTTAAGATTTTGAACGCTGTACATTCTCTCGAGAATGGAATTGCGGTAATAAGGTCGGTCGGTCGGTAGGAGTCTAGATGCTGAACGGCCCAACATCGCTATAATCTGACATGCTACTAACATTGTAAAGTACAAGGCGGCTTAACAGCGATAGATACATCCTTACCTTTAATTCGATACCCATCTAAATTCTGCGATGAATATTTATACGTCCATCGTCGGTTGTGCAGATCAATTCTCTCATTCCGACCCTTTTAACTTTAGAATATGTCAGTGTGATGTAATGAAAAACGCAGAACATCTCAGATTGAGGGTGTGCGACTGTACATGTAGTTTCAGGGTCCTTATACTCGGGAAACTTGTGGACAATTGAAATAATACGAGCCAATGTCTAATGGGACGTATCTAAATCAATAGGTAAGCTCACCCCCAAATCCAAACCCATAAAAAGCTGTAGGGAAGACCAATCATACTTCACTGGATGGGTTGAAAAAAGAAGTATTAAAATTTGATATGCTATTTAACTGGTATCTCTTTTGCTCGCGCTTCAGCTTCAAGGCCACCAATTTCGCATTTGCATCAGCAGACTACAAATACTAACAATGCCATGCACATATTCTCCATCCAGATTCCTACCCCGTCATGTAATATCGTATCATCACGCCAATAAATCCCACTGCGAAAAAATGCATCAAGAAACACCAGGAATGCCCGTGGGCCCACCCCACGAATTGAATAAACTATCTTAAGCACCTTGCACCAAGTACAATCAAATCGCTAAATGCATCTCAATCGTGATTTTCATCTACAGTCCACAAATTTTTGGATCCCAGTCCAATCTAATCCCCATATGCTGGCACCACTGGGTTGCCAATTGCGGTTGATCCAAAATGCCAAACCACCAATAATCCCAAAGCTACTCACCACTTGTAGTGCGATGATACCTCGTCGTTTCATGTCTTCGTTGAATTCTAAAATCCCAAGGGGGTCATTTGTATTCAAGATTGAGTTGGAAGATGTTCGAGAATATTTTTCCCGCTTGACTAAAGCTCCGGTATCAGAGTTCCATTGAGGCTGGCGCGCTTGAGAGATTGGTACAAGTGTGCCATCCTGTACACATTCCCCGAGTCTCTCTGTCAACCACACCGCCCTTTCACTCCGTGCTAAAGTTTCGAATCTAGCACGCTCATTCTGAAGACTCCTTTGTAAATCAATGGCCCAGTTCGAAAGTCTCACTTGCGCCAGCCTCTCTTCACGTTGAGTATGATCTGTTATACGAGCCAACGCGTAAGATGTTGTAGCACCAACAGGTGCAGTAAGAACTTGTGAGGTAGATGATGACATCATTGATTGCGCAAGAGGTCGATATAAACTTTGTGGCTTTTGCACCGATTGATTATTCCGCCATGCTACAAATTTCTTCGCTGCCGAATTTCTAAGCCATGCTATGCTATCTGGCTCAAACAACTGATCGACAAGAGCTGCGAGCTCTGACTGAACTAACGGTTGGACGTATTCAGGGTTCATAAGAAAGCTAGCATCCATGGTCTCGTGGTCTTTTGACAACATGGTGGATATAGCGTAAGGTGCAGCTGGTTGAGAAGATTGTAGAGCATCGTCGAAGGATAAGCCGAAGAGGAATGGCCGTATATTGGCAGCCTGAAGCTCGCTCAACACATGCCTTTTGACGCTGGCAAGGTCCTCAAGCGACAAAACTTCTGATCGTGCTATAAGAGGTATAACATTTGTCATTGAAGATATGCGTCGTAGGTATTCAATATCAACAGGTTTTATTCCTGGCTAAGAGTCAATTGTTTGTCTAGATATTAAGTTCTCAAAGACTTACGATTTACGATGATGTAGAATACGACATCCACTTGAGAGCCGCCATTCCCACCAAGCAAATGTATCATATCAGAATCGGTCATGCCATCTTTGGATTCAACTTTCTGAAACTGAGACTCGATATAATCAACGACTGGAGAAATCACTTCGAGGCACTAGACTGATTAGCTGATAATATAGCCATAAGAGTAAGACGAAACTCACGGAAGTCTTGTTCCCATAACCAGGGGTATCAACGAAGCACAAATTTCTTTCTAGAACCGAATCACCCATGCTCTTTCGTCGACGTAAGACCTTACTTTCGTCAACTTCCGACCACCAACTAGGATATGCCTTCGTGCTAGCATATATCTCTGTGATTTGAGTTGTAGTTTGCATATTGCCACCTCCAGATTTAGCTTTATTCTTAGAATGTCGTCGTTTCTCGGAGACTGGGGACGGTGAAGTAGATAGAGGATCGACATGGACTATATCTTCACAAACTTGTACTATGGCTTTGATTAAGGACGTCTTGCCAACACCTAAAGAATGTCAGAAGAGTAAGACGTGATGGAGTGAGGTTTATCTACCTGAATCTCCAGCAATTAGTACCTTCAACCTCCCCATATTCTTTCCCTTCTCAGTAAATGGTCGTCTGCTAGGCATTTTTATACTTGGCATAACTAGTTGAGGGTCGGAGCAGCTATCCATCATTGCCAGCGCATTCTGTTCATCTTCTTCACCAGACACAATAGCCTGACTTGAAATTTCGTCATTTAATGATTCAGTATCTGATATTCTTGAACCAGGACTACTTATAATAGATTCTCCAGCGGCAGAATATAAAGAAATAGGGGTATAAGGTCTGGATGCTTCGGTAGTTGAGGGGCGGACTGGAGAAGTAGTTCCACTAAGATCGTAGGATGCCTTTCGGGAACGAGATCTCGAATCTCCTACAGATTGTAACTTTTCTGCCAAATTCTTCTTGAATTTCTCCCTAGCTCTGTCATATTTTCCATCCTCATCACCGCTACCTTCCGAGAAAGAGCTAATTGTAGTGTCAATACTCTCCACACCGTATGTACTATTCTTCAACGAATCTCGATGTTTTAATGGAACACGAATTGGTTGAGCTTCTCCGGATTCTAATGTTCTCTCGTCTGTGAGGAAATAGCTCATCTGCGGAGCTTGTGTTCTCGTTGCAAGTGGTGTTATGTCGTTATCACTAATACTCCTACTCCGAGATCTCCCCCTGTAAGCATCGTCGCCTGGTAAAGGGCGCATTTTGGATTGTTTGATAAGGAGTTGTTTGTGGAGAAGCGGGGATCAAGTTCTTATCATGCTTCAAATGCTTTGTAACCTGTTGTGTGGTAATTTCTCAAGAAAGTGAAGGTATTTAAACAATCCCTTTATTAAGAATTGAGGTTGTCTCGTAAGTTGTAGCACGGTTGCTTGGGTAGGCATGTAATAATACTAGTACCCCGCCGCGTGATATTGAATATAGGAAGGAGAGATCCTGATTCCTGATTCATTCATTGAAGCAAAGCAAGCCCAACCAGCCAAATGTACATGAGCCGATTAGCGGTGAATCTTACCTAACTCCGATCTGTACTAAGATGATACCGACATTAGTGTCAAAAGCACTTGGGCACGTGCTGAGGCACCAATGAGAGATAAGATAAGGCATCAGTTTTACATCAACCTTGTTTTATATCAACCTTATTATTAAGCGCTTGATATTTCGACTTTAAGCGCCTTATTGGTGTAATATACCCAAAGTTGTAAAGTGGTAAAAGGCTAAACTCAATATGGTTACTGTTGTCAATTATTCTTCTTATTGAACCACCCTCACTGGACCATACATGAACGATAATTGGAAGCATTTCCCGACGATCGTTTCTCGAGTGAATTAATCCCTACATCAATTTGCTCCGGTTTTCTTTTCCACTGGGAAAGATCTCCAATTTTATTACAATCAATCAAAACGGCTTCTCACGGGTCGAAAGACGCGCTGTCGATTCTAGAGCAAACTTGCACCCCAAAGTCCATTTTATTCAATACAGTTCGCAAAAGATCTTTACTCAAGCCTCCTCACACATTTCCTCCTTCTCCAACTGCGCAGCGACTTCCCCACTCTCTGCCAAGTTCTATCAGCATACAAGATCTTGATACCGAGCACCTTACAGACAAGATGGACAATAGGAAACACCCCAGCTCCTTCCAACAACTGGAGAAGCTAGGAGAGGGTACCTACGCTACTGTGAGTACAAGAGGGAAATCTTGGGATCCATGTAGCGCAGCGCGATCTGCGCTCGATATACTATCCTAACAAGGGCTCTTCTTGCAGCAGACTTGTAGATGTTCTTCGATACTGACTCATACAAGGTTTTCAAAGGTAGAAACAGACAGACTGGTGAGCTTGTCGCTTTGAAGGAGATCCACCTCGATTCCGAAGAAGGTACACCATCGACTGCGATCAGAGAGATTTCCTTGATGAAAGAGTTGAAACACGAGAACATTGTCAGCTTACACGATGTCATACATACCGAGAATAAACTCATGTTGGTTTTTGAACATATGGACAAGGACTTGAAGAAATACATGGACACTGCAGGAGACCGAGGAGCTTTACCACCTCCTACGATTAAATCATTCATGCACCAACTCCTTAAGGGAATCGATTTTTGCCATCAAAATCGGGTGCTTCACAGAGATCTAAAGCCCCAAAACCTCCTCATTAACATGAAGGGCCAACTCAAACTTGCAGATTTTGGTCTTGCGCGTGCATTTGGTATCCCCGTCAACACTTTCTCCAACGAGGTGGTTACTTTATGGTACAGAGCACCGGATGTCCTCCTTGGAAGCCGAACCTACAATACCAGTATTGACATTTGGTCTGCAGGATGCATTATGGCAGAAATGTATACTGGACGTCCTTTGTTTCCTGGAACAACCAATGAGGATCAGTTGGTACGAATTTTCAGAATCATGGGAACACCATCTGAGCGAACATGGCCTGGAATTTCTCAATTTACTGAGTACAAGTCAAACTTTCAGATGTATGCAACTCAAGATTTGCGAGTTATTCTACCTCAAATTGATGCGGTTGGTATCGACCTTCTTCAGAGAATGTTGCAATTAAGACCAGAATTGAGAATCAGCGCACATGATGCTTTAAGCCATCCATGGTTCAACGACTTACCAGGAGCAATGAGACGCCCACAAGTACAACAAGGACAGATGCCGATGCAAAGGGGATATGCGCCACAAGAGGTTGCCCAAGGAGGTTACCAACAATATTGACGGATTTCTTTTAAAGTGACTTATGATACCTCTATCATTTGGGGAAAGGCGTTAGACTGGATTGCATGGAGAGACTTGGGTGCGTGTGTTTTCATAGCAGGTTATGATCGATCCATGATAATGAATTTCTTTAGCTTCCGATTCATGATCTTCATATTACGTACGGATTCAATTTCTATATGACATACTTTTCAAACTATATCTGGGGAACAACCTCAGCCTCATGTTCACAGACCCTCCTTTGTGACTTATGTTGCATGTCTGATGTTTCGGGCTGTGCAAACACATAACCACCAGTTTTCTTGGCTTAACAGTGGCTCTTTTACAAACCAAATGACCCGTGCGTAATTCTGATACAAGTGCATGATTTCCTAGTAGCCTTGAAATTCGAGGCAGTATGAGAATCCGCAATCTTTATGTCTGAACTGGCATTGCATATCAATGCTCGAAGTAATTTCAAAAGTACAACAGGGATCGTCGATTCTCGGTGGTACACAAATCGTTGTTTCTACTTGGGAGCTCACCGAGGTTGGGAGATTTTTGGTGAGTTTTGAGCATTTCAAGGCTCATTAAGAGAGGCTCAAGGGAAAGAAACAACTACTGTATGCTTGTGACGATGGTGCAAGCAAAACATCCCAAGCAAGTATCGATATACGACCGCTGTACCAAAGTTTTTGATTGCGAAAATAAGAGTTTATTGTTCTCAAGTTGTTGGGAAATATTACTCCGAGTACACAACAACTGCTGGTGTGCGCCCATTCAGAATTTTCATGAAGGGAAGATGCGTCTCTTGTAAACCTCCCGCCAAAGTAATGACAGTTGTTTAATTACTACCTAGGCAGTCATTGATGCTATCTCTATCACCCACCATCGTCAGAGTGGGCACTGTCTCAGATCCCAGGATGATAAAGCCTGCGCATTACTATAGTAACATACTTCCGATAGCTCGCGTCAAATTATTCTTTGGATTTGGATTACAACCACGCCATACATTCTAGTTTGAGCTCGAACCCGGCGTCTACTTCTCGCTCATATGATGGCGTCTGGGTATTGGTTTCCCACCTCGGATTTGCAAGTGCAAACACGAACCTCTTCCTCATTCAACGGTATTGTGAATTAGTCCAGTAGTACTAAATCGTGTGTCTGTTACATGTCACTGTATAAGAGTCATAGGTGAACAAAATCCAATGACTCGAAACATCAACTTCGCTCTCCCACTTCTCTGTAGAATGTTCTGGATTCCGCTGGTTAGCATCTAACCTAATAGCGAATTATCGGGGACTTCTGGCAATGGCATACGTTCACTCAACTGGAGCTTTGACTTGTGTCTATAGAGATTTATGTTGATTTTGGAGGAATTACGGCTTTCGGTTTGGGAAGAGATTCTCTTTCTATTGTTGATTACGGTGAGATTCGTCAGTGGATATCACACATGTTTGGTTTCTGATGCCGATATAAGACCACCTGGAGAAGAAAAGGTGGAAGAATTTGAGTGCCCGGCTGCTGATGGTGATGAATAGCCGTTTGATACAGCGGATGAATGTGGGATGGATGATTCACGGTTGGAGTTCATCGAGGGTGCAATTGTAAATCACTGTAATATATAGATATAAACAAGGTAAGCCTTCAGTTTTTGGTGCTGTGATTATGGTGGAGACGCTCTGAGTGTGCCGTGCAAGGCTTATGTATTCTCTTCCTAAAATCTTCTATTGACAACAGCGACATGCAGATTGTGGTGGCAGAGGGGCCAATGACAAGTGTTTAGGCGTGGGTCTTTTTGAACCTTCTCCATGGTATGGCACGCGTGAAAATGTTTATTAATGAGCATGCCTGTAAGGATCTGGGAGATGAAAGAGTGTTCATAGGATGTCATTGTGCGGAGCATGACTGGTTATTATCATCGAATGTGCACGGAGTAACAAGATCTAAATGGATAGGAGAGTTGCAAATAGCAGAATAAGAATTTGAGGCAGACGAATCTATTAAGATAATCGTGGCATATTGACATTGGGCTACAGATAAATCCTTCCAGAAGTTTCTCATATCAAGCTGAGAGCGCGAGTGAGTTCGTTGTACACAGAAGTACCATATCCCACGACTACCATCGACCAAAATCAGCACACACTTAAATAAACACCGGTCATCGGTAAACCTGATGATAGTCCCGCTGGATACTGTGGCCATATCTCATACACATTCTTATTTCCCACAACACCATCCGCAAACCGAAACATAAAGCTCAACACACCATTCTCAGGACATGTCAATGAATTGACCGTTGTATCAAGACGTATCACCGGCGTGAGTACACCAAAGTGCTGGGGGAGATCGGAGTTTTCAGGAAAGAAGGTTGAAGTCCAGGTTGGTGGGATATTGAGTGGAGAATTGGAGGGCGGGGAGATGATAGAGATATCGAGTGTGGGTGGAGTTGGCGAGGAAAGTGACCAGCTTAGATACTGCGATTCGAAAAATGGGAAGGTGGCAGCGAGGTTGCAGGTCTGCTTTGTGCTAGAGGGGTTCTGTGTGGATGGAGGGATTGTAAAGGATATGTATGGAAGAAGAGCCGTAGCTAAACATCACGTTAGCAATCAAATCACTGTGGAAATGAAAGTGGTATTAGAGAAAGAAGGGAATTTTACTGGAGTTCTGGTATACGAAGAATGAACCAGCACCGTTGCTACTTATGGTATTTGAGTAGCTTGTATTAGGAGCGGCGCTTGATATTTGAGAGATCCAAGTTGGTGAAATATTTCGGCATTCTCTAGTCGATAGGGATCTGTCTGGGATGTTTGGAACGTTTGGGATAACCGATGCTATAGAATTTGTCACAATGAACGACAAAAGTATCTGGAAAGTTCCTGACTGATACATCTTGAAATTTGAAAGAAAAGGATTCACAGTGCCTTGTACTCAATCGTTGTATCAGAAGAGATAGACGTCTATTGAAAGCATTGCTCAAATATACTAACACATCACGAGGTCGAGATGATATTGCAAGGAGAAGGGGTCTCGCGGACTTTGACTTGGCGTAAGCAGTATTTTGGCAGATCGCGGATGATTATGTCTTTCGGAAAGACTTTCCGAAATCCCTTGACAAAAACGTAAGGTTATTCATTTTTATGTAAAGAGAACTCTAATGGAATCTAGATTTCTTCCTCATTCTTTCTCCATAAGTCATCAAAGCTACAAGTGCAGGTATGAAAGCGATACAAATAAAAGCTAACAACGAGTTACCCCATCCGAGCCTCAATCGGCTATACAAAGATGGTCCGACGAGCGGTAGAATGGCAGCAAATAAAGCACGAAGTATACAGCCCACAGCCACTGCTGAAGCTGCATGTAGTTCGTGTGCATCAACGAGATAGTTCTCTGTGGGAAGTATGGCCAATATGAGACTAAAGCCCACGATTGCAGTTCCAATAATGGGAACAATCCAATGAACGTGCTTCTCGGCAGACCAACCGTAGAGAAAAAGACCGATTGGAAGAGCAATGGCACCCAGAAGCATGAGGGGAAGTCGATGCTCGGGTTTTAGGTGTCCTTCTTTTGATTTTTTGTACTTGATGTATCGGTCGGAGACCACGGCATATAGCAGCATAGCTATGACATTTCCAGCAGCTGACATACGTTAGTCTCATTTTTATACACCCGATAAAAGAACAAAAATCCGTACCTCTTCCCAAGAATGCAAGTCCCACGGGACCTTGGCCAAGTCCGTAATTATCCTCTAATATTGGAGTGAGAGTGGTAAGAATGACATAAGAGATTCCACACACCGGAGCCGTGAAGAAAGATATGATAAACACAATTGGCGAAAGGAACAGCAGTTTGATTGGCCGCAACAAAGAATCCTTCAAATCTGCATGTTTCTCCGTACTTCCATACTTCGATCGCAAATGTTCGTTGCCAGTACTTTTACGAAGTCTCTCTACTTTTCGTTGCACAAGTTTCACCTTGTACGTTTCTCGAAATGTGAGGAATCCAAGACAAGCGACCGCTCCTACGGCAATAACAACAATCCAGATGCTCCATCGCCAGCCTTTTGCTTCGGTAATATAAGAACCAACAACTGGACCTGCAAATGGCCCGAGAATTAGAAAGGCAATAGCCACTGACATGGCGGTACCTCGATCTTCTTTTCTGAAAAGATCTCCAACGATACTGGGCCCTAAAGTCACCGAGCAAACGACCAGTCCGCATAGAAAACGAAAAGTAATAAGCATGGACATATTGGTACTCAGTGCCCCTCCTGTAAGACATAAAATAAATAGGATATTTCCAACATGATACACAGGCATTCGACCGTAGATCTCCGACAAAGGCCCCACTAAAAAGGGTCCAAAGACTTCACCAAGCTCCCAGATGGACACGAGCAAAGTTGAGTATAGGTTGTTTGTAACGTGAAACTCTTCCATTACTCTTGGCACTGCTGGAACTATAGTGATAGTGCCCAAGTTACTATATGAGAGCTTGTTAGATATCTGGCATGACGATTATGGAAATTGCGCAAGCTTGAGGTAGGGGACTACTTGAATGAAAAGATCAACATACACCAACATGAACATCAATGCCGTACAGCTAATGATTGACTATTTCCGCCACAGTGGCCAGTTGAGGGGATGTTCTGGCGTAAGCTTGGCTTGTAAACAAACTCAAGACAATGTGCAGAACTTACTATTATGTCTGAGAAAATGTTCTGTATTCGAGCCGTCCAACTGTTGGGCATCCCGAAGAATAGCCGGCAATATAACATCAAAACCTGGTAATCTAAACTTGTATCTTGCTCATTCATTCCCTTTACTTATGTATCGATTTGTCCTCGGAACAATACTTGCATCTACAGGGGTGGCATCAATCAGATCGGGATCGCCTTAGAGAAAAGCTTGCTACAGATAAGACATAGGTATTAGAGTCTACCTAGGTGTACTTCAATATCTCGACCCACGTTACGCCATCATCATTCACAGACCAACACATCTATTGTTGGTGGGTGTCGCCAGATGTTTGATTCGATCGTGGTTCATCAAAAGAGTATGTACTTTTGCGGGTCGTGCGGCGTAGTTACTAACCGACACGGAGTCTTATCTCGACCACGCCTCTCTTGTGCGTTAAAGGCTTGCGTATTCGTCCTGGTGACGCAACAGATGTGATGCTTGCCACCCCTTTATTATCAATGGACTTAAGCGGTTGTGCGGAGACATTATTGAATAGTGTCTATCCTCGAACCTGGACATATCACCTGATCTACTCCTTATACCCATTGCGAGCACTGCTTGAGAGCAGTCAAATAGGATCTATACATCAGATGCCTATCAAAATATAAATTGCATCACGATTCCATCACTTGAGAACCTCACAGGGAGAATTGCAAGTCTCGAGGAAAAACTAGAAAACATTTCGAACAGCAGTGACAAATTTCCACAGTGATTCGCCAGAGTTCATCATATCTTCATCTCATACGCTGCTTGAATGTGCTCCACGCTCAATCATGTACAATGTGAAATGTAAAATCTGGAACCTCCACGATACGCGGTATGTCAAGAAAATTAGAAGGAATAGTCTCGGCCAAATGCGTATATATCGTCACTAGAAGCAACTGAAAGCTTAGAATGACGAATGTACCGCTTATCAGAGAGGAAAATATCAAGGAGCTGGAGAAAATTTCACTTCTGGCGGCCCAAATATTCAGTCCCTCCACTTCGAGTCACCATCATATACGTCTCTCCATCGGATTCTTTCCCCTACAAACAACCCTAGGAATACACAATGCATTTCCCTCCTCCGCCTCCCTCCCCCCCTCTCAATCAATTCCCACCACATGTCCGCCGCCTCCTCTTTCCCAATCCTCATCAAACTGTCCGCAAATTCCTCCATCGTCAATAAATGCTGTTCATTAAACGCCCTCACCAATTTATCTTCATCTCCAAAACTCTGCATATCTATCTCCTCGAATCCAACATCTCTGAGAAAAGACGGAATTTGAAGCGTCCAATCATAGCGTCCATTTGCCCAAGACATGGTGCGGATGTGTTGGAGAGCCGGGGCTTGTGTAGAAGAAGAGAGGGTTTTGACATGCATGTTTCCACAATCGAGTTCATCCCATTGCAGATATCCTGTAATATTTTAGTTAGCTTCCAGACTCCTCCTTCCTCTTTCTTTTTTTCTCAATCTCGCAAGATCAGATCGAGAAGAGAATCTCACCTCCCGGCTTCAACATCCTCATCAATTTCCCCACAAATCCTCGAATCTGACTCTCCCCCTCCAAAACCAAAACAAGCAATCTCACATGCACAAAATCAAACATTTCAACCCATTCCCCCGGTACGTCTTCAAAAATATCCCATTTCCGCACCTCGGTGTTTCCTGGTAACCATTTCTCATTCGGCGCCTGTTTGATGTCTTTATCAAACCCCACTATTTGTCCATCCGGGAATTCTCTTCCCACATCCAGTAGCCATGCTGCCGTGCCCGTTGCTACATCCGCAATTTTGACATGCCTGGGCAAATGAGGAAGGATAGATGGATAGATATTAAACCCAAGTGCTTCCCTCCAGAGATAGTGTTGCAGATTTAGTCGACAAGAGGAGATGTGTTTACGATTGCGAGTACGGTTGAGGATATAGCCGTGGCCGGAGGAGAGACTCCAGTCTGCTTTTGAAGATTCAGGTTCTGACATTGTGGATTGTGGAAATCGATGGTATAGGATGGAAAATTGAGGAGTTTCTTGCATTTAGGAGGGCAGATAGTAAATATGGAAAGGCAATGAGAAGAAAGAAAATACCAACTTGGAGGATCCAGATAATGGATCATCGAAAATGAAGAAGTCATATCTACACGAGTCCATCCACTAGTATGCAGCCCGCCGCAAAATGTATCAGTTGATCCATCAACACACACAAAATCCATGATATAACTTGCAGAAAAAACGTAAGTTTAGTGAATCAACGATTGTACTCTCCTCCTTTACTAACAGTTGATTCTTTAAACGGTATCCCGATGCGAGATAACTACGTATGTTTGCACTAGCAATGGATGGTAGTTATGAACTAATCGCAATCAAAATAGATGCATAATCAACCAACTGTTGGAACTGGAATTGTAATCGAGTACCCCGCAATCCAATCGACAATATCAACTGATCATTGTCAATCTCAATTCCCTAATTCAAATAACCAGAAATGGATAACGTATTGAAATGTATAAATATCATACCATAACGATGTCCAAAACATACCACAGCAAATCAATACATCGATTCCATCAAACCCCAAAACTTAAAAAGAGCTCGAGTTCCGTATCATCTTGATCGAACTGAAATGAACATTGATATAAAATATAAATATAAGTAACTCAACACCCAATCTGTCGTACCCAAGACATTCAGTCTCAAAATATAAAGATATTACACAAATACCCGCTTTCCAAGAAAAGTAAATTCCCACGTAACAATGCCATCCCATCTGCAAGCTATGCATGGGGATCATTACCAGACCACTCCAAGAGACTGTAATCACTTATATATCATATCTGCTTCCCATTCATCCGACACATGCAGACAGATATTTCGAGCAATCTCAAGAAAAAACCCCCGACTCCGATGTTTTCCCATCAAAATTTCATAATCCCATCCATCCAATTCAATCCCAACAAACCCCGCCATCCAATATATTCTCTAGCCAGAGAAAAACAAGATGCATATTCCCTAATCGCACATATCGATCCCGATAATCTCTCTTCTCTGCCCCTTTCACGCCAACCTCGTCGCCTGACTCTTAATCTCCCCACCTCCCAATTCCCTTACCGGCTGCGTCCCCGGCATCTCGATATGATATTCCGGCGCATACAATTCATACGCCACCGGTTCACTCCTCGAATAATCACTCGAGTCCTCCATCTTCTCATTCATAGCCACTTCCGAAGTAGGATACACCGTATAATCCGTATTTTTCGCCTGTTTCTTGCGCCAGAAGAAGAATCCCGCTGCCAATGCCAAGAGTGCGACAATTGCGATACCGATCCCGATACCGGCTTTGGCTCCGCCGGAAAGTCCGGTTGCGGGAGTGCTATCGGTGGGAAGCCCGGTCTGGGTCTGTGACGAGGAGGCGGATGCTGCAGATGCAGAGTTACTGGTGGAAGAGGTGGTGGGATTTGAAGTTGCTGTTGTGGTGGCATCACTGCTATCCGAGGTTGTGGTTGATATCGACGTTGATGTTGATGTCGTAGAAGTTGACGACTCCGTAGGTAACGGTAATCCTAATGTTGTAGGTGATGTACGTTGATTTTGGTCGACGATGAAATGTTCACTATTGGCTCCATATCCATTTGATGCATTTGGTTTCAAATCGAACCAACAAGGTGAACCACCTAGCCATCTCCAATTGATTGGAGCAGAGCCATTAAATGCTGTCACCGTGGTATAGCTTTCTGTAAGAGAAATGTTGAGTGAGTTTTCATTGCTCCGTCATGTTCTTTTGTATTATTCCAAGATAATATCTTACCTGTGATTAATGGACCCGTAATATCCGTGATATTTTGACAATAGATCCAAAGTTGAGGCTCTGGAAAAGGAGATGTGTAGGTTACATTAACGGTATCGAGATAGTTGATGGTGAGATTATCCGTCGGATACAGAAAAACAACACCATGATCATCAGCTCCAGTATATCCTATACTCCACGAGGAGCAAGTAAGAAATGTCAAGAAATAATTCCGTGAGTAATACATGTTGATGACTGCAATAATTGATGTCCTAGTTTAAGTTACACTGAGGATCGAAGTCATCAAAAGATTCCATGTTGGATACGTGAAAGATTTGAATCTTCTGAGAGATGTTGAACAAGGCAATAGGGCTCATGGGTGTAAGGGCTAGGTCTCTGCCCAGAACCAAAATATGGGTTAAATGGGATTCTTCCTTAATGCCAATGAAAACAGTGGAGATCTCTTATGATTGTCTCCTTTCAACTTTATTCAGAAGGAAGTAAGCTTAACTTTCTTAATTTCTCAAAAATTTATTCCTAACTGGCTTGGCAGCATTTCCTTGGTGATATTTGTATTTCCAATGTAGGGTGGGATGATTTGATACTACACTGCCTACTCGGGTAGTATTCTACAACGAATACTGGTACTCTGAAGGAGGTTGCAGGGTTGGTCTAGTGATTCCTGTAGCATGGCTGGAGCATGGCTATCCAAATACCTACTGGGGTATTTTCATGAACGGAAATGATCATTCTGATACCAAAACTTCAAGAGTGACGAAAGTTAACCTTCATGAATGCAGTAGAAAGCACGAAGAATACAAGCAGGAAGATACAACACGCGAGCACAGAAGAAGTTTCTCCTTCATCCCCCACCGCTAGAGCCAACCTAGTATCAGTTTTTTCTTGATGCCATCTAAAACAGTGGGGATATGATACTAGTAGTATCATACTACAGCCTCCTGTCTCCTGTCAACTTCTTTCTTCAAAAGGAATTGAACGATAAGCGTAATGGACAATAAACTTTTCTGCTGTCACAGAGCCTAATCACTGATTGGCTCTCTGCCTAGGATTGAATTAGCGATATATATATTTGGAGAATATCTTTGTACGTAGGTGGGATGATGCATACCTCTTCCTTATCTGATTGGTAAAGTTAGATTAGCCAAGCTAGCTAAGCAAGCCATTTTAGCCTCCCGAGATTAAGCTTATTGTTCTCACGTTCCACGATCCCCCTGTCTCAAGTCTCATACCTATCGAGAGCCATCTTCACTACGTAAAATGTGAGACGTTACACCGCCTAAAATAAAAGACCTCATATATATCCCGTTTCCTCATGTCTGCCAAGTTTATCCCTAAGAATAAAAAAGTGCCAGCCGACGAACAGATCATGGGAATTTTCTGCTTGGTAACAATGTAACCCCAGCACGTGCTGGGACCACGACAGGGTTGAGCTTGTAGAAGTCAAAGTGGAACCATGTCTGATCAACAACAAACAGGATCCTCACCGGCGTTTAACTTCCTTCACGACTTGCTGAATCACATCATTCAAATCATAAAGCCCACAATTGCCAGGTCATTACCGCCAGGGTCACAACACTAGTAATATAAGCGGCAACTCCAAATGCTCCTTGAATATCTTTCTCCAATATCGTCCAACAAATAGCAAATGCTATTCCTAAGACTGAGGAGAGTATAAACATAACGGTAATTGCCAAGGACGTATTTAATCCCTCGACAAAATGTAATCCCCAGCCTAGATTTTCGCTTAACTTATTTGCATTAAATGCGATCGGTTCGATCTTCCTGCGGGGAATTCGTTGGAGGTAGAAATTTGAATTGACATCAGAAATTGAAGGGCAGTCTTGGAAAAGATGCAGCATGTGTTCTGGGCCTGTAGGAGGAACCATTTTCGGAGGTGGTGGCGGTGCAAAATCATACTCATTGGTACTTGGTGGAAGATCATTAGGTTTGATATGATCAACATAGTCGCCTGGACAGGCTTCGAACTATGTAAAGTCAGCAACGCCATTCCACACGTTCAATCGAAACCGGGAAGTTCGGTGTTGACCAGCTGGTAAGGAAACTTTTGCTGCTCAAGATTTAGACGAACACTTCGTCCAATACTCTTAAAGCTCAGACTCTGTTCGAAACCCCCGGATTCTGAAACCCCAAAATACTAATAAAGAAATTCAACTGGAATTGGGAGCTCATACACCTATAAACTCGATTCTTCTCAACTTCAAAATTGCCCAATCCCTCCACGTTCTTTCTTTGCTATAAGCGTGTTTAAGAGCTCTGAAGAAAGTTTTGTCGGTCAATGGATCTTGATTTTCATCCTTACACACGTGAAGTGGCTTGAGATGAGTTGCATATGGTTTTTCCTTCATGCACAAGTGAAGCCAACGGCACCCATCGGCAGGTAGACAAACTGGGGTTTTCGGGAGACTCGCTTTGACAAACGTTGACAGAGAGGTGTTCCGAATTTTCAAAAGTTTTCTCGAGATGAGATTAATGCCATTTTGAAATCTCCCACTTACCCTCAGTTTCGTCCCTAATGATTGACTTGTTATCTGTGCTCGAGTTATGTAGCCTGTTTTCATCAATTCCTTTGCAAAATCTACAGCTGCTCCTTCCCGACCTGGGAACTCAGTAAAGTCGTCGTAGGAAGCATGTCCACATTTCTGGTAGGTTATTAGCATGAAGCTGAATCCATGAGTATACATTCTCATAAAGTCGTTCTTACACATGTCCAAACCATGCGTCGAGTAGCATTTGGTAAAATCTCATATTTGCCAAGCAATTTCTGTACGCTAGAGTATATTCCGTTCAACTTAACATGGTTATCGAAAGGTGATTTCGTTAGATTGGAATACAATTCTTCGAACATGTTACGAGCTCTGTAATTCTGGAGAGGGCTTCCTTCTTGAAGTTCTTTTCTGAAAATTCTCTGCTCTTACTGATATCAGATGGTTTACGGTTTTCGATCTCTTTACTTGGACGTCCTGAACTATGAAGAAGGAATGAAGAACCTGCCCTACGTTCTCGGTATTGATCGGACCTTTTTACCTCTCCAAAATTGCTAGACAACTTCATACTCTCGAAGCATTCTTGTGAAAACAACCGAGGGTCATGGTGTTGCACTCGACTCCATGTTTTAAGAGCATAACTCATGCACACGTTCGCGTCAGCAGGAGAATATATGGCCCACGAATATTCCTTATAGCCCAGACACAATAAGTGATCGATACGGTGCCAATCCGGCACCGCCTCAGGGCACTTTTTAATCACTCGCAGGGACGGAGTTTGTTTGGCTACTTGCAACAATAAAATGAATGCAAGTTTCCTATTCAGAGATAGAGGTGAGGTACGCCCAACATCAAAGTTGGGAGCATCAATGAAACTACTGGATGTGTCGGGGTGTTCGATGTCGAAATAAGCGGGATGTTGAGAAAATGTGACTCGGCCGTGTTTTCTAAAAAGGTGGAAAGATTTGTTAGCCTCCCTAATGAATGTAATTTGTTGAGAAAGGGAATCCTCACTTGTCACCCCACAATAATTGGTATAAAAGAATGCCATAGAAGCCCAAAAGATTCTCAAGTGAAAGAGCGCAAGATCTTTGCACATCGTAGAAGAGAAGAAAAGGATGAAGAGCGTCCGAGATACGAATCGGGAGGGGTGGATCAGTGAGCCGGCATAAGGCATAGTTCATCTGCAAAACTCGACTTGACATAGGTAGACTTTTTGGAATAGGCACTCCCTCACATTTCGTCCATGGGGGACTGACCATCACCCCCATATAATCTTCTGCTCTTGTGCTTACTTTTAGGTGTTGTCCATTTCACACCGTCCGAATATAAGTCGTCCGAATACAAGTCGTCTGCGTGCGCTTCTTTCCTTTCGCTAATGTTTACAAGGGGAGTTCTCTCCTGCTTTAACATAGCTTTCCTTGACTCAGACTCAAACTCCGATGAGTGATCTGTGTCAAGTTCTGTAGAAGATATGGGAGGCATTGAAGACGTTGAAAGTATTTGTGGTATTGAAGTTACTGGTGAAATTTCAGGTATTGGAGGCGTTGGTGGTGTTTGAAGTATCGGAATTATTTGGGGTGTTGGAGAATCCGAAGGTATTGGAGGAGTTGGAAGTATCGGAAGTGTCGAAGCTATAGATGCAGCTTCAACCTCAAACATTTCCATTTTCTTACTCTATTTCTCATCTTTTCCATCCTGTTTACTTTCCAGTCCCCCATCCCACGTCAAACTCCAATCCTTCTTAGCAGGCTTACTACCACCCACCACTTTCCCCGGAGCGAGCGCCCCCTTCCTCATCCGCACTCTTCTCGGATCAAGCAAAACATGATACCTCTCCAACATCCTCGGCATCTTCAACTCCAACTCATAATCTCTCTCACACTCCCTCTCCCCCAATCTATCCTCTTCCTCCTCCCAATACGTCTTCGGCATATCCTTCAGCGCATCATCGCAAGCCTTGGACATCTCACTCAACACCTTCACCACCTCTCTTAACGACTTTGAAACTCCTTTCAACACCACAGAACGACATTTTAACCTCTCTTTCATAGCGAGGTAAATGATGGCCATTTCGTTAGGATTCGATTTTATCGTCGCATCCAGAGAATCGGAAATCCCAAACAATAATTCGGCACGGGTTTTCAATCCCTCTCTCATAGCATCATCGTATATTTTCAACCAATCGAGCTCTAGATCCGACATGAGATCCAGAATGTCTTGATTTGTCAACGGGTTCCCCATTTTGAATTTCTGATGAAGACTTCAACTCTGTAACTTTCACACATCCAAAAACCCAAATAAACAAGATCGCAAAAAAATCATACATAAAAACTCAACAGGATAAACAGGACACTAAATAAACCACTCCCATCTCATAAGCCACATCGCCTTCCTTTCCGGCAGACTTGGCGCAGCCTTGTTGCGCATACATACATCATACTGCCCATGTAATCACCTTCTCAGCCCTCCCAGATCTTGATTTTTCACCAACCACGAACTCTTCACTCATGATTCTCTATACACAGTAAAATGCGGGAATCATAGATATTCTATTGACCTTCAACTTCTTAACACAATCCAAGAAGAGAGATATCGAAAAGCATGAGATAGATTAGCTGTTCAATAAAGCAGATATGAAAACACCTAGCTATAGGGTGGGTGTTTCGTCATATGATATGACATCCAACCAAGAACCCAACGCTAAGTCAAGAATCAAACGGTTGGAATAGATCTTGGCAAGTAAGCAGGAACACCATACAACTACCATTAGGTATCTCTTGCCTGTAGTATATAAGATAAGAAAAAGACAATATTCATCATACCATCGCAAATACTTTCAAATCGACAAAGTATCAAGAACCAACCCCGTAATATCCAATCCTGACTACCGTATTAACTGGATTAAGTGATAATATCTTATAGCCAAAAAATCTGTCTTGAGCTAAGATCGAACATAGTCTTATAATCCAATTAATATCTTATAATTCAGAATAATAATTACATCTTGTAGGATTTATAGCTTATAAATATAGGCTATAAAGCCCATTTAAATATCCTCTTATAATCCAAAAAAAAATCTTTATTTAAATAAAAACATGTTCCATTAATCCAGTATAGTTAACCAATAACCAAATATTTCATTTTAATCCAGTTAATACGGTACTAAATAAATTTCAACACTTTCCTCCAACGCCTTTCCATATCGAGTGTGCACGTGTAATCTACACGTGATCCCTCTCCACCACTGCCCTCCACGTTCCATCGAACGAAAACCACTCTAGGACCATTCAGAGGTCGACGATTAGAGTAAGAATGCTCTAGGTCACTCAATCGCAAATTAAACCAAACATCCATCTTCCAGCAATACAATACATACCCCCCAGCCATACAAAACTCTCACCACAACCAATCCCACCCAAAACATCCCATCCCATCTCCTCTCCTCCCAAACCCCGAGTCCCAAGTATACACATACATCCATCCTCGAGAATACCATTACATTACATTACATTACATTACTCGCGCAACTTCCGAGTTTCCAATACTTTCTTTCTTTCTTTCTTTCTTTCCTTCTTCTTTCTTCTCTTCTAAAGTCTATCTATCTATATATCTATCTATATCTCTATATCTCTATTTCCAAGCCGAGGAGAATGAATCAATAAATGAATGACTTGAAACCCTTATAACCTTGTAACTTTACAACTTTACGATTTGATACAAAACAAAAATTAGACAGAAAAATCAAAGAAAATCAAAAGACAAAAGTTGACATCTCAATTTCCGATTTCCGTTTCCTAACACAGAGAGCGCGCGAGTCTGTATATGTATATAAGTATCTAAGGAGAGAAAGTCTGAAGAGAAGAAATGATACAATTTCTATTGATACCCACTAGGGACCTAGCTCTATGAGTTTTCGCAGCTTGTGAGATTCATTCGGGGTATCTTCTTCGTGTTTATATCTTTGTAGGTACCTATCTATATTAGGAGAGGGAGGGAGGTAATTGTTTATATGTAAATCCAGTACAGGTAGTACCTACGATCTAGGTTTGGAGGCAAGAAGGTAGGTAGGTAGGTATGTTTCTATATTCGCATCATATACACATATACGCACTACATCAAACCGACGACGTTGAATTATTCCGTTAACTTCATGGTATAGTATACAACAGCGTTCTAGCTCCTCTCAGCTCTCATTCCATCCCTCCCCCTATTTCTCCTCCCAATTCCCCCTCGCCCACTCCCTCAAAACATTCTTCTTCACCTTCCCCGTACTCGTCTTCGGCAATTCCTTTACCACAACCACTTCCTTCGGCACCATAAACCGACTAATACTACTTTCCTCCTTTGCCCACCTCACCACATCTTCACCTTTCAAGCCCCCTGCTCCTCCACCCCTCTCCCTAACCGTAACAAAAGCCACCGGACACTCCCCCCACTTCTCATCCCCCACCGCCACCACCCCCGCCTCCAACACCCCCTCATGCTGCACCAACATCGCCTCCAACGCCACGCTACTTATATTCTCTCCCCCACTAATAATAATATCTTTCGCGCGATCCAAAATCTGCGCACTCCCATCCTCATGCCACACAGCCAAATCTCCACTATGCAGTGCGCCACCCGCGAAAAGCTTTCTCGTCGCTTCTTCATCGTTATAATATCCCTTTGCACATATGTTTCCCAGGAAGATGATTTCTCCGATTTCTTTCCCGTCGCGAGCGACATCTATAAGTTGATCATCTGGTTGATCGGGGTTGATAATGCGGAGATTGAGAGACGTGAGGAAACCATGTCCTTGACGCGCCATGCGGTTGTATTTTTCTTTCAGTGGGATGTCTTCCCAGATAGGCATGTGGTAGCCCTTTGTGATAGGACCATAGGTTTCCGTCATCCCATATACATGAACTGGAATGAGATTGAGATTTGTCATTGTTTCGAAAAGATGAGCTGTAGGTGGCGACGCGGCGACGGTGACCCGGACCGGATTTGGGAGTTTGGCTGCTTCTTTCGAGGCGCAAAGCAGAGTATTTACGGTAGGTGCGGCATTGAAATGGGTGATGGGTTGAGACTTCAGTAAATTCCATATTAGAGGATAATCGATTTTGCGAAGACAGAAATGGGTACCCCTAACTGCTGTTACGGCCCAAGGAAAAGTCCATCCAACGGCATGGAACATGGGGAGTGTCCAGAGATAACCACACCTTCCTTTATGAAAATTCAATCCCGATTCCACCACATTTCCCATAGCCGCAAGATACGCACCCCGATGAGTATAAACGACCCCCTTAGGTTTCGCCGTCGTTCCACTCGTAAACGGAATCGCAATCGTACCATCCTCCTCATCAGCCTGCGCATGCAATCCATCCCAGCCTTTCCCCCCATTCTCCCCATCATATTTCAACCCCTCCAAAACCGCATGATCGAATTCCCCCTCATCTCTATCCGTATCCTCATCCACAATAATTTTCACTCCTTGATTTCTCCCCCTATATCCTTCCAACAATCCCACAAATTCCCTATCCACAATAATACAATCTACCTGCGCAAACTCAAAAATATAAATAATATCCTCCTCCTTTAATCGATAATTAACTCCCACATGTATTGCCCCCGCAGCCGCGACACCAAAAATACTCTCGAGAAAAGCAGGCGTGTTTGGACTTAGTATTCCTATTCGAGCGAATTTGTGGATTTTGAGATAATATGCTAAACCGCGGGAACGATCTGCAAATTCCTGATAAGATCGTGTGATTGTTTGTCCGTTCGCAGTAACATGATGGATAGCTGGAGCATCAGGTTCAATCGCTGCTGCGCGGGGAAGAAAGAATGTAGGTGAAAGGGTATGGATGTGATGTTTGGGGGCTGGCAGTATTGTCGAAGATGTGTTTGATGCAGAAGAAGGTAATAAGTGATTAACCAGACTTTGAAGTCTAGAAGTAGGACCTGACATTTTGGAGTCCTAATTTGATGCGAATGATTTGGAACGGTCCGCTAGCCAAGCATCGATGCCCTAAATAATCTTATCGATTTGTCGTCTCTCGGAAGCTTTTATAATTACTCCCTCTCTATCGCTGACTGCGTCCTCAAGTCTGTACTACACCCCTTCAGCCTAGTTCCCTCGTCTTCGTAATTTCTCTCAACGACCCGATCCGTTGTCTCAAACCCTTCGTTTAAGCTCGTATTGTCCTCTCTGACTTTACCGGATCTGGTGGATGTCGATCACTCGACCAATCGATATAACTCCAATATCTTCCTCGAAATTCGTAAATATAGCTCTGAATAAACAATCCCAATCGACCAATTCATCAATCAAATCAAATCAGTTCAATCCGAATTGAAACCCACTCAAACCCAAGTAGATCTATCCCTTCGCCAAAAGACCCGATCAATAAATAAACAAAGCAGTTGATAAGTTATCTTGATACACATGTAATCTTGCCAACCCCAACATCCATCCAGGATAATAAAAACATTTATACCTTACCAGCAAGAACTAGAGGCCCCTCCTCCCGCCGCAATAATGTGGAGTAACTTACAAGTGTATCCCAGAAAATCCAATTACCCCACCATCCCCTCTCCAATCCAACCATCCAATGCATCCAACCACACAAATCCAACCAATCATCCCCAATAATCCACATTCCCTTCATCCTCGGCAACGTTCAACCCTTTGCAAAGCAATAAATTCCGCCCCGCTCGGCATCGGCATCGGAGTTCCGGAGCGGGTACTCTTGTTACTGTTCTACTTCGTCGACTTCATCGTGCATCTGTCTTTGCTTGATTTACGAACAATTTGATGAAGATCTCAGTTGGACATCATAGTCATGTGCATTGCAATCATATTCCTACCTGGGTAATCCGTGAAGACGGGAAGGAGATTTTTACAATAACAGAGAGGTGCTTCAAGAAATCATGAGAATGTAAGATGGGAAATTGGTAGACGACGATAAGGCGTAAATGCAAAGCACCTCAATAAAAAAGTAATGGTGGATGATCAGATCCTTGACGGTCTGTGAATCTGGAAATCTTTGGTTCTACCTATGGGTATATCAGTTGAGCTGTTAAAGGTAGCCAACAAATTACATCATATCATGATGATCTTATAAGCTCAATTTTCAAAAGATCCATCATACTCTCTCCAACAAAACTGCTCTTTGAATTCACAAAGAATTTAAAGTAACTTGTACCAAACCGATGCTCATTCATAAACTGTAACTAAAATGGATTTAAATATTATTTTTCACAATTCCACTTCCATTTCCACAAGACCAAACGCAATGTATTCATTCTTGATTCATGCCTTGGGCTTTTCATTTTGCTATGAACTGCATGCAAGCCGAAGCAATACACATCAGAGTTCCTTGCTGCATCAGACTCCTTTTGCCATTACAGCATTTCCCAATATTGTGTAAATGGTAAATGAATACCAGGCCTTGAGATCTTCCAATGAATGGTAGAACAAAGCATTGACGTTGTTATTGTTGAAAAGAAGAAACCGTTAAACAACCCAATCCATCCACCCAGCAGCGCAAAATCACATCAAATAAGGTCCAGGAGATTTAATAGCCGAGAGCAGCCAACTCAGTCTTGGTCTTATCGTCGATCTTAGCGGACTTCTGGGCTTCTGAAAGCTGCTTGCGTGCTGCCTTCTTGCGCTCGTAGTATGCTGCGCTCTTAACCTTTCTTCTCTCCTCAAGTCTGTAATTGTTTGTATTAGTAACCATCTCGGGAAAGTCCGGAACTCAACCCAATCCCAACGAATTTACTAACCTAGCGACAACATCTTGGTATTTCCATCCGACCTCGTGGCTCAATCTGCCGACAGTGCAGTATTTGCGTCCAGGCTTCAATCTCAACACTCTCAAAGCTTGGGGAACGACAACGCGCTTGACTTTGTCGTATGGTTGTGGAACACCCTCGAAAACCTTAAGTCTCTCCATGGCGGCGGCACCACGGGCAGTCTTGTGAGGAATCATACCACGGACGGTCTTGTAGAAGATTCTGGATGGGGCACGGAAATGGAAAGGACCTATTCGTGAAAAAGTCAGGATATTTTCCTTGTATCGAATGCGAATCGCAGAATCGCAATTGGCGGATTATGATATCTTACCTCCACGGGTTGGGTTGTATCTGGTCATCTTTCGGAGGTAGGCGTGGTACTTGACTATTATCGAAATTGAATCAGTCTTCCATCATTTCATTTATTCCACCCAGACGCGACATCATATCCATCATCTCCAGTCCCATCGCAATTTCAAGTAAAGGTAAAAACGTACGCTTCGCACGGAAGAACTCTCCAGAGATGTTCAAGGCCTCACATCGTACAACGACGATCTTCTGGCCGTTGAGCAACTGCTTTGCAACAGTGCTTGCAAGTCGACCAAGAAGGTGACCCTTGGCATCGATCGTGATCTATTAGAAGAAGTCCAATATCAGCAATTCGTTCCTATTCGTATTCGTCCATATTGCTGAGTCCCCCCAAAACCATTTCCCATGATTATTGTCGCAAGATATTGAATTTGGCTTTGGCTGCCATGGATATATGGAATTGAGCACTTACGACTGGCTCGAAGGTCGACATCGTGTCCTGGATAACTTGTCAGAATGAAATCGAAAGGCGTACAGAAAACCAAATTGCTCTACCTTCGTTATTTAATGAGGGCGGTGTCGTGGTTTGTCGGTTGGTCGTTGTCTTCAAATTCCTTTACGGTTGATGGATTCTCCAAATTGACACCGGTTTTCGCGCTAAAAATATTAGCCGAGTCCCAGGGCTAACAACCCCAATTTGAAGGAAAATTCAAAAGAATTATTTATTGAGTGAGGCAAGATGATGTTGATGATGAATCAATAATTTTTTCTTCAATGGCAATGTTTATTTAATTTCATGTTGCACTCACTTGGATCATGTACAGAATTGTTGAAAAACGTGAAGTTGACGATATGTGCGATTGCAGCCTTGCCAATTTTACGTTGATCGAATTTTCACTTCAAGCAAGCCTCGCCAACCTGGTGGCAGATATTAAGGCAGCAATTTTGATCGCATGAACAGAGTAGATACAAGTTATTCTCATCTGATATTTCAAATTAATGTGATATATACGATTTCAGGTGACTTCGATACCATCCGGTAAGTGATGATTGCAACATGGTGCACGAGGCACTTACCCATTTCAGCACCTATCAATTGGATTGATTCGGACAATTATTATCAACTGGGTACTTGGAACCTCTCTAATACTCGAACATCCATACTTGAACATCCATACTCAAACATCTAGGACAACACAAATTCGAACATTTGACACGGCTGCGGAGTTATGAAATTCATCAAGATATTACCCGGGCACAGTACGCAGACTTTCGATGCACCATGCGGTTGGAGAGGAGAACGTAACAAAAACAGAATGCTCCGAATAAGGTGTCAAAGCCCTTCTAATTATTGTTACAATTATGATATCACATGTAGCAGGAGGGAAAATGGATTGTACACTTTACTTTAGTCTTGACATACATTCAGTTCATGTAATCTTTAATATAAACACACTGGCCAAATAGCATATACATGCATTTCCAGAATATCAAGCCACAAGTCATATCATGCTCATGTTCATGCTCCTCGATGCAAACAGAATGATCAACCCTCTCGCATCCTTCCCATATGTCAATGACGTTCACCCCTGCAGTTCAATCCAAACCCCTCCTTTCCTATCGTCAACTTATTAACACCTATCCCATCTATGCAGTACGCCATGCCAAATTGCAAATATTGCAATATACCATCCCTCCCTGGAAGTGGAGAGGCCCAATCATACCCAGTATATGCATAGCATCCCAATTGAACAAATTTTGTAAATGCAACAAAAGATAGATGCATTCCTCAATGCAGGAGTAATCCGGAGTCAAAGTTTGGTAATTGATTCATTCCTACCTTCCCAAATGAAACTGATGTAGCCGAAATGAAACCCCTTATTCTGCACCTGGAACCTTTGAATCAAGTTCATTGAGAACATCTTGAACCTCTCTCACAAGAGCTTTCCTGGTTTCTCTCGCAGTTTGATCACCCTCCGTTTCAACCGCATCCAACTTCAACAGTACTTGTCCCATAATAGTTTCACTCAACTTCTTATGTTCGAAATCCTTCTTCTTTTGGTCTTCTGGTGGACTAGCAATAAATGCTTCTGCTAATGGTAAGATGTCGTTGTGGAAGGTATCCGAAATAGCATTTAATTTCTCGATTGGTGTTTTGGGTGTTGGAGGAGGGATAGGTGAAGCTGTTCTGGAAGTCGCAGATGATTCCATTTGTGGTGTTTTGAGATTATTATTGCTCTTCTTCTTTCCCTTCTTATTCTTCGATTTGCGAATTCGTTTCCTGAGCTTGGCGGCGGTCCCTTCTACTTCTTCGCTTTCATCTCCTGAATCTTCACTTCCAGTTGCTGCGTCCCCGACAATGCAAAGAATTTCCGACTCATTTCTTATTCCATAACTTCGAACAAGTGCATGATCATCCTTTAATTGTTGTCCTTTGTAAACCAATTTCAACTTCCTCCAATTTGAAACTTCCATCAAGGCGGCAGCTCTTTTCCTCACATCACTGACTTCTAACTTTCCATCTCCAATGCTGTAAGCAGGGAATTTAACTGGATATGTAATCCCCTTGTTCTTCACCAATAGCACATCATCTTCCTCTTGTGCAGAATGAGGTGGTCTCAAATGTGGATCATAGGTTCTTCTTGGTTGCTCCAGATCCTCACCAGTTATATACTCATAATCCTCATCTTGTACCTGCGGTGGATTACCCCGACTCGAAAAAGGACTCAAACGACTGGCACCACCACTGAACCAACTATTTCCCCAACGACTCATACTCACAGCCGCTGCAAGTATCACAAAGGCACTACCCGCTAATGCTGTAGGCGGAACCTGGTCAATATGTGTATATTTTGCCGCTTGTTCGATGTAAGCTTGAGCGGGTTCAGGTATTTGCGAATAGGCAGATTGAAGATGTTGAACGGTCGTGTCGAGATAGGTTTGAAGAGAATCAGGAAGACGTTGAATGGCAGAAGACAGGGTGCCACCTTGCGAGTCCAAAACGCGGGAAGCCACCTTGGCTGATTTTTGTAATGAGTCCTGTGGAGGGGACTTTTTCCTTGAGAAAACTTGTGAATGTGATATGACAAGGCTTTCGATATATGTGGGATGTAGGGTTTAAGGTGGGGTGATTGACTCGTATGTTAAGGCTTTCGATGACGGGGTCTCGAAGCTGGTGGAAAGATGGAACAATTTGGAGTGAAATGGATTTAATGTTGTCTTTTGTCTTTTTATTAATGCGCAGAAGTTTTGATTAATGAGGATTGATTCTAATTGGGAATTTGATGGCGGTGAGGATAATCAAGCGAATGAGAGTGAGAGTCAGAGTGAGAGTCAGAGTGAGAGTGAGAGTGAGATATTATTGTGTAGGTAGGTATGATTAGGTAGGTACAGATTCTCGACAGGGGTCAGGGTGAATATCCAAAAGTATTATAAGCCGAATGTATGATTGGAGGTCTAGAAAGGGTTCAGACGATAATAATACTGTACTAGAGCGAGATGATATGTGTCCATTCAACAATTGCCCCGTGTTGTACCATTACCGTACCGGCTGTCCGTAAAGTACTGCCTGTATATATATATAACTATATCTTTCTTCTACCGAGTATGATGGAGTATTTTACAATAAATAAGCCATATTAAGTTAAAACAGAGGATATAGGATACAATGTCAAGGACTCATCAATTTCTTACTCTCCTTAGGTACTCACTTAATTGTACCGTACCCAATAACCTCCAAATCGCTTCTTCTAACCATCTATCCATATCAAATAGATCACAGGGCTGTCCACGGGTATGCCAACACATGTTTCTCTTAGCAGATCATAACAATTACTACCAAGGGATGTTTTGCCTCACTCTTGCATGATACCATTCTACCTTGATGATACTGTAATGGCTCTGTAGGTATTCAATGTCGATTCTATATCAATTCTTTGTCAGTCATTCCCATGAATCAAAGCATTGTTACTAATAAAATCAACCAACAAAAGATCTTCTTCATTCCTATATCACAACCCTCTGTGCAGGTATAATAATACTATCTAATGGTACTATCTGATAATACTACCATCTTCAAGCTACCTACCTAGTACCTAAAGCTTTACATTCAATGGAAAGAAATATAATAATAATAATAATAATAGATGCATACATACCCTACCCTACTCTACTCTACTCTATATAAATCAACAAATTTGTCCGCAAAGAATTCAAATCATTCGAGTACTACATACTACATACTACATACTACCTACCTACCTACGTATAACCAAAGTCCACAACTCCTTTCGAAATCGGTCCCAAAACTCCCTCCGAGTCCCAGCTGATCTACAGCGTCCCATGCCTTCCAATTCCATGCCTATCCAGTGACGCAATATCCCAATAAAATCTGCAATCACAGCTGGGAAGATGATTACACAGCCCTTATGGCCTCTCCATTTCTAGAACCTCTCCGCCCCTCACCCAATTGCTAATCAGCACCACACCACACCAAAATCAACCCCTCCTTCCTAACTTCCCAAGCCAAAAATTTCATCCACCATCCACCATCCACCCGTCCATTGCTCCCTAAAATAAATCATACCTACTTGTTACTAGCACTCATTCCGGAACTCCCCATCTCCATCCACATTCGACATTTACATATAAAACTCCCCACCCACCTCACCTACAAGACCTAGGTATAAACCGGTCTCATACCAATCGCCCATCATTAATATCTTTCGTCGTTTCTTCACCACCACTCCCATTACCGCCGCCAGAATGTCTGCTGCTCAAACTAAAGCCGAGGGCATCATTGATGAAAATGCTGTTGGTATGTTCTGATTTTTTTCTCTCTATCTCTTTCTTGCTGCATTTCGTCCTCTTCTTGCGGTACTGCGGACATATTCAGCTATGCTGCCATGTGCTCTGTCGATACAAAACTTGTCTGTTCCTCGAGTAATCGCAGATTACTCGAAGAGAGTAGTATGGGATGCTACGATGAGAAATCACGAGAAGGGAAACGAAGAAAAGATAGAGGAAACATCACACTCAAAACAAATAACTAACTATTCCACTCCCAGCCGTCTTCAGCAAATCCTACTGCCCATACTGCAATGCCACCAAGAAGCTCTTAACCGATTTGAAAGCAAACTTCTACTCCATCGAGCTTGATCAAGTTGGTGTGTTGACCCTTTTTTCCTTTTCCCCCACTTCCCTCAATTACCCCTCTCCTCCTCTCCTCCATCCCCTAAATATCATCAACTAACTCTCCCCCTAGACGACGGCTCAGCAATCCAATCCTACCTTGCCAAGAAGACTGGCCAAAGCTCCGTCCCTAACATCTTCATCGGTCAGAAACATGTTGGAGGAAACTCGGATTTGCAAGCGAAGAACAAGAAGGACTTGGAGAGTCAGTTGAAGGAGTTGAATGCTATCGTGGCTTAGAGGTTTCTTGAGGAGATTGTGTTGATGGATCATAGGGAAAAGAAAGTGGAGCGCTTGAAGTGGATGGATGAATTGCATGATTATAGGAAGTGCATAGAATAGCTCGTTTGCTGCAATTGGAGGAATGAATCGATGAATATGATACATAAAGATTTATTTATTTACTCATGTTTGGTGATGTGCTATGCTAAGCAATACTGTGCTCTACCATGCCAGGTTTTCCGTTTCATATCATATCATCGTAATAATACTCATACAGACAAACATACATACACTAAAATACAATCTCCAATCTACACCGTCACCATCCCCTCAACACTCCCAACCGGACGTTCCACAAACTTCATGACTCCTTCCACTACATTCCTCCTCGCCTCCTCACTACTCACATTCGCACCCGCCAGATACCCCAACCAAATGCCCCTACTAATCCTCTCATCCCTCACTTCTCCCAACCTCTGACTCCCATTCACCCCATCCTCATACCACACCCCCAACTTCCCACTCTCATCCCGACTCAACAACAGTTCCTGTCCCTTTGGTACACTCCCCCTGTTAAACAACGCCTTGAATTCACCCATCGCCTTCCCAAACGCTTCATCTCCAAACTCCTCTCTATTTTTCTGAGCGCGCGCAGTGAGACTACGAACCCACGCGTCGCGCAGATGGTGGAAATCCGTATTGCGCGTTGGGACAATGCGGACGATAGATTTTATTTCCGGATTTTTAAGAATGGCGGACCAGATTTCTTCGCTGCGGGCGGGGTCGAGAAGCATCGCTTTCAAGGCGTCTTTCTCGTTGGCGACAAGGGTGGAAGCGCCGTTTGGGGCGGCGAGCTGCAGCAGAGAGGTTTGGAGAGTGGCGATGGAGGAGGGGGAGATGTACAGACCGAGGACGTAGACTTGGATGTGTAGGAAGGAGACGGTGCGGATGCCGAGGCCGAGGAGTTGGTAGGGTTCGCTGGGGTGCGTGGAGGGGGTGTCAGAGAAGTGCAGGGTTTTGGGGAAAGTTGGGATGGTGCTTGTGCCGGTGGGAACGAGCTCTTCGTCTTCGGTCTCTTTTGTTGTTGGGGGTGGGGTTGATGAGGAGGGGAGAATGGTGACGGGAGAAGAGGAGGAGAGAGAATCGCTAGAGCGAGAGCTGTCGAGTTTGGATGGCGGAGGTATCTCAATCGAGGTTGCGGTCACCCAGATGCAAACCATGCCGACGAGGAAACCCGAGGCGGAATATAAGGTACGGCGTTTGTAGTAGGCGCGTCGAGTAGCTTCGAGTCGGTGCAGGGAAATCGGATCGAGTTGCGGGGTGGAGGGGGATTTACTGGTTAGGGTGCGAACGGTTGTGCGGAAGGGAGTGAGGCATTGTCGTTTGGGGAGGGTGCGCAGCGTGCGGGATGTGAGGGGGAGGAAGGACATTTTGGCGGGTGGCTTGTTGTGCTGCTTGGTTGGGGATGGAAATGTGTTGTGATATATTGGGTGGGTTAGGTTTTGTGTATACACCTAAGAAGAGAAATTGAGGTGGGTGCGTGAGGGGTGAGTAGGTAGTGTACAATATGACCTGATTTGATAATGGATGGATGGAGCTTGCACGCACCCTCCTCGCTCGCGTATTGAGAAGCTTTTTAGTGGAATCTGGGGAAAAGCTAAAAGCTAAATTTTGTTTTTTCTAAAATGATTTAATTGGTTTATGTAGTATCTACAATAGTACATCGAAGGATTTATATTGTTAATTCCTTCTAGATTATAGAGGATATTTATGATTTTTTTTACAATTATAATGTAAATAGGTAAATACTTGAATATCTGAATAGATATCTGAGTATGAATGAGTTGAGATTGATTCCGTGAGGATGTTGTTTTTCTTATGGAGGGGTCCGGTTTGACTTGACTTGATCTGATTGGATTTCTGATATTGGATAATACTACTTAGGTAGATTATCAATGAGAGATAATGGTTCTTCCTTGATTCTATCTATCTATCTATCTATTTATTCAGAATCACTTCTTTCTGATACCAATGTATATATGTGGATATATTGTTCAGATTTTTGTAAGTACTAGGTAGATAGATGGATATCCTACCTCCTGATACCATCATCATCATCATCATCATCATCATCAACGATAAGTCATTAGACCTCCATATACCTACATACAGAAAAAGGGATTCTAGACTAGGTACCCACCTATTTACCCACCTGTCTAGTAATGCTTATAATACTCCGCTAGTCTTTCGGAGGCTTTATGAAAAGTGAATAGACGAGGTGGTGGCAGATACTACGTATCTAGGAACTATATTGTTATTTGAGGATCGAGGATTGAGGATTGAGTACTCTCAACATCATCTGTCTTGTAGATACATAGACATTATATATATAGGAACTATATTGCTGTTTGAGGATTGAGTCCTCTCAACACTATCTATTATATAAATATATAAATGACGCTCCGCTAGCCCTCCGGGAGCTCCAGGGAAGGTGGGTGGGGGAGGTGGTGGCAGACATTATATATATATATATGGGAACCATACTCGTATAATTACTTGAGGTTGAATACTCTCGATACTTTCTGTCAGATAGATACATAGATGACGCTCCGCTAGCCCTCCGGGGGCCACTGCCGTGGAGGCAGACTATTTGGATAAATACAAATCACAATGTTTGATCAATAAAACTTTGACGAATTAAAGGTCTAATCGTTCTAGATGACATTCACATTCAAGTCTATAAATAGATTTTGATATGTTTTTGATAGGATGATATGCACCTTGAATAGTTTTCATCACTTCACGGAGTTTGAATGTAGATGATTTGATGATTGTATTTCTGATTGAATTAATCTGTAATTGTTATTGTTGAGGTATCAGGTTTATCGTTGGATGAAAGAAGTGTCAAATAACTTAATGAATCGTTTTAATAGATAGAATAGTTAAACAAATCGAAGAATGTTAACCTTTGAATGTTGTCGTTCTCCAGCAAGAATTTCTGATATATCAATTGTCTTGCTGACTAAGTACGGCACCAACACACACATTTGATCCATCATTCTCTCCCTTATCAAGCTTGTTCTTACTTCAAACCACTATCCCACCTCCCACCAAACCCTCCAAACATACATTTACCCTGTAAAGCACAACATCCAAAACGGAACTTCTTCCTGCAACCAAAAGCCAATGCGAAGTCCAAGCCAAAGCCTCCAAAATTTAAAGCATTAAATAAGAAGAGAAGAAGAGAAGAAGAGAAGAACACAACACGATCAAATATTGCTTGTTTCCATCGCTCAATTTCCCTGGAAATCACAAACTGATAAATGAATTAAATCCTCCTCAACCAAATACCTTTCGAAATTCAACTATTTCGGGGAAACGGGATTCAATTTCGTCATTCAGAAATATTCCCAGAGATTTACGAAATTCGCGACATTTTTATCCTCCCTTACAGACCCAAAACCCTGGGAAAATCTTCCATGATATCGACGAGGCTGAGCAACCCACAATTGTCAGCAACCTCCTCATTTCACCCCTTTGAACGACATTGGTCTCGATATCGATATATCAACTACCTCCAAACGTAGCGCCAAATCTAGAAAAGCATCCCGGCTATTGCTCCATCACTACCTCTCACTTCAGATACTTCGACTATATCATCTCCCTTCATTCATCACGATGAAGGGTCGACCTACGAGGATGCCTCTCATCAACTCCGGTTTTCCATCTCGTGCGACTCCTGATATAGGTGACGATTCGCATTCATCTACAAGTAATTCCCCCGCGCGTGCCGATTATGAAGAATCCGATTTCTTCGCTGGAAACAACGATTCGCAATCTTCGATCGGCGTACCAACTTTTCAGGACATGGCTGTTACAGAGACATGTATATCCGCATCCAATAGACTACCCGCAGAAGTTCTCATCAACATATTCTCAAAACTCACCCATCCAAACGATATTCTATCTTGCATGCGAGTATGTAAGAAGTGGGCTAGGAACAGTGTGGATTTATTATGGCATCGACCGGCATGTTCGACATTTCCGAAACTCGGGCATATCTGTAATACACTTACCTTGGAAAACCCCTACTTTGCATATCGAGATTTCATCAAAAGATTAAATTTGGCAGTTTTAGCGGATCGCGTCAGTGATGGAACTGTTCGACCTCTTTCCGTATGCACAAAGGTGGAAAGATTAACATTGACCAACTGCGAGGGTATCTCAGATAGTGGATTGACCGAATTAATTACCGATAACAGTCACTTACTTGCTCTTGATATTTCTGGAGTGAAACAAATTACCGACACTTCCATGTTCACTTTGGCGGAGCATTGTCGCCGATTACAAGGTCTAAACATATCGCAGTGCGTTGGAATTACTTCTGAATCGATGGTGAAAGTGGCGGAGAGTTGTCGTCACCTCAAACGGGTAAGTTACCTCAAATTGATACAAGATTTATACTGACATAATTTTTTTTTAGCTCAAGCTGAATGAATGTGAGCAACTAGACGACAGGGCGATCATGGCATTTGCTCAAAATTGCCGTAACATCCTCGAAATCGATCTCCACCAATGTAAAAATATCGGAAACGACCCGGTAACTAATCTCATCACACATGGAAATGCTCTTCGGGAACTTCGATTGGCAAATTGTGAATTGATTACCGACTCGGCATTCCTTAACCTACCTCACAAAGCGACATACGATCATTTACGAATATTAGATCTTACAAGTTGTCATCGACTCACAGATGCTGCTGTTGAGAAGATTATAGCTGTTGCTCCAAGATTAAGGAATTTAGTCTTCGCAAAATGTAGGCTCTTGACGGACCACGCCGTTCATTCCATTAGCAGGCTGGGAAAAAACCTTCACTACCTTCATCTTGGACATTGCGGACAAATTACTGATGCTGCTGTCATTAAACTTGTTCAAGCATGCAATCGGATTCGTTACATCGATCTAGGTTGTTGTGTTCACCTCACAGACTTATCCGTCACAAAGCTAGCTACTCTCCCCAAACTAAGGCGTATCGGGTTGGTTAAGTGTGTAAATATCACCGATGAAAGTGTTATAGCATTGGCCGTCGCACAAAAACAACGACAATTAGCTCACCGAGGACATCATATTGATGAACCAGCCTATAGTGGGAGTTGTCTCGAAAGAGTACATCTTAGCTATTGTGCTAATCTAACACTCCAAGTAAGTGGAAGACAATTGTGCATGAGGATTTTTTTCTAACAAAATTACAGAGTATAATATTACTACTTAGAAATTGTTCGAAATTAACACATCTGAGTTTGACTGGTGTTCACGCTTTTCTTCGAAGTGATCTCGAACAATTTTGTAGAGAGGCTCCCGCAGGTAAGTCCTTCACTTTATGCTTTCCTTCAACGTATTGACATCATTCAGAATTTACCGAACATCAACGCAATGTATTTTGTGTCTTTTCTGGACCTGGTGTGAATGGTCTACGCAATTTTTTAACACGAGATTTAACTATGGAGTTGAATCAAGTAGCTCCTGAGGACGAAGGAGCCCTTTCCATTGAAGAGGTTGCGAATTTACAACAGCCTCTGGGGGCTCAAGATGACCAGATAATGTCTGGAATGATGAATGCTACTGCATTAAATCCCGATGAAAATGACGGTGATGACGACGAGGTGTTGGATGCAGTATTTCCTTAATACTCGTTCGACCTACCACGTAACCCAGTATCTTATAGCACTTCATACGCTATCACTTTAAGGATATTAAACATACGATACACTCTAAATAGAGGTCAGGGAACGTATATCGATATATCCAATCATTGGGAAATGGAGTTAAGGAGTGGGCAGGGAATAGTTAATGGACGTACATACCCAATTCATTACGAATCGTCTTTCGCATATCTGTCGGTTTTTGGAAGGGAATGAATGAATGAATCAATACATGGAGGTTGTCTTCATGATACATAGATATCTTTTCAACAAGCGAGGGGGCGATGGGATTGTAAAGGCGTAGTATTTGTATATACGCATTTCTTGGCGCTTTGGGTGATGATGAATCGTGGATTTGGTGGAAGGCTTTTTGTTTTTTTGCTAAGGAGGGGTGCAATATGGAATGGAATGGACTTTATACGAGGGTATGGGTGGAGGGACAGTTCTATAATATCAACCAATCAATCAACCGTTTCGCGAGTGGTTTACCTCGAGATTCGCTAGTATTGTAGATGGTATTGATTGGGTGGAATATCTTGTGTCTAGATAAAAGACGTACCGATCCGATGAGTGGTGATGCGGATTGCCTAGCTGTCTCATTAATGAATGTTGAGATTTTTATCTGGACAGGTAATCGTCATGGCTAGAGAGAGTGGAATTGACTGGGTGGGTGGATTGTAATGTGGTAGGATGGGTACGAGTACTTAGTAGAATATGATATTATGCTATGCTATTGGTTCCGTTTATTTTGATTCAACGTGATGATATGATAGGTAGCCGTTTGATTTTTTATTTTTTTTAATTTTTTTTTTGAGTTTTTAAGTTTCAAAGTTTCTTTTATCTTGCATCTTGCATCTTTTATCCTTTCTGGAGAAATTGTGAAGGAGACGTCGGGAAATCTTGGAATCTTGAAATGGGATGAATGAGATGGATATTTTGTGGTGGTGTGGCTGACTGCTTGTCAGGGGGGTACGTCATTTGTATGTGGTCTTGTGGTCTGGATTTTGGGATTTTGAGATTCTGGGAAAGAGGGATAGAGTTGAGGAAATGGGGAATGGCGATTGGGGATTGGGGATTGGGGAAGGTGGGATGAATGAAATTGAAAGGAGAGAGAGGGAGAGAGAGAGGGGGGGGATTGGTTGGGTAGGTGTGAATGGGTGGGTGTAGATGGATTGGGTATATAAGGACTTGAGTATCTCTTCCTTTCTTTCTTTCTTTCTTTCTTTTGGGATGAGCATATGTTAGATTAAGATTCATTTTATGGATATTGGATATCTATCTACCTGCCTACCTACCTGCCTACCTACCTACCTACCTACCTACCTGGTTCAAACGACTCTACCTATCTACAAATAAACAACGCCTCGAAAGAAACCTTCGACTTTGGGCTTGCTACTCCGCTACTCAGCTAGGTATATTCGATTTGGATCCGCAAGAAAATATCAATTTATTGATAGATAGATAGATAAATATGCATTCTATTAAGTTCGTCTTTTTCTATTTTTCTATTTTTTTTTATCTGGATTGGGATGGGAAGGGAAGGGGATGGAATTGGAGATCGGAGATGAGGTAGGGATGGGGATTTACTGTTTCTGACTTGCGAGTTGCGAGATTTCATTTTGTTTTGAAGTTGATTGGGAAGATTCTTTTATGGAGTGCATTGTTGTTATTGTTGTTGAGATCTGGATGAGAAAGTCGCAAAAGATGGAAACGATGAGTATATACTGATTCGGTGTGCTTACTCTCTATAGAAACGCCTCGAATTATGTTGCAGAGAAGACGAAGGCTGGGGGGAAGGAGAGTAGTAAGGAGATCAACAAGAGTGAGTTTTTGTTTCTTTCCATCTTTACATCTCCAAGCTTCCAGGTTTCCTGGCTCTGTCTCGCCCGTCGTGGTCTTGTACTTCCAAAGATCCATTTTCTGTTCACATTGAGTTCTCGGTATTGGGAGGGAAGTTTCAGGCCAACAGGTTTGCGTGGCAGGTATAGCGAAGGATCGCAATATGCCCATTAGTACGCGTGTGCATGCGGCTGTGAAGGCGGTGGGGGATAAGATTGAGAAACATGGTCATGATGTATGGATCCCTTTTTCTTTTCTTTATCTCGGGTGCTTCTTGTTGGATGTTTGAAATGGACTTGTGGTGTTTGGAGAGTCGATGAGGTGTTTTGGTGAGGGAATGTTGTGTTGTTATTAGTGGTGTCGTGGTTGAGTTGGATTATTTGGGTAGGGGAAATAAGAGTGAGAGCGAGGGAAAAGGGGAGTATGGGGCTTCGGATTCTAGAATGATGGGAGAGGAGAGGAGATGCATCAAAAGAGTGCGAAGGGTTGAAGTACATAAGCTGACAAGTTTTGGGATTCTAGGCAAAAGCGTCGTATCATAAGGAAGTCGTTAAGCATTAACGGTATGGTCTAGTTCGAGAGTTCACAGGGTTAGAGGGAGCTTTCATGAACGATGGCGTTGATGTATTGGAGAGCTAGTGTACGATTGAGCCAAGACATGAGCATCTGGCTGGAGAATGGAGAGGAGGTAGTTGGTCTGAATGAATGACGTGGGTTGTAGCGTTATACCTGGAGTTGATACCATTAGGATTGGAAGTTCATTATCAGACATGGGGTTATGAATTAATTGTCTTTTCAAATTGCTTGCGGATGTCTGTCTGCTGATTTCTGTCTGTCCACTCAACTTTTGGCTATCGACCACGATATTCAGGTGGATATTGCGGTTTCAATCACGCAGGTACGACTCATTGAATCATTTGATATCGAGGGTTTTCTTTCCAATTTATATTTTCAAATTTTGGGGGTTTTATCTTTCTAAAAACTAACGAGAAACTAATTAACGGCTTTTTCTTTCTTTTGTTCCTTTTACTCTTCCTCCTATCTCGATCTCTTATACTTAAAGCGTAATAACAAATTCATGTTGCTGAAATACCTATCAATTTAATGATTCACAAAAATCACAAAAAATCACAAAATCATGTGTTAACGCCTGCTTGATAACTACAACCTCTAGTTAAGGTTAGATCACATGTCAGGTTTGGAGAGTTCAAGTGGACCTACCGCGAATCATCTTCCCAGCCCTGTCAAAAAGTTCTTTACTGCCGTCTTTTTCGAGTGACTTGCACGGGTCCCCTGGGATCCCTGTGGATATAAATACCCATTTCCAGATAAAGAAGACTTCTCTCACCTCCCCTCATTGGGGCTTTGACTTTTAGTCCCTTGTTTTGGGGGATGAAGTCTTTAGACCCGGATTCTTCTGGATTTGAAGGTAGAGACAAAGACGAAGAAGATGTTGAGATGTTACCACTGATAAACTCAAATGGTATTTCACCTTCTGGTTCCACGTCGAAAAATTCTTCCTGGACGTTCATTTCTGCATCTTCATGGTCTTCGGCGAATTGGTTGGGACCCAAGGACATAGCATCTCCTAAAGTACATACTTGAAATGTTAACTCGTGCCAGAACGTACGATTGCCAGAGCGCTCATGTTCCTTCAAGTAATCTTGGAAGTCCTTTTCCAATTGCACCCCGTGGTTAAATTTATGGGTGAAATGATGCTGTATTTCAGCCATCGGCAACCCGGACTTTTCCTTACCCCCCAGCCAAACTTGTGTATTGGTGTATTTTCCGGGCTCATGATGATCTTCCGGACAGAGGGATACAGTGGTAAGAGATGATGCTCGTGGATTTCCCATTCACCTTTTGGCCGACGCATATTACCCACATCGTAGATAGAAACTTCTTCCGCCTTTGCGTAAATTGCAGTATTTCTTTCCCCAAGAAGAATGTATTTGATACTGGAAATCTGTGGGCAGCATTGGGTAATGAGTTTCCACATATCTCTACTTGCGATATTCTTCTTTTTATCTGTAGAGATGCCTTCCAGGTTCTCAATCTCCAAGAGATCATCCCTTGCATCACTCGCTTGTTCGACGACAAGATTCTCGTTGATATCGGGATCTTCCGCATTATAGCCACCATACCTTTCAGATATCAAGAGTTGAGAGCCTTCAACTACCTCATATCTTCCATCATTTCCCGGTGGCTTCCACAATGAACGATACTCGATGCTGGACGTGTATGCTATTGACCTTAGCTTTGAGATATCAAGCTCTAATCCGAGATCCCCATTGACCAAGGAAAAAACCACGGGATCCATGATCAGAGTATCGCGTTGCATATCGATAAATCCACGAACGAGAAGGTGGAATAACCTCCCATCTGACATTTTATAATAGTTGTGCGCGTGTGGAATCATATGAACTGGAGCTGGGTTGTAAGCCTTGAGGGAAATACATGTTCCATTTTTGCAGTTGTCAACAAGTCGCCACTCCACGCCCAAATTGACTCTCTTTTCACGCGATACTTTGATTGTGGGTATGATATAGCTTTGCTGCCAGATGTCACGAGATTCCCAAAATCCTCAACATCTCTCCCTTAGCTCACAAATCCACTTACACAATCATTCTCGAATCTACACACCATATTCCCCCCTTCCAAGAAATTCGTCGTGAACTTAAATTTGAAGTTAGAGTTAAAGTTCTCCGGACAGCGCTAGTATTTAGGATGATTGATGGGGTGGAAGCGAGCTAGATGTTTTAGCCCCCTTTAAAGTTTCTAAAGTGATCAATCACGTGAAAGACTAACTTACTTTAGAGCTTTGGGGAGGTTGTTATTGGAGGTAGATCATAATTTTTCTTTTCTAGGAGGAGGGTGCGTTAGGGAGGGGTTTGGAGCATATGTAGCGAGTTAAGATTTGAGGACTTGGAATTAGACACTTTGTGTTATAGTATTGTTCCGAGATTTTTTGTGGATAGTAGTAGTAGTAGTAGTAGTAGTAGTAGTAGTAGTAGTAGTAGTATTAGTAGTAGCAAATCCATAATCGATCTAGTCTATCTAATTCTTTATGGATACGGAATGATATTATGGAATACTAATGGGTATACATAGAGATATAGCGCTCTATAAGAGGGCAAAATGACGGGTTATCGATCTTTAATATCTAGAAGTGTACTACTGAATATAAATTTCATATATTATATCAGAGTCTGTTTTATTAGAATCTAATCCATCATTTCTTCATGCGAATTCTATTCCTCTCTCCCATTATAATAGCCCAACCACAAAGAGAATAGAAAGAATACTTCTTTCCCCCCCATACCCACCTCTAGACCACTACTTTCTTAGTAGTAGGGAACTCATAATCCACACGAGTTTTCAAAATCCAACTATCACCCTACCATTAACCGTGTATCATCAGATCCATGAACTTTCGTCCCGCATTATCCAAATCTGCATTCAAGATATGATGCCCGTCCTAAGAGACAGACGAGTGTAAGGCCCTCGCTCTCAAAGATCAAGAAAAAGACCTATCGTTTGATATATGAGTATTCCTCCCTTTAGGACTATATAATCAGTCCATCGCGACCGCAGAAATCTTAATAGACTTCTCCGTGTATAATGCGAATTTTTCCAAAAAAAAAATACAATTATCAGATCGAACAAAACACGATGCTTACGTACAATACCTAAACCTTACATGACACAACGAAAAAAGCACTTAGCATTTAGACAACCCAGCCTTTAGATCTCAACTACGACATCTCAATATCATTCGCCCTCATCGGCTTCCTCTTAGGGATTCCTGAGATTGTTGAAGAATCAAGAAGGCAGCTGGAAAGCGCTGGATCGGAGATAGAGGGTCTCTCTGCCCAAAATACATACCGAACTCGTAGTCATTATAATGTACTGAGTAATTTGGATTGGTAGACTGTGTATATGGTGTATATGGTTTGGCTTCATTGCGTGGAAAGTCGAGTAGGCGCCTAGAAGCATTTCTTTCAGGGACTGAGGATATGAACTTCAGCACCCGAGGATACTTCATCTAAACTGCACTCCGAATCATTGGAAACTTAGGCAGCATACACGGATAAAATCATTTCGCCCTTTCAAGCTGCATGAAATTGTTTGAATATTGCAATTGATATTGAACAATGAAAGTACTGAAGAGGTGACCTAATGTTGTTAACCCGCGTGTGCAAATGTGAGATTATTTACAAAGCTCCTTTCCCTCCTTTCAATCTGTCTCCCCCGGTACTCTCCTATTCTTCCATTTCATCCCATCTCATCTCCCCGCTTGCTCGTCCCCTTCATGATCATCCAGACTCCTGTTAGCCTCCAGCTCTCTTATCCTCTCTGAACGTCTCGGCTTAACATAAACCTCATACCCATCTCTCTTATCCTCCACTCTCCATCCCATCTCCTTATTCCCCAACTCCACACATTTGTATGTAAAGTCCTCTCCCCACCTCTCCTTCCACCTCGTATTAAGAATCTTGATCTTTTGATCCCATCTAAAACATCCCTCCTTAAGCTCCAATCTCTTCAAATTTCTCAAGCGGGAAATCATCTCCGTAGTGCTTTTGAATAGACAAGGTTCTCCTAGCATCAAAAACTTGAGTTTTTCCTCCATCTTAGCAATGTCGAGGCCTCGAGATAACGGAGTTTGGAAATTCTTCAACATTTGTAAACTCCCTTGGAATAGTTTGACCGCACGATCAGATTGTATGTATAGCGTGTCCTTCTCCCAATTAAAGTATATCGGGTTCCTCAAACAATGTGCAAATTCAAGTCCATATTCCTTGCAGGCAGCTTCTCTCGCCATAATGTTAACATGTAGAAGTGCCGGCAACGTGGTCTTTACAATGAGTTTTGCACTTTTGTATTTGCCCCCATATCTTTCTCCTGCGTACCATTCCCGAGTCCATTTGTCAGGTTCATCAACGAGAGTCTCGACGGCCCTGAGAGAGATGATTCGGCCTTCGGGAAGAGCTTCTTTGAAAATCATATTTTGTAGTTCAGGGGCTAGCTTTGCGAATTGATGAAACGTCGTCTTTTGGTTTATGGGACGTCGAGGTCGGATGTAGGTAGACATTTCGGTGGATCTGATATTATTCTCGAGAAGATGTTGACATGGTTGATTCATGATTTAGATGGAAGCGGGATACTCGCAGATGATGAGATCGATGAGCTGTTGTTTTAAAGATCGAGGAATCTATATTGCGAAGCGGATAAAGAGGACCTCGAGAGTGTCTATCAATAGAATGTTAGAAATAAAGCGCTACGACGAGTCTTTCCAGCGCCTTCCATCAAGTGGATAGAAAAGAATGGTAAAGACCAGAATGCAGTAATCCTTCGTAGTAAACTCCAAGACTTACCAAGAAATGACGGCGATCTCTCAAAAAGAATGCCAGGTCGTTTTGGGGCCGACTTTTGAAGTTGAAGATAGTCCCATCTCAAAACTGATCTCCATTTCTCAGTAAAATGAAGAGGTCGACGCGTTTGCGCCGTGATTTATTATTCTCAGCGCGGATTGAAAAACATTCAGCCTTTCTTGTCTACTTTCAAATCACATGTACAGCCTTGTGTAGGGCTGAGAGCCCGTGAAAGTCATGGATCAATCTTGGGGATTTTGATGAAAATGTGTGTAAGCGACTTAACTTGAAAATAGTGAATATGTGATGTGGTAGTCTGGGTAGCCTCACGGTTTGCTCTTGCCCTTTGAACCGATTTGTGCCTTACAATCTCAGCTGGAGTTCAATGGTGGCTCGATCAGGCGAACATGTAATCTTCACGTCTTGGAGAATGTACGAGCAACCATTTAGCAGCCAGTAAAGATGATAACGATTGAGTACACAAACATTCAACGTTCTTTTGCGAGTTCGATTTATCTAGTATATATCCACGGTGTATATCTAGAATTGCCTTCTACTTTGCAGCTATCGCGAGAATGTCTGCAACCATCTTCCTATTCATAGGACACTCAATACCCAACTCTTGTGCTTTTCTTACAATGTATCCATTAATATAATGGATTTCTGTTTCACTGCCCTTGGTAACATCTTGAAGCATTGAACTTCTATTTTGTGCGGTGGCCGAAGCAACATTCAGAGCGGCGTTTCGCAAACTTTCTCTTGAGAATCTTTCTTTCCAGCCTGGAATTCCCTGAAGTTCTGGAAGAGAACAGAAGACTTGACTTATTTCGGATATTAAACCGTCGAAGTCACTTCTCATACCTTCGACCATTGAGGATTCCATAATCCTACCGTTTAAACAATCGTTCAAGGCAGTGAGAGGATTTATTACTGCGTTCACAGCCAATTTCTGCAACTGAAAGAGTTTGAATTCGTTCCAAGGAACTTCACTTGCGCCAAGAAGTTTCGATTCAATGACTTGCTGCAAGAGATAGCTTCCATGAGAAGTCTTCTCGATATCACCCCGTGGATCACCAAGAATAACGGAGCCACGGCCAGCAAAGACTGCTGTGAAGTCGTCTGTTCGATAAACACCATGAGATGCTATACCAAATAAATAATGTGGCCTTTCTTTAGGATCTGGGAAGACCCTCTTATTGACTTCTTCAACCACTCCCATGCCGTTGTGTATGAACATTATAGTTGACGAAGGGGTAAATCGATATTTAATCATGGAAAGCGCCTCAGCCGTTTTGTGGGTTTTTGTGGTGACTATCAGATTAGATATATACTTAAACTCTAGGGGACTTGGAAGATCATCCATGGATACAAGCTCAGCATTATAATGACCCTCCCAATTCCAAACGCCGTCATAAAGAATCCCAATCTTGGGTCTTTGGACTTTGGTCACTTCATATAGATTTGGGCGGTGGAGTAACAACGTGAGAGGAGGGGAATTCGGTTTTGTAGCTAATGAGTGTGCAAAAAGCTTTCCCAGATTTCCAAGACCCAAGATGTGTATGGTAGAGTCCATTTCTGAGGAAGTTGCATTTTTATAATGATAGTGTTGTGAATTGGTCATCTGACGAGTAAATTGTATGGAGGGAGTCAATATACATGGGTGGAATCTTTTGAACCCTGGAAATTTACAATGTTTGAAGTAGGAGAGGAACATTGCATCGCTCTCACCATTTGTTGTCACAGACAAATCATGATGTTGTTGATCTATATGATGACTAATTTATTTGCACAGTTGGCATTTGATGGTGACCATATTTTCTTATTGTTGATAAACTTTCAAGATTGGCTATGTATGCTTTGTCTAAACCAATCAGATGGAAACGTGAGCAAGTACTCTACATAATAGGTAAACTACGGCATTGGGAGTGAAACAGTGATCCAAGAGTGATGGCGAGAAAGTTGATATTTTGGACTCTGCAGAATGAAGTTCGACCACGAAACAGTGTGGCAATTA